AAACAGTGAGTGATCACACTCTCAAGCTTAGCTTTGTTTTTTACTATGAAGATGAGAATAATGTTAAAATGAGTCCAATGTCTTGAACTTCACAACTTGTACAGCTATGAAAATCATGATTTCAGTCTGCTAGATGGTAGATAAATCGTATATTTCACATGTAAATAAGGTTATGTTAAGGAAACGTATAGTTCCAATGGAGTGTAAAGGAGTAAATTATACTTGACAAAAATGGAAGTATGGATAGCCTTCACATTAAGGTATTTTTAAGAAAGTATAATATGTTGTTGATATCAAGCTTTTTCAAGTAATATAGTCAGAAGACGATAGATTTAATGGAGTATGATATATTTAAAGAAGAAAATTGTGGGGTTATCAAGCTTTCCATGGTAGAGGTAAATGTCTCACGAAGGCCTTATAGGGATATAGACATGATAATTATGACGAAATGAGTTTAGAAGACAGACACTCAATTAGTGAGACAACGAGCACAGGGAGTGAATTTAAAAACACCTTACTTCAGGAGACAGTCGAAGATTATTTGTCAACCTTTACAATGTTAGCTAGATTTCTAGAGTGTTTTTGCGATAAACAAGTGTATCTAATAATAAACACATAGTGAGAAAATACATTCACCCCTCTTACGGGCGTCACTAGATAAATACATTGGTTACTGCGAGCAATTTCGAGACTGCCGTGCATAAAGTATGTCCATAAACTCATGGCTTGGGACTTAGACACTTCAGGTTTAGTTTTCAAAGCAATGAATACAACTCACTTATGGCCTGACTTGTGACTATCATCAGAAAATTGAGATAATTGTCCTTTTTCCAATTCTCACTATTCTGAAATCATGGTTTTCATTTATAACCAACTAGACAGGTAATCTGTGCCCTCACTCCAAAGTACCGATGTACTAGAATCAGACCCAAACATTGAAATAATGAGACGGAGGAATCAGTTCATTGATACAACTTTGTCACAAATATATTGGTCTTCTTGCATTGTCGGTACCACTAGTTAAATAAGTTATATACTTATATAGTTCTTCAAACTGCTGTCTTCAACTGGCATCCGAATTTTCTGTTTACTGTTTTTCACATTGCAGCCAGCCACCGCCCACATGGTAATGTGATAGCCGATGGTATCCAGAAACCATGCTGCCCAAGGAAAAATTGACTCAAATTATAAGATATACAAACATATAAATAACTACAAAACTAACTACAATTAGGGCTAAACAGGAGTTGGACTACTGTCTGTTGAACATCAAGGAATACCTGGAATCTCACGGAAACGACAAGAAGCTGAGTCAAAGAGGCTAATTGTTTTATACAAGCCCTTCACAAAGATACTGGGCATACCGGATATTGAACATCAAAATGGTTACTAATGTAAATTGCGCAGCATTCAGTCTTTAACTTCATAATGCATTTGAGGCTTTATTCTGTTAAACGGTTGTTTGGGCCATCAAATTGTTTTGATATCGCTTTTTTTTCTTTTGTTCTTGTGAAAGACCGATTTTATTGATAAACATGAGCTCATTTGATAATGTTTTTTAAAAAACGATGATTATCGTTTAGTCATGGTACCTTGAAAAAGGAATGACTGTTGTTTGTGCACAAATCTATCCACGAACTCATAATATAGATCGGTTTAGTTAGACCTTGTTCACTAATTGTCGGAAAGTAGACAATTTAGCATTCATTTATACAAAAAGATATACAGTTTGGCGACATTTAAGACATAGAGTGACTCAAAGGGGGAAAATTCGCATTATTTCCCACGGACAGGAGAAAAAGCAGATATTTTGGCGCGTTTTTCCATTATTTCCCCTTTATTTCTCAACGCATTTTCCACTTTGTTTCTTCTTCGTTCGCCTTTATTTCCTTTTCATTAGTTGTTTTTAAAATAGATTGTTCAACAACGGTTAAAGAACCTATTCGTTGAGTGGAATACATTCGTTACTTTGTCACAGTTGACGAGTAATGACTGATAAATCTCATGATAGCGTTTCTGATTATGACTTGTCGAGAATTATTTTATTAAATTCACGCTTTATTATGCCTGGTTCGTCGCGTTTTTGTAAGGATTCAAGCTATTTAAATTGGCTATTAATGGCTAATATTACTTTTTAATGCCAATATATATGTATATACATAAGTACATATACATACATATGTATAAACCACTGAATTTAAACGAAAAGCAGACCATATGACTTGCGAAATTCAGTATTAATGATGTGGGTGAGGCTATAACTTGTCGATGACCTTTGAGCGATGTTAAAGTGACTCTATGAATGTCCACATACTTACTAGGGCTAAATTAAGATTGTAAAGCAGTTTCAGTTTCAGTTCCAGTTTGGAAAGGACAGGAGGCTTGATGGCCTGTGTTAGTCCTGGCAATGATGGTCTCTCAGCTGATCCAACTTTGTTTTGAAGGAGTCGACGGATGGAGCCTCAACCACGTGCTGAGGTAATGAATTCCACTCGTTGATTATTCGATGGGAAAGTCGGTAGTCAGCTGACAAGTAATTCGTTCTGGGCTTGTGAACGTTTTTGGAGTGTCCTCGTAGATTTTCTGTTTTGGAAGACAAGAAAAATGAGGGCATATCAGGTGCAAATTTGTCGTTAAGCAATTTGAAAACTGTAATCAAGTCGCCTCTGATTCTTCTATATGACAGCGGGAATAGGTTTAGCTTGGTCAGTCTAGTACCATACGGGAGCTTCGCTATTCCGGGAATCAGCCTAGTAGCTGTTCTCTGAACCCTTTCCAAGAGTTCACTGTCTTTTTTTAGGCAGGGGCTAGCTGCTTGCACACAGTACTCAAGTTTAGGACGTACGAACACTGTATACAAAGTCAGAAACGTTTTAGCGTCGAGATGCCTAAAAGCCCTGCGTATGGACCATAAAGTCCTAAAACCTTTGGCGTCTATTGCACGGCAGTGTGCAGTAGTCTTTAAGTCTTGACTGACGATGACGCCTAAGTCGTTGTGTGCCTGAACAATAGGTAACTCAGTGTTATTCATCGTGTATGTATCTGTACTCTGATGGCCAATATGCATCACAATACACTTGGAAGTGTTTATCGGCAATTGCCAGGTTTGGGACCATTCAGATAATCTCTCCAGGTCATTTTGAAGTTCTAAGCTATCCCCCTTGCTTTGTATCGCTCTCCATATCTTGACATCATCAGCATAGAGTAAGACCGATGACGATAGTAGACGAGGGAGATCATTTACGTACAGGAGGAATAACACTGGCCCCAAAACTGTACCCTGGGGGACTCCACTAAGCACAGTTTCCCAGCTAGACAACTTGGAGTTCACCCTTACTCTTTGTTGACGCCCAACTAGGAAGTCTTTTATCCACATCAATAGATTGCCTCCAATCCCGACATTCCTTAGCTTATAAAACAGCCGGTTATGCGGAACTTTGTCGAAAGCTTTGCTGAAATCGATGTAAGCTACGTCTATAGGTAATTTTTGGTCCTTAAGAGCGCACCAGCTTTCACGAGCGACTAATAAGTTTGTGAGACAAGAGTAACCTGTTCTAAAACCTGTTTGAAAAACAATAATTATGATTTACAGTTGATGATTAGAGTCAGGAATTACATTTATGGTTTTAATCACGAAACGACACCAGCTTAAATGACAAAACGCTATTTGGTCAAATGGATGAAGGAATTTCGCGCGAAAATCCTAAACATTTTACCCTAAATCTGATTGATTCGTCCATAAATTATAGACTCACCCTGTCGGTAAAAATTTCAAGGGCTTCTAAACTGGAGCCTGCATTGTCGGTCTCTTGGTGGGTTTATAGATCCACTAATGTATTACTAAGTGCAGTTGTTTATCAGTTGCTAGTGAAAATTTTGTTGGTGAAGATTCATCAATGTACTAAGTTTTACGAAATCAATCAATCTTTTAAGCTATTCAAGTTGTCATTGACATCCACAAACAGTCAGTATAATCTAATCCTTCATTACACCATATGATGACTGTCGAAGAGTTTTCTTTCCTCAAGACATTTATGTGTAATGAAATGCAAAATGAGCACCTTATTTGCAGGCTATGGAGATTCATTTTCCAGCGTTTTGACATATATTTATGCCACAGCATTGCAATCTGTCTGCATATATATGATCTGCTGTTCAGCAAGATCACTAACATCGTCTATCACCTTTACTTTGTCTTCTTTAACAAACGGTTTGAATATTTGTAATCATTACCTAATCTCGTACGTTTCCATAGCTGACTTATATCTGTGAAGGCTACTAAATGTAGATTTAACCTGTTAACCCTGCCAAAATTCATAAGAAAATGAAATATTTCGTGCAATCACAACGTGGTCCAATAATGTGAATTTTTGTTTCATGAAGCGAAAGTTGGTTCGCTAAATTATCTGATCAATCATTTTCTGTTGTGTAGTGCTGTCCTTTACTGTAAAAACGTGTTTGTAGTTTAGTTAGCTAGTCAAATTTGCCGATACTTATATACTCTCAGTGAATTTGATCTAAGCTAAAAAAGAATCTAATTGTGGAGATATAACTTAAAACATAATAATGAATGCACACTACCAGTAACTCAAGTAAGTCAAGTAAGTTATTATGACAGTGAGTTCGAGAAAACCTTAAATATTTTAGAAATTTATGACTCAAAGTGGAAGGAGTAACATACTAGGTGGTGTAAAAAGCGAAGTGATAAGTTGTTTTTATAAACAATATCATATTTGTGCAAAGTATCGAGGCCACTATTAATAGTATTAAATCATAATTAGATCCACATAATTGTGGGTAAAAGCAGAAATATCATCTTATGGTATTTAATAGATTGCCCGATTGCTTAAACGGCCAATCAATTGTATCCATTTAAAACCGTAGACATATCTCATTATTTCTTTTTTTCCTCCAGATTCCTACATACATACTTTTTACAACAATACCTCGATAACGAACCTTCAGAATAGACCAGAAGATTCAAATATTGGACATTATAGATGATACAAACTAAAAGTTCATGGACTCCATTAGTGAATAAAGATGCAAATAAAACAGTATTTCTTTGTTTGATTCTTCCATTACTTATCCGTTTTAGCTTTTTGAGGAACGAAAAAACCTTATTTTAGCTTGGGTATGAAATCATATCTCGTTTTACGTAATCTTTAGTTTGCCAAATGGTCAGAAAGTCAACGAAAGGAGTTAATGACAAAACTTTTAGAGTTATGTACGCAAAAGCAACTTGAATCACTTTTTCACAACATAGAGGATAAAATTCCTTTATATCAATTAGATTTTACCAGAATACTACCAAGAGTTCTATGCATTTATTTGTTTTCTTTTCTGGATCCCAGAAGTCTCTGTCGCTGTGCACAGGTGAGTGTTAGCTATTCATTCAATATCTTTTGTTTCTTTGCAATGACATTCAATTTCATAAACCAGTTGACGGCAATAATATTGTTCGTACACTTATAATAATGTCAGTTACTTTCTTCATATTTTACATAAATATTATGAAAAGAAATTTCTTGAAGGTTTACAGAAAAAGAAATTACTAGTTCAATAAATACATGCTATTGATGTTATATCCATTGTTTTAATAGAAAATCTGATGGTCACATGAATAAAGTTTGTATATAACCTGAGTTCTTGGTTGCATAACCGGTCTATAGTACAAATAAGAACAACCGAATCCAGTTCAAAATGAAATGTTATCAATATTTTTTGTGTAGTCATTATGAACTTGATTTTTTAAAACCTAAGTTTATTCAGTTTAAAAAAACAACTCGCAAAGGTCTTTGAAATGAAAGCTTTAAGTTTTTTAATACTTAAAATCTTTGTTTATAATGAAACAATAGATATCAGTCAGTCAGTCACAACGTAGAACTTCGTACGTAAGTACGTCAGTTCAAGTTGTCATACCACATTAGCACAGAGATCCAGTTTTCGATTCAAATCCCATAGTGGTAGAAGTAGTAAGAGTATAAGTATTATGTGAAAGATTAAAGTTTGGAGATGTTATTGAAGGAGTATTATACGGTGAAATAAATTTGGAAAGGGAATTTAAGAAGTCAAATAATTCATTCACTGCTTAGTACCTGGACTCATTTAAGAGTATTAGGTTTTTGAATTACAAACTGGCTGTCCGAATGTAATATCCAATATTTAATAAACTTCCGTCTGAGAGTCTTGTTCTTATTCAAACAAACTAGTTCACCAGACAATATGCATAAATAGTACAGGGAATTTATGAAGTTTGTTTTGTATGTGGATTGGTGTGGTGATCAGTCATCGTGTTAAGTTGTTAAATGTCAGAATCAAGCATATACTGAATAAATTTCTGCATCAATCAGTCGTCATTTAAACTGTTGTATCATTTTGTAAAATTACACATTTAGTACAGTAATTGAATAAATAGGGAAACTGATAGTCATACATAGATGACATTGGACATAGATAAAATCATATTGTGGTGTGGTCTATTTATATCCAGATAAGTAGTATATGGTGATGATCATACATTGAATGTATTTTGGAAGAAGATAGAGAAGGAAAGAATAGGCATGAAGAGTAATAGGTACGAAAATGCATAAACAATGAAATCAGAGAAGATGGACTGATATTTACAGAAGAAACAGTTAAGATTAAGATAATTTTATTATTATTTTGCAAAGTAACTGCTGACTGTATGGTTATCAGAATTTTAGTGAGATAGTCTGTAATTTGTGCTTAAATACATTCGATTGTCCCTACTCGTATTCTTGTTCACTATAATATGAATAAGTAGATAATTAGTAGTATCAAAAGTATCATACTTTTTATCTTGCTTTATACTTATTTAAACAGAAATAGATATGAGTAGGTCTATGGTTTGAGTGAATGGCGTGAAGCTGACTTGAAGGCGAACTGATTTCTTTGATGATTAATCATCAATAACATAATCATTCATCGCCACATACATTGTGATCTGTTATACCAGTTAATTGTAATTACTTTGCTGCATTGTAATCTGCACTAATTCTATCTTTTAAAACCCCAACATTCCCAGTGTCACTATTAATACCGCGGTTGATGAGTAGTCCATATCAAGAACAGTTCAGTAGCAAATCTTTCTCGGTAGTTAAATTGGTGAATAAAATAATCAACTTAAATACGAACCATTTTTAAGTGGACCTACTCTTCGTGAAGTATAGATGACGGTATCTTTGTCAAAAAAACACTGCATCATACCACCAGAAATTACAGTAAATAATAAAGACTTAGTATTCGTTCTTTCAAACCTTGATGTTAACTAATGGATGGATTAGTTTGCTTTGTAACGGTTTAAATGATCCTGTTACACAAGTTAGTAGTTATTTAGACTCAGTATTGAGGTGGATAACGCATTAGCGTTTGAAGTGAAAGGGATTAAGTTTGAATCCTGAAGTAAATATCAACTCGAAGATACAAGAACATCTAGCTGACAAATTCTGAATCGGAAGAAAACGTGAATCTTGTATTCCACTGCTAGATACATTCATCTATTGTATGTTACTTACTTACTTACTTACGCCTGTTACCCCTCGTCGAGGAGCATAGGCCGCACACCAGTATTCTCCATCCAACTCTGTTCTGAGCCTTACTTTCCAGTTCTTTCCAGTTACTATTCAGCCTTTTCATATTGGCTTCTAATTCCCGGCGTAGTGTGTTCTTTGGCCTTCCTCTTTTCCGCTTCCCTTCCGGATTCCAAGTTAGGGATTGAGTCGTGATGCACATTGGTGATTTCCTTAATGTATGTCCGATCCACTTCCAACGTCTTTTCCTAATTTCCTCTTCAGCTGGAAGCTGGTTTGTCCTCTCCCATAAAACGCTGTTGCTGATAGTATCCGGCCAATGGATGTTGAGTATTTTGCGTAGACAGCTGTTGATAAATACTTGTACCTTCCTGATGATGGTCGTAGTAGTTCTCCACGTTTCAACTCCATACAGTAGGACTGCCTTGACGTTCGTATTGAAGATTCTGACCTTGAAATTAGTTGAAAGTTGTTTTGAGTTCCATATGTTCTTCAATTGTAGAAATGCTGCCCTTGCTTTGCCAATCCTCGCCTTTACATCTGCATCCGATCCTCCTTGTTTATCAACGATGCTCCCCAGGTACTTGAATGTTTCCACCTCTTCCAGAGTTTCGCCGTCAAGTGTGATTGGGTTGTTGTTCTCCGTGTTGCATTTGAGAATCTTGCTTTTTCCTTTGTGAATGTGGATACCTATCGATGCGGAGGCTGCTGCTACATTTGCTGTCTTCATCTGCATTTGGTCGTGTGTATGAGAGAGGAGGGCTTGGTCATCTGCGAAGTCCAAATCATCTAATTGATTCTGAGAAGTCCATTGTATTCCGTATTTCCCTTCAGATGTCGAATTCTTCATAATCCAGTCAATCACTAGAAGGAAGAGGAATGGGGAGAGCAGACAGCCTTGTCTGACTGCGGTCCCCACTGGAAATGCATCTGTCAACTGTCCTCCATGCACCACTTTTCACTGTAGTCCATCGTATGAGTTTTGGATAATGTTGACGATCTTCTGAGGAACTCCATAGTGTCGAAGAAGTTTCCATAATGTTCTCCTGTCCACGCTGTCAAACGCCTTCTCGTAGTCAATAAAGTTGACGTATAGTGATGAGTTCCACTCAACTGATTGTTCAACGATGATCCGTAGTGTCGCAATCTGGTCTGTGCACGACCGATCCTTACGGAATCCAGCCTGATGATCCCTTAGTTCGGCGTCTACTGCGTCTTTCATCCGATTCAGCAGCACTCTGTTGAAAACTTTTCCTGGTACTGATAACAAACTGATACCTCTGTAGTTCTCGCATTTGCTCAGATCTCCTTTCTTTGGTATCTTGATGAGATATCCTTCTTTCCAGTCCGTTGGCACTTGTTCCTCTTCCCAAATCTTCTTGAATAGAAGGTGAAGCATGTTTGCAGTTATTTCAATGTCTGACTTCAGTGCTTCTGCTGGTATATTGTCAGGTCCCGCCGCCTTCCCACTTTTGATTTGTCTGATGGCCATCTTGACTTCTTCGATCGTTGGTGGAGTGACATCTATTGGAAGGTCAGTGTGTGCTGCTTCGATGTTCGGTGGATTCAATGGGGCTGGTCTATTCAGCAGTTCCTCGAAGTATTCTGCCCATCTTTTCCTCTGGTCTTCAATATCCGTGATTGTCTTTCCTTCTTTGTCCTTGACTGGTCTCTCTGGTTTGCTATATCTCCCTGCCAATTTTTTCGTTGTATCATATAGTTGTTTCATATCCCCTTCTCTTGCAGCTTTTTCCGCCGTCGTTGCTAGTTCTCCCATGTATTTCTGCTTGTCGGCTTTAATGCTTTTCTTCACTTGCTTGTTTGCTTCTGCGTAGTCTGCTTGTGCTTTGACTTTCTCTGCTCGTGTTCGGCTGTTGTTAATTGCTAGTCTCTTGTTCTTCCTTTCTTGAATTTTGTCCATGGTTCCCATAGAGATCCATTCCTTGTGATGGTGCTTCTTAGGACCAAGAACCTCCTGACACGTTGAAGTTAGTGCTTCTTTTATTTCTTTCCAGTTGTCCTCCAAAGTAGTTTCTTGTTCTTTCAGTAGATCCTGTAGAGCTTGGAACCTATTGTTGAGAGTTATCTTGAATTCTTGGAGCTTGTCAGCATCTCGAAGGAAGGCTGTATTAAACCTTTGTAGTATCTATTGTATGTGGATATACTTTAATTTAGCATAACCTCAAAGTCAAGACTTTAGATCTCCTGATATGTTATTTTTTGTTTCTTAATCTTACATATTATTGGTAACCACTTAGATATATCTGACACACCTCTAGCTTGACTGAAAATGCACTACTTATCAGAAATCGAACCTAAGATTCAGTCCAAAGTTTCTAGTTACATGCTGTTTAAAGAGAAAGTAGAGGTACTGTATCATCATATTAGAGAACGATAGTTAATATTGAACAGTGTTTATAAAATAACCTGAGTGAAACATTCTAGCGCTTTCTAGTCCTTAATGGTTCTCTGTTTTTAATTATTTTTTGAAGTCATTTTCTAAGCTAATCGATCAACGAATTTGTTTGGGGTGCTGTTCTCCCGTTCTGAATGTAGAATGTTGCTTCAGAACTGGTTTGTGTTAACATTTAAATTGACTAGACAAAATAAATTATTTAACTAAGTTGATCACTTCATTTTTCTTGAAAGTCTTATCAACTCCAGTGAATAGGAGTCAGCGAAATCTTGATTAGAATTCAAAACACTCGGTTCACCTTTACCAAATTACGTAACTTGTAGCAAGATGTCCGTTTGGCAACGAAAGGACTAGTATACTGCACAGTATCTTACTTTGTATTACTCTATAGTTATGAAACATGACTTGTGAAAGTGGAAAGTATACTTATACTGGAATATTTCAATCATGGATGTCTTTGAAGAACTTCTCAATTATTATGAAACAACTGAGTGGGCAATGTTTAAGTTAGACAACGGAGTACCAGGTAAAAGTCCTGAACCAGTTGAACAGGTTTTAAATCTGTTATACCTGCATCGCTTATTACTTATTCTTGAAACAAGAAAGCACTACAATTCACACGACCGTGAATTGAGACCACAGAAAACTGCTTCAAGGGAAGATTTACTCACCCTGAATATATATGACGACAACTATTGAAGAAAATATACTCATTTACATATTGATTTATACATGACCAGAATCACATTATGTATATTATGCTGAACATGGTTGACGTTAATTTAATACAAAAATATCGTATCTTAAATAAACATCACATTGAATATATAACACCGAGTAAGGATTATATTGAATTAGAAAATGGAAGTAATTTTGTCTCTTAATCTTGTTATATCTTGATCTTTGTCAACTTAGATTGTAAGGTTGTGTGTTCCGTAGTTCCTAACCATTCCCTTCCCGTGATAATTTTTCACTAGGTATCATGGTATTGGAGATATCTAACTGAATCAAATGAATTATGGGCATCAAAGTGTTTAAGATATGGATGGGATTTAATTGCTTCACATAGTCAATGGGAACCTGGAATTTGGAAGAAGCATTATATTCAAAATATACGTTATCTTCAGTTTCATAATTCAGAGAAGGTGAGCATATTTATTATAGTAATAATAATAATAATAGTAATAATAATGACGTAGTATTGTTTGTTTGAATCTTCCCATCGATGTGTTAGGACTGCAACTGGTCAGTCTCTAATTGGCATATGTGCATACTGTGCGTATTGCCTAAATTCACAAGCATGGTAAGCAAATATACAATACTAAGTGAATTTAAACTTCACCCCATTGCACAAGCAAGTGGCTATCATGACTCAGTGGCCGAGTGGATAACTCGATGGCGTTTGAAGCGAAAGTTACTGTTTCGAGTCCCAGAGTGAACATCAACTCTGAGATGCAGGTACATCCAGCTGACGAGTCCCAAATAGGACGAAACGCGCATCAAACTGGATTACACTGCTACCCACTATCCATCTTTGCTTAATAATAATGACGTTTTATGATTTCATGTATATTGACTAAAATCAAACACAATACACTTGCATCATTCAATAAGAAACGTTTTTCAGTTTACATCAAAGTCTGACCATACTTAGGCGATCATTGAGATGGCAAACATCTGTTTCGTCCTAGTATAGGGTTTCCTGAAAAAACGCATCATCTACTCTCACCAGTGAGTGACTTCAAGAGGTGATTCCTGAGATTCTGGCAGTTGAGTTATATAGTGAATTAATTGAAATCGGACATGTAAATCAGTGATTTAAAGGTTTAATGCTCCCAGAGTAACTTGGTGATTTTGAGTTGAAACTCTTTTAATGGGATCGCTATAATGTACTGTTGAGGAATACTATAATAAGACAAAACAGTTGTTCTGTGTTTCCCGCTCTTTTGATTGTTGTTTAGATGAGAAAAGTCGGCAAAATAACTCTCAATTTACTACCTTTATTGATTTAATGGATAAATATTTCTGCCTTCTTGATAAGTTATGGTGAAGTACATTCACGTTTACTCTAACTCCGTGCAATATTTTATATTAGCTTTGTTGGCGGGATATAGATTGGATTAAAGCATGTTCCATGCACGATTGTGTTGTTGCACACTGATTGGCTAATTCTTATCCAATCAGCGCCAGTCTATGCTTGGAGAAGACTCTAGCATCTTTCCATGTGAAAACTATAAGTATGCTAACGCGTTTCATATTGAGCTTCTTACTTCCATCTATCATTTTTATTCGGAATATAATTTCTTCCCTGTTCAACCGTGTTCTGATTTGGGGACTTGTCAAGTGTATTGGTGTCCAAGAATACTAAGCAATAGGAATAGCTGGGTCGTAATAAGAATAAATTAGAAAACAGTATAACAAGCTTCATTCCAGATGTAGCATTTAACATCAATTTTATTCTGAGTACAAGGTTTTAGTATCTCTGATTGGGCCTTTTGTAAATTGTACAACGAAAGGTTGTACACTTCACAGAAACACACTTGAATAGGTTATGCGATTAGTAACCATAATGATGCAATAAAAGAAACAAAAGGTTTTGCGTTGCATCTTCTCTCAAATGTTAGCAGGCAAATAAGATGAGGATAGAAATTGTGCCGATCATGGCCAATAAAATCGAAGTTGTGAGTAAAAATCTTAGTACACAATTGTATAATCTAATTTACCATTATTTAGTGGTTACTTTTAAAGAGTCTTATATTCAAATGAGAAATATATGTTTAATACATTGACGTGATGGTCGGGATTGCCTATTGTGATGAACCAGTCGAGCTATACTGACTGGAACAATCGTTCCTCAAGGTCATACCATGCCAGACAGGTTAGTTAAAGGGCGGTAATACTAAAAGCAGCAAACCCAAGTTCCGAAAGTCGTCCCACTGACTGTACAGAGGTGTGAAGGCAGTAAGGTATTTCCTTCAGAAAAGCAGCGTAACAGCGATACTGTCTTCCCACAAGCAGAGACGGGGTTAAAAAAGGTCTATCCTGAAAATGCTCACCTCGCCTTATCCCTTGAATATCTGTTTCCTGCGGTAATGTCCCAACAAGTACGGAGCTAACACAAAAATTACTCACAAAAAGGTCGTATGTGACCGGTCTCAAGCAGTTGTCTCTTGAACACTGCCGCCACGCTGTCAGGTCACTATGACCACTTCTAATCCAATTTCCTTCTCAGGTATCTCTAAAAAAAACTCTTTCCATGGTGTAGGCAACCGGGAAGTATCACTTCCCTCATACTTCCAACACATCACTCAAGATCAATGTATTCATAATCAATCTCTCTCTTCAATTCCTATTATTCCTCTCACCTCGACTTTCAATACTAAACTTCGTCTTTCAGTTTCCACCTCAAAATGTTACCATGGCCAACGATCCTTTATTTTTCCTACGATGAAACATTATTATATTCAATAAAATTCAATTATTTTTATAAATTTTTTTCTCTCTGTGAATTCTAGTCCGTCAATAAAGAAAATGGAGATCCAAGACAAAGATTTTCTGAAAAATTATTCAATAAACGATCTCATACATTAAATTTTATAAATAATTATCATCATCATCATCAAGATGATTATGATAAGAACAATATTGATACTACTACTAATAATACTACTAACAATAATAATGATAGTAATAATCAATATTTAATCAATAATAATAATCAATTAATCAATAAAATCATTCAATTGACTAATAATGATACATATAAATCAATACCATGGCGTGCACCAAGTCGTAAACCATCGGATACACATCGTTTTAATTATTTTGATAATAATGAAACAATGAAATTAAAACCTTCTAAAAATGATATGAAATATAGGTAAGAGAAATTTTTTTTAAATCTTTGAATAATATTGATTGATGGTGCTATTTTATTATGAATATTGATTCATTAGTGTTTGTGAAGTTTAACAGTAATGGAATCGAAGAGGTGTGTTTCGTCCTGTTTGAAACTCGTCAGTTGGATGTGCTTGTATATTAGAGTTGATGTTCACTCTAAGAATTGAAATCAGTACCGTTCACTTCAAAAAACATTAAGTGAATTTATTGATTGAGCAGTCCATATATCGTTGGTTACATTTACTTATCATATTCTATTGTTTGGAGCAATTAATCCCTTTAATAAATTTCGGTGGTTTAATAAGAAGATGAAGATTATCAGAACTATGTTATCCTATATATTAGTGAAATACGTTTTGAACAATCTGATTACATGAAATATACTTGTTAAGAACATTGATATATAAAGATAAAAGGTCAACTAGACTAGAAATGGAGAGTAAGAGGAGATTGTAAAGTAAAAATAATCAGGAATAAACTCATAATATAATAGAACGGGGTTTTTGTGGAGATTTTAGTAATTTTATATGCTTGAAATCATGAGCCAATTGAAGCTAGACTACCATGTCAAATGTGGAAGCACTGGACGGCCGTTTCGTCCCATTGTGAGACTCATCAGGAGTGCGCATCCACGATCTTGCCTCGCAAGATTCGAACTCGGGACCTATCAGTCTCACGCGCGAGCGCTTAACATCTAGAACCACTGAGCCGTCATCCAACAGTGTTAATGTCCAACTTAAACCAATCCACGAAATCTAGCAACCATTGACCATTGCGTTCAGTGAGTTGATATCTCCCAACAGACCTGGTTGAACTCCACTGGTTACTGCTTTTTACTAGAACTCCATGAAATATCTCTTGAAGCCAGTCACTAATGAGCAGATGATTATTATCAGCGCGCGAGCGCTTAACCTCTAGAACCACTCAGCCGGCATCATGATTTAGCGGCTTTTTTTTACATCTAATTATTTTGTTCAAAGATTACTGACTTTTGATTAGCATTTGATCATACTTTTGTACGATGTTTCTATTTTTGTTATTAAACTTAATTAGGTAAATAATGTAAACAAAATTTAAACTATTCCTTATCTAATGTGTTTTTCATCTTTTATTTGTAATAAGGCTGAGTAATAGTGCTGGGTCAATACGAAAGAAGAATTCTCTATCTTCATCATTATCATCATCATCATCCCAAACTGATGATATTCACAATAATGATGTCAATGGTATCAATATACATGATCTATTTAAGCATAAAACAATACATAAATCAACATATCCTAATTTATCAGCGTTCACAAATCATCATCATTCGATCACAATACCTTGGAAACCTACATCCATTTATCCTTCTAGATCATATCCAGATCATAATACAGATAAAATACAACAACTACAATACACCATGATTAAAAAAGATTCTAATCCTGATTCTCATTTAAAAAATAATTCAAAATTCAATAAAATTGAAAATAATAAATCGTCAATTCATAAACTACAATTGAATGGATCCAATAAACAACTGGATTATGAAATTAATATGATCAATTGATCAGATGTATGTGTTTTCTTTTCTTTTCTGGTTACTTAGTTTGTTTTAAAAGTGTTGGGGTGATCTTGAAAATTTCTGGCAATAGATATGACAAGCTCAGGAAACATTAAGAAGCATTTTATTCAATCAGCGTTTGATTAGAAATTTTGCTGGAAACATGACGAGTGAGAATAGTTACTTGTAAAGTTTCTAATTGGCTGATTAATACACTGCTACTATGTTTAGTATCACTCTAGAATTTTCAGGAAAACCCAAGAACTATAAAAACTCTATATTTTCTGTACATAAATGAACCTTTGGAGTAAAGTGTTTCTCGTATATTTTGTGCCTTTTCTCTGGCGTTAAAGTCTGTGTAGTTCTAGCTTGAAGGTTAAGAGACTAGTTTAGTATCCGAATATAGCGTCCAACTAGCAAGACTTATCAGTACTTACTTCCTGCAGGATCATGTTGGGACAATGTCCAAGTATGCTTAGGATTCTTTTCGGATGTCACTATGCTCGGATGAACGCAGGCTACAGACAAATACTAGGCATTTGAACTGGTCTTCAGTCATGGAAGACAAATTGATCCTCTCACATTCTCCGTTCACAATTCCTGCATGTTTTACTCAATCATCTCATGGTTCTTTCGTTATCTTCAAGCACTGGTAATAGATATTAAATAGAGATGACTGTTCTCCAAAGATTTGAGACAGGGTTTTAATTGTTTCATCAAAACTAAAGTCTCGTGGGTTCTTCGGAAGAATGAAGTTACCATAACGTTAATGTTCTGTCGTCCCAAGTTTTTTTAGAAGTACTCTGACTCCAGTCTGCAGAGATCAATACAGAACAAATCTTCATACTTCTTAAACCAAGAGTCAAAAGTAATACCTGTTACACCATCAAAATTAAATTCATGGATTGCATTAATGGGATACTTGTAATTCACCATAAGTAGAGTTTTGTTGGGACAGGCACATTTTCTGCATCAGGGCTTCCATAATTCTGATTTACGACTATTCAAACCGCTTTTCTTGACGCTCCATATAAGCTCCTAGTTGCTCCGTAGAAATATTCATTGTAGTTTCCCATGTTGCCACTGATAAGTCTTACTAATTGAACGCTGTATTCGGATCCTAAGCTTATCTCGTAAGCCTCACACGGGGATACAAGACTTATCAAAAAGTAGAGCAAGATATTTGGAATTAGTTGGTAAAAAAATAAAACAAAATGGCTTGATATAAGTTTCGTTCTTTTTTGAAGGGATCAACTAAGAAAAAAATAGCAAGTCGAATTATTCTTGGATCCAGTTAAAACTATTTTTCCTAAGCTATTTAATTTGATAACAGACATACCCTCTAGTTTAAAGATACATTTTACTAATGAGTTCTAAAGGTGTGAAACCCACATCATGTAAAGCTTCTTGTCGATTGGTTCAAAATATCTGGGATATAAGCAAACTCCATTACAACTATGTATTACTTAGCTTTGCAGTATAGTTTACTCTGCATTAACTTAGTGAATATTCAGAAGTTTGGTATCGTAGTGGCTGATATCTATTCATCAAATTGCCCATCTTAACAGTGAGAAAATTTTGGACACAAAACTTTGTATTCAAACAGCGAGAAGCATGTTACGCTTGTATGATTTTGAAATAATCAAGAATAATTGTAACATTGGATAAGGGTTCCAATGGTACTTTTTCTCATCTGAGCTGGATGATTTAGTCGTGATGGCTTTTGCTGTCTCTTTTGATGGCATCATCAACAACAAATTCAATAAGAAGTGAATTATTAGAACTTCTCCACAACCGACTAACTGCTTGATCTGTTGACCTAGAATTAGGTTAATTGTTGTTTGTATGCGTGCTTTGATTTATTTCACCAAAGATCTATACACATCTATGGACAATAACTAACCGAATTCTAGGTCAACAGATCAAACAGTTAGTCGGTTGTGGAGAAGTTCTAATAATTCAATTCCTATTGAATTTGTTGCAGATGATGCTATCAAGAAAGATCATGAAAGCCACCACGATTACATGGTCCAGCTTAGTGAATAAATACTATTAAAATCTTGTATCTGCACTTCGTTCCTATCGATGTACATTAAAATACTACATATTTATTCTCAGTTAAACTGTAAATTACAATAAACTTTTGACCCCAATTTACTTAGCTGCGTCACATTCAGAATGCAGCGGTCATCTTAAGTACCCTCGTAAAGTATGGTGACACGTTAACTGTATCACATTTTCATAGCATATATTTGAGTAGTTTGAATGGGTTCCTTTGTATTTTATTTTATTTATTTAAACACATAAATATTGGTACAAGGAAGCACCAGATACATATGCGCCTCACAAATCTCAATTTCAGTCTTAAACTTCAATGGTAAGATTCAAGTAAAACAATACCAAGTGAAGCTATTACATTTTTATTTCAAATTCCCCATATTATATAAATTAAATCGCATGCCAATTAGCATACTCATCTATGTTGAGTAATAATTTTTTCCCATTTTTTATGATTTTGTTTAAAATAAACAGAATAAACAGATATAAGGAAATTGGCGGTTATGGAAGAATAACTCTCCAAACATGAATATACTACTACTCTATCATAACGAACAATTAAATCGTTTTGTGAACGGCAAAAAGAAGCTTGTTTTTTTATATCTATGCCCAATTAGAAATATATTTCGTTTTTAAAAAAAATGTTTAATGTCCAATGTTCATTAGAAATGTAATTGATGATTAGGATCACAATGATATATATTTCTTTTGAAAACTACTTGTATTGAAAGCTGAAATGGCTAGCAGTGGAATCCAGGACGCACGTTTCGTCGAATGGTACTGAGTTCGAGTCCCAGAGTGAACATCAACTCTGAGATGCAGGTACATCCATTTGACGAGTCCCAAATAGGACAAAACGCGCGTCAAACTGAATTCCACTGCTAGCCACTATCCATCTTTGCCTACCATGCTTGTGAATTTAGGCTATATCGAGGCAATACGCACAGTATGCACATATGCCAATTAGAGACTGACCAGTTACAGTCCTAAAAACATCAATGGGAAGATTCAAACAAACAATACTAAATGAATATTTGTATTGAGTTAATTTAACGAAAATCATACCATTACTTGGTAAATTTCTTTGTTAGACATTAATACCATCAGCTACCGGCTCAGTAGTCTAGAGGTTAAACGTTGTTGTACGAGACTAAAGGTCCTGGGTCCGAATTCTGCTAGAGGGATCGTTGATTCGCGCTGCTGATGAGTCACATAGGAGGACGAAACGGCAGTCCAGTGCTTATAGGTTTTCCATGGTGGTGTATTCGGTTCAAGACTCAGTTTGAATATTACCACTCGCATGCACATGCATAAGACCGAAGAGTCCCGAGCAGAATGAAACGTGTGTCCTGAATCTCACTACTAGCTAACATGAAATTTCAATAAAATGTTCTGACAAATAATATCTGTCAATTGAAGAAAAATAACAGTAATTTATGTGACGTAAGCCTATGAAAATTTAAAAGCACCACAATACAATTGGTAGTCAGAAACGAGATCTGAAATAAATCGGAGTTTAACTCCAGATACAAGCTAGACAGAATACTACGCTAAACTATCTTTCAACAAATCTCCACAGAAAACCCCTTCTGATAAAAAAATTAGTCGTCAACAAATTTTTAGTACGGGGTTGTAGTGATTGTCGAATTTCAATGAAACTAAGTTAGACAACCACTAAAAATCTGGAAGCACTGAACCAGCATTTCGTCCTATTACTGGATTTATCAGACAGTATTCTCTTTTGTAAATCTTCAGAAAAGAACAAAATTCAGTGAATAACTGATAAGCTAAACGAATTTGTTACACATATCACGTACGTGTGACCAAATATTGTCTCAATGCAATTAGTAGGTAAGACATGATAAACAAGGCTTACTATGACGTGAAGCCCTCAAATGCCTTGGTACGGCCAAGAGTGAGGAGAGTTCGCTTTCCCTCTCCAAATGCTCTCAAATGACCACGCGTATATAGCTTCTGCCAGGGAAGTCCTACTCACTGATTTCTCGTGGCGGGAGTGTTGTTTACGAAATTGAGAGGACGAAAAGCCAATGTCCGGGAATTCAACCGGGTTGATGGACATGGAAAGTCCACCTAGGGGAGTTGGGAAACCCCGATTTCAAACCAATGGTTCACATGGGCTCCAGTATCCTGAAGGAACAAATGGCGTATGAACCAATCGTTGGTCACCGGCTACCATGGGACTGCATCTCCTTACGATGCTCCACTGCCATGAGGATCAGATCTTTAGGTCACCAAATACAACAATAACAAGGAGAAAAAAAGACTATTGTAGTTATAAAAAGTTTCTTTTTTTAGATTAAAACAACACAATTAGATAAATGCCTGTAGTAGTAGTAGTAGTAGTATTAAGGAAATAAATTTATCTTTCTCAATAAAAAAACCCAACAATAAACAAACAAACAAGAAGAAAGGTTATTATTGAAAGATGCCATAAGATAGCACATATATATGAATATACTGGGGGATAATAGTATGACGATACGTTAGTAGGTTACTACTACTTAAAACGAATGAGTAGTAGTACATGAACAATAACATGAAGATGAATGAATCTTAAAAAAATGTTATACACATAGATTTAATTCATTCTTCATTTGTTGTTTGGCGTACAGTACAGAATGTAGAATGGAATGTTGTTCCATTATGAAAGAGAAAAGTGATGATTGATAAACAATAAGAAAACGGTGTGTGTGTGTGTATACATTTAAAACTATATAGGAGTCGATGAGTAGAAGAGAATTATAAACAAACAAACAAACAGATATTTGTAATGGAACAATGAATTATGACATAATTTCATGCATCTATTTAGTTCTCAGTACTTTCGACATTTCTATTCGATCATGAATTCAAAATTGATATATTAAACAAGAAGGAGAAAGGGCAAGGGGAAGTAGAGACGATGGGCAGACTATTATTATTATCCCCAGTTAGTTATATAAGCAATGAAGCAACTAGTAGTAATATGTATAGGTGGTATAAATCTACCAATTTAATATTGGTAGTCATTAAATACAATGTATATGTATTCACTAGAAAGAAAGGCCCAGGACAGAGTGGGTTGGAGAATGCTGGTCGGTGGCCTATGCTCCATTAGGAGTAAAAGGCGTAAGTAAGTAATTGATATATTTAATATCTATATGTTGTGTTGAATAGTACTATACGATAAGTGTATGAAGATAATTATATAATTAATAATGATCATGACAATAGTAAATGAATACGACCGAAAATAAGAACTGAATAAATAATGACAATGAACATAGAGAGAGAGGGGGGGAGGGAGGGAGAGAGAGAAAGGGTCAGTCAATGTTGTTTACAAAGTATTACAATTATCATTATTGCACAATAAGCTAGTTTCAGTCAAAATGGTCAACAACAATAATATAGGAACAGTGTTTATGTTCATCAGTAATACAAGTAATATGAACAGTAGTAGTAGTAGTAGTAGTGGTAATGGTATATATATAACCATAAAACAAGTTCTCAACAACAAACTAAGGAACAAGTTGCAGAAAAAACAAATAGGAAAGGAAAAAAGAACCAACTAAAGTAGGAAGAGTGAAATTAGATGAATGTAAATCAATTGAGTAACATAATTATTTTTTTTTTCACAGCCAATAAAATAAGGTGTATACACGCCCATTCATACACATACACATACACACACACACGTATACACCGACAATAATTGATTGATAAATGAACAAATTATGTATATAAATAAATTATATAGGTAAAGAAGATGATGTAAGTAGAAAAAAAATCCATGAACAATTCATTGATTGACTGATGCATAAAGGGGAGGGATAGAATGGTTCATCATATCATGAAGTACTTCCAGTCATTAGTATTGATCATGTGAGCAGAGAGAAAGGAAGAAAAAAGCAAAAAACAAAAGAAAAACTGGAAAGGGTTCCAACATGGTAATTTTGGCCTAAAACGATAATACAGCTGATTAATGATAGTTTATGGTCTCAATGTTAATGGGCGTAGCATTTGACGACAAATTGAAGCTATCAGGGTTGGTGGTTGGTCAAAATCAGTTAATAATGTACAACCAGAGTTTCTGAATGATCGATAAATTAGATCATATTTTTCGTCGAATGACACTAGATTAAAAAAGATTAAATGACACAAAAAAGATGTAATCAGGAGAATATCTGAATAAACATACACTGTGTAAATGATAGTATAATGAAGTAAGGAGAACTAGACAATATAAACTAATATAATAGGGATCTCAAACAGGCCAATCACAGCTGCTATCTTGATTCGGCAGTCGAGTTCGGATATCATGATGACTTTGTCGAGCTAGACTGATTGGAACACCTGTTGTTTTTGATGCTACACTGTCGTGAAGTACGATTGAAGAACCGTTTGACTGAAATTAGAGACTAGAAGTTCAAGGGCGAAATCTCAATGCTCAATGTACATATGTACGATAGCAATGAAATATTCCCCTCAACCAACAGGAGTCTCCAGTGATGTTACGTAGCCGAAACGGAACGGAGGACCTAGAAAAGGTCGATCCTAGGAATAGCCCAGCTTTTCCCAGAGATTTTCATTGATGGTGACAAGGCCTCAAAAGTGTGAGGTTAACTAACCTAGAACCACTCACAAAAAGATTGTGTGAGACCGGCCAATAGTATGAGATTAATTTAAAGCAATAAAGAAATACTGTAGTGGACGAAAACTTGATGTGGGAAACCAATTGATTGTTGAATGCAAAATTACACCGTTGCTTAGCAAAAGATGAAAATTATACATTAAATACATCATTTGTGCATCTTCCATCAGTTGTCCTTTATCTACTACATTATTCCTCTAATTTTGTTGTTATTGTGATTGTTCTGCGATTCCCTTTCTGTTCTCATCACAATCTTCTGCTGCCAGGCATTCCACTTCTGATTGGTGCTACATACTACTCATATCTGTCAGCATAAGCAGTATGCACCGCAATACCTCCATCTAGTGACTTAATTGTAGTGAATGACTAAAAGTGATCAATCATTTGCAATGGAACTTATGAAAATAGTAAAAAGCAGAGAGAAAGAGCTGTCAAATAAATGGTCATTGGTAAGCATTATAACGGAAAGCAAACAATGTTGTGGAATCTATATCAGATCACTTGATACTAGGTTGGGGGTACTAGATCAATCGATTCAATAAATCCCAATACTTAGGCGTAGAGAACAGTCTAATTGATTAACAAGTAATAGAATAAGTAAGGTGAATAAAGTAGGCAAACATTCATCATGCGTCGTTCATGGAAAAGAGACTGTGGAACATCACTGTAATAAAATTTATTCAGACCAATACAACCCACCAGGTAGAGATTCGTATAATAAATGTTGAACCACACTCTAAATGTTAGGACTAATGATATTATCTGGTTGCTTAAATCAAATTAAGTGGAGTAGGACGCGAACCTGAAACCTGGTGGTCAAAAGCCGAATACATTTACAGCTAAGCTACAGCTCCACTACTTCAGATTAGAATAATGAAACAGAATGGTCAAATGTATAACGTTAATTAGTTATCAACTGAAAAGACGATACAAAAAAGTACAAGTATTTATAAACAACTGTTTACGTAATATACTCAATGTCCATTGGTTGGACACTACCAGCAACATCCTACTATGGAAGAGAACAAACCATATTTCAGGTGAAAAGGATATTAGGAAAAGATGCTGGAAGTAGATAGGATATCCATTATAGAAATCACGAGGCAAGTGCTAACTTGGAACGCTTAATTGAAACGAAAAAGAACACATTGTGACGAGAATCAGAAGCAGACATGAAAAGGATTGCCCATGACAGGGTTGGATAGAGAGTGTTGGTGGACCGCCTATGCTCCTCTACGAAGGGCAGCAGGCGTAACTAAGTGTAGTCAGTCAGTCAGTCAGCTACAACGTAGGACAAGGCACATTTATACATCGGTCCAAGTTGCCATAACTCGTTAACACAACAAGATCAACACCGGATTCATAGAAATAGTTAATTTAATGGTGGTAATATATAAAATAAAGGTTGTATATAAGGATATACATATAACAGGAAAAAAGTTATGAAGTAATTTCAATCTCAAGGTTTCAGGGAAGATAAAGAGTGTATACACCTGCAACATTGTGGTCGATTCTGAGACATGTCACCCACAGTCCCCAACCATTGGTTACGATAGTCACGCGGACCCCAACCAAGTAGTCTGTATCTACCAACATGGCTCAGACTAGAAGTTAGTGACTTTGTGGGCTGATGCCATGTTTTGGTTTGGCCGTCCCTAACTTTCTTCCAACCATCCCCTACAATAGTCAGCATTGTGCGTCTTGGTGGAAAGACGATACGTACATACAACTTTCTATAAAATGACAATACAAGTAATAATAGAGAAGCAAGACACTTACACATATATATAAATAAATAAGTAAATAAGCACGATTAACAAACATCTAAAGAGGGAGAGAAAACAAACACCTACTTAGATCCAACGATGTTCGAGACAATGCTTGTACAATTAGAAATAATAATTCACGATATAGTGAATTTTCTAAACATGCTGCATAACATTCAATACTACCACATCGAATTTGTTGATTTAGTTTATTTCGTCTTATTTTAATATTTCCTGTCTCTATTGTTGATTGTAATTGAATATGATTTGTATTATTTGAATCCAATTGGTTTTTGTTTATTTCAGATGATATTTGTGTTTGTATTGATGATGGTATAGTTGTTGTTCCGATTGATGTTAATGGTGATGACGACGATGATGTTGATGATGAAGATGGTGGTGGTAGTGGTTGCGGTGAAAATGTTGTACATGATTGTGTAATAGTTAATGGTAATGAAGTATTAAATTGTAAATGTGCACGTATTTGTATGAGATATTCTAAAGCAAATCGCATATTATCATGTTTAATAGCATTGATTAATTGATCAATAATTGCATGAATTGGACAACAACTATTTCCATTACTATTCACAGTATCTTGTGAACTAGGTATTCTAACCAAAGACCAAGGTGAATTGTGATCTATATGATATATATATATATATATATATATATTATATGCAGGAGATGAAATGATAAATAAGATATTGAATATAACTTTCAGAGATATAACTAATTCAAAAATCTACTTAGATAATGTCATACCCGAACAAAGAATGATAATGATGATTATATATTTTTTTGTCATATCTCAATGAGTAGAAAAATTGTTTTTCTGACGTTTCGTGACTTGATGCAAGCCACTTCAGAGTAAATAAATAACCGATATTAGGTTAACACTATTTTAAATAGTTTAAACTGATATGGTTCACCCTTGCTAGTGAATTTATTGACTATTCTTATATTGACTTGAAACTAATAAGGCCAGAAAGTCAATGAAAGAAGTTGTCTATACTTGTAGACAAGACTAGAGGGAGGGTGGTACTTTTTAGAACCCGCCCTATGAGAGATTTGAAAACTGAAATAGATTAGTAGTGACAATTGTGCTAATTTTAATAGTTGAATTCATGAGTTGATCTAGGTTAGAACGGAATTTAAAACCTGGAAGCACTGGACAGCCATTTCGTCCTAGTATGGGACTCCTTAGAAGTGTGTACCCACGATCCCGCGAACCCAGGGCCTTCGAACTTGTGCACGAATACTTAACTTATGGACTAATGAGCTAGCGTCCAACAGCGTTAATGTCTAACTTCAATAGATCCATGATCTTGAACAACCCTTCATCTATTGTCTGAGAAGGATAACTGTCTCCACCGACAATTGTGTTAATCGAATAGTGTGACAGCAAAGCCCAAGAGCCGAGTCCAACAATATCTTTTTGAGAATGGTTTTGATGGACTGTCGACTTTTCAAACCTTGCAATTGGCACCAGAAACAAATGGGGACATTGTAGGGTGTGACATTTTAAGATCACCCTCCTGTCGATGGAAAGAAAGTATCTTCAAATATGTGTGTTGACCAAGAGAAATATCAAAATGCGATATTATAAGAAAGTCCGCAGTAAGAACTCCCCTTCGAACCAAGTCATATGATTTGCTTGTGATGGTAGAACATAAATAAAGCGTTTAAGCCAAAATCAGTCAAATTCCATCATTACTATAGGCACGCGCGATAATCACCAAACTAAGGTTGGAGGCACAGATGGGGGAACACATAATAGATCCAAGTTCAATATCCTGTCTTGTCATACTTCTTTTAATTCTATATCATGAGTTGTAATCAACTATCTGTTTCAAACCATAAACGTGTTTAAATCACCAAGAGTTTTGTAGAGATTGTCACGAACTGACTTCAGTTAGGGAACTATAGAAAACAAGGAAGCACTAGACAGCAGTTTCGTCTCGTATGGGATACCTCAAAAGTGCAACATTACTAACCACACCACCGAGGAAGGAATCTAGGAGAGCTAGATTTCACTGAGAGCGCTCAACCTTCATACTACTGAGTCGGAATATGACGGTCTTTATGTATAACATCAAACACTTAAATATATATATATAGCGATAAATAAATGTCTCGCAACGGGCATGGTTGAACTGAACTAGTTACGGCTTATAACTAGAACTTCTGGGATTACCTATTGAAGTTAGTCAGTAGTGAGCACATAATTATTATTACTAGAAAAGGTATGTGGAGATTGTCAAGTTTTCATAGTTTACATCAGGGACTTAGCTTAATTACACAACTAATGAAAATCAAGAAGCGCTATATAAAAAACCAATACTTACCTGAAGTTCTAAAGTTGGACCAATATTTATACAATGAATTTCTCATAACGCTTCGTACAGGATGTGTTGCATTCCAACGTAATGATATATATACAGGTAAATTGGGAGATAAATGAACTTGCTAGTATTGTTAAAACAATGAAAAGAGAGAAAAGACAAATAATTAGACTTTCGAAGTCATTTACGAAAACTGATAATTTATGAACATGACAGATACATAACTGAACCTAGCATATTATATGATTAAGTAACGTGATCCGGTTCTATTAGTCTGATATTTTAGTGTACTATTGAGAGATCCAGGATCAAAGTGTTTTTGTTTAGTACCATAGAAGTTTATTCTTTACCATCATAAAAAAATACTAATACCAAATTATCTTTGAATTCTTTTGAACTGTTAAGTGAGAAAATTCAATCAATCAAACTTACCTATCTGCACATAAATGTGATGTGACAGTGCTTAAGATTCTCGAGTTTGAACCACTAATTCACAGGTTTAAAATCTTCTCCACCTAATTCAGTCCGGGCAAACACATAGTATCTATCACTAGCTCTTACACTTTAAGTCCAGCACGAAGCCAAGTACATAAAATTTTAATTACCATGCGATCTATGGGATTAAAGTTGTTATTTTTTTTAACTAATTAGGTGTGATTGTCTGTGAAAATAAACTTCTTTAATCTAGACACGGTCAAATTCACTTCTGTGAAGTTGAATTAAAGTATGTGTGTCTAGTTCAAACAATGAAAAAAAACATTGGTTAACTGAAGTTTTGGAAATATTACATAAAGCGGATGTCAAGAATAAGTGTAGTGAGTAAAATTTTGGTGGTCGATTTCATAAGAAACAATTAGCCAATCCAGGCCATATTTTTCTAAACAACTAACGTATAATCTTTTCAGAAATCGCTAGTATTCTAAGCTTCGACAGGCAACGTTTGTCTTAAAGTTTAGATCAAGAATAATCCTAAACCCTATTGGTCCAAAATGTATGCCTTTCTTCTGTTTCAGTCTTCAGCCCGATAGTAGAATATGGCAAGCCATAGTATAACGGTACATATATCTCAAACACTTAAAGTTTACATAAATTTGTCTATCAGAATGCAACGCACTTCAAATAAGACATTATATTTCAAAACGCAATCATATGATAAGTAGCAAGGAACGGAGCAAACGATACATCATTCACTAGAGATCGTTAAAAAAAAATAACAACCAACGAGTCCAAAATAGAACGAAACGTGCATCCTAGATCTCACTGCTAGTCACTATCCGTCTTCGCTTAGAATGCTTGTGGTTTAAAGCAATATCGAGGGACCCGCAAAGGATGCACATATACCAATAAGAGATTTATCAATTATAGTACTGAAAACGTCAATGGGGAGATTCAACACAACCAATACGAAAATGAAGTAGTTGATTGCAAGTTCACAATACTCGCCTGCTCCCTACACCTTTCTAACAACAATTATTTCATGAAATCAAAAATTGATTTCAATAATAATCAAAATAGTAACTTACATAGTAAGCAAAGATGGATAGTGGCTAGCACTGGAATCCAGGACGCGCATTTTGTCCTATTTGGGACTCGTCAAATGGATGTATCTGCATCTCAGAGTTGATGTTCATTCTGGGACTCGAACCCAGTGCCTTTCGCTTCAAACGTCATCGCGTTATCCACTCGGCCACTGAGTCCTGATAGCCACTTGCTTGTGCAATGGGAAGATCCAAACAAACAATACTAAGTAAATTTCAACTTCACCCCATTGCACAAGCACGTGGCTATCAGGACTCAGTGGCCCAGTGGATAACGCGATGGCGTTTGAAGCGAAAGGCACTGGGTTCGAGTCCCAGAATGAACATCAACTCTGAGATGCAGATACATCCATTTGACGAGTCCCAAATAGGACAAAATGCGCGTCAATCTGGATTCCACCATAGTGAGCCACTATCCATCTTTGCTTACCATGCTTGTGAATTTAGGCTATATCGAGGCAATACGCACAGTATGCACATATGCCAATTAGAGACTGACCAGTTGTAGTCCTAAAAACATCAATGGGAAGATCCAAACAAACAATACTAAGTAAATAACTTACATAGAGTGCATCCGTAAATATAATTGAATGATTATTGTGTATTTGTTTATTATTATTACAATTACATTGTTGTGAACAATAATGGTGATGATGATGAGTATGTGGTGGATTTGCTTTAAATTTAATACGTTGCTCTAATTGACAATTCATTATCCATATTGGTAATAAATCTAATAAATAGGTTGGTAAACCTAAACGATACATTAACCATACTAAATTCCATGTTAATTGAGTATGACGATGTAATAATGATAATTGAATAGATTGACAATGTAAACATTCATCACCTTCATTTTGAATAATAGTTTCTAAAGATTTTCTAATGACAAATGGACTTAAATAAGAAAACTAATTAAAAGAAAAAAAACAGAAATATATGGAAACATATTAAATTGAAATGGTAATTTAATGATATATAAATACATTCAGCCAAGTGACTGTATTGACGACGGATGCCCCCAAATGCCCTGGAACGGTCGAGACGGGGAAGAGTCCACTCTCCTTCTCCAAATGCCTCTGTTCTACTCACTGCCTTCTCGTGGCATTACTGTTGTTTACGAAATTGAGAGGACGAAAAGCGAATGTCCGGTGCTTTAACAGGGATGATGGACACAGCGAGTCCACCTTGGGGAGTTGGAAAACCATGATTCTAAAACCAACAGTTTTTATTCATATACCAAATGACAGTCTATGAAAATGTCCTTAAACATCGAAGCTACCAATAGTCTAGGATTAAAACCAAATAAGGAGAAAATCCATCAACAAGTGAGAATCAAATTCAACTTCTGTCCTAACTTAACATCTTCAATATGATAACTAATTCAAAACAAACTCTTAGGTTTTGATACATAATTATCGGAATCACTAGCCAATAAAGAATAGTTACCAAAATGATGATTGGATATGATATGGGTTAACTTCATTATTAATTGGTGGACTTTCTAAAAAAAAAGGGAATCTTGATATTCTCACAACAATATTGATCATTGTGACCTTGGCAACGATGCAATGTTGCACGATCCTTGTCTAATCTTACTAGTTACCTTGTTTTAGAAAATACTACAGACACTGATGTTACATATCATCCTATTTTTTTTAGAAAACGGAAAGAATCGCATAAAGTACGAATTAGGGGTTAAATAGTCAGGATTGAGTTACAGAGTTCAGGATTTACGGTAAGGAAATATAATAGACCAATTATACAATATGATTCCGATAGTAAATATAAAATAATAACGGCGAATTCCAAGTCGTAATTCTAATTTTAATCCAAATTATAAAGTTTACATCTTAACCAAAAATTATAGCCTTAGCATAATTGCTATTCTGTGATTGACTGAACAGGATCTCGGTTTTGAAAAGTCTATTCATCTAAGTCAACATGATCGTTAAATCATGGTAATTAGTTCACTGAAATTTATGAGTTCATTTGGAAAATTTAATTCAGCCGTAGAATCTAGCATATCTGTATATAGGTTCAAGTTGCCATACTCCATTAGCACAGTGAAATTAAATTATCAAAATAAATCCCAGATTAGTAGAAATAGTAATAGTATTAATGACAATAAAAAAGATTTGGCATTTAATAATACAATGTAGATTGATTAAATAAAAAGATTTTAAGGCACTTTAGAAACTAGTGATCTAAGTAAGAACATAGAGTGAATACATCAGTGCTACGCCTAACAACCAACACACATCATCTCTAATCATTGTTTATAACAATCAGATAAACCGTAATCCGATAGTCTGCATCTACCTATATCATTCAGTTCAATAGTCAATATCTCCATGGACGAAGGTCATGTTTTGATTTCGTCACCTTTAGCTTTCTTCAAAAATGTATTGTATTTTATAATAGTCATTATTTAGGATAGTTACGAGAATAAAATCAATCACAGATACATATATAGAACAAATAAAAACCATAGTAATGATAAAAATATATAATGCTGTAGTTAGAACTTACTGTCATTTCCATTAGACCCATACTAAATGATAGGTGAACAGTGTACATATGTTGATAGAATCATGTAAAGAAATAGGGAAGAAATGGATTTACCCAATTTGTTTTAAGGATTGAAAAAAAAACAAATAAAACGGAAAAAAGTCTCAACTAACGAATACTTTTATAGCTCATAGTGAATTCCCCTTACAGAAAATGAATTTCATGGATTGGGATTGTTTCATCAAAAGGAATTCGAACGAAATTTCGGGTTTAACATTTTTACTATAAACCAGCAGAATCAAATCGATAATACTCATTTCAACGTAGTACAAACATTCAATGCAGTCAGTCAGCTACGACGTAGGACCAGGGTACATATATGCATTGGCTCAAGTTGCCATACCTCATCAGCACAACAAGATGACCACTAAATTCAGAGAAGTAGTTACTACAATAGTAACATTCAATGCAGATATTTCGTCTGTTATTGAATAATAATAATAATAATAATAATAATAATAATAATAATAATAATAATAATTGGAAGTAACAAAAAAGAGTATTGATTGAGATCATGAACCGATTGATGTTAGACAGCCATTGAAAACCTGGAAGCAGTGGACGGCCGTTTGATCCTATTGTGGGACTCCTCAGTAGCGTGCATCCACGACCCCGCTCGTGGGATTCGAACATAGGGCTTTCAGTCTCGGGCGAGAATACTTAACCTCTAGACCACTGAGCCGGGATCCAACGATGTCAATGTCTAACCTCAAGCAATCCAATCTATAAACCTTTAATGATATTAAAGGACATTTGGTTGAACTACAGTTAGTACATATACACTTTCACGCTTTTGGCTTTCCTCTAAACATTAAATATAAAGGCTACTGACATTACCCCGTAAACCAAACTGAAGTGGGACGAAATTCGAAACTATAACTTACTGATTAAAAGTCGAATGTTCTGACACATTTAGGTAGCCGTATACATAAGAAAACGCATTAACAGATCTAGTTTAATTATCAATATTGCTTAGTATGTACTTTGATCCAGGTTTATGAATTATTATATTTGGATAATAGAAAGATGATGCAAAAGTTGGTTTTTATGATTCATGAAAACTGTACCAAGTCACTCAATATCTAACCATAGCGCGGACCTCAACGATGTAGTATCCATCTAATAATATAGCTTACACTAATAGTTAATGGTCTTATATATATATATATATAAACAACTTACGAAGTATTTTGAACTGGTACTGAGGTGCATAATTTAGATTGAACTGACTCAGTTGAATCATTTCTATCACATTGGAGATTGGACAGATTATTCGACGACTGAGAAAAAGTTGTAGGAAATTGTTTTTCTCTTGACTGTTGTCGTTGTTGTAATTTTGCTGACTGATTATAACCAACACCTCCACATGTATCACCAAATATACGTATTGACAATTGTGGTATAAAGTAAGTTTTACAAAATGGACAAAATGTTCTATGATCATTTTCATCTGTAGACCAACCAGCCATTATCTCTTCATCATAAACATAATGTTTACACTTTGGACATGTTGAACAAGTTGTAATGAATATATTCAAATGAGTAATACTATTATTATTATTGTTTCTATTAATGTTAGGAAGTTGGTTACCATCTGATATTGTTGTCGATGTGGAAGAGAACGATGGTGATGATTCTTTATTATTATTATCACTTTGACTAAGACATGAGGATGGTGATTGAACAGTTGGTGTTTTGATTGTTGAAAATAAACAAGAATCACTGACTACTGGATTTGAATGATGATCAACTGGATTCGAATTCGGTTGTTGTGCATCAAGATTTGAAGCTGTTATTGTTGCTACTGTAACTGGTACTGAAGTGGTTGAATTACCTGAAGAAAATGAGTAAATAAAGTGTTATTTGGACTGAGTTTCGATCCGTCTTAGCAGACATATGTGTACGCTGAGCAAGTTGCCTCAATACAGTCATTATGACAAAAAGTTATATGGTATAGATACAGTGTGGCTAGTAACGGAATACAGGAGGCACGTTCTGTCTCAGTTACGACTCATTAGCCGAATAAACGTAGGCTCCAAGACTGATGCTCTCAGCAGGATTCGAAATCAGTACCACTAGCTACAGGCACTAACGCGTAATTCACCTAGATACTGATATCAGATAACCATTCAATTCTGCAACCGGTATGAAATTTAATGTAATCTGAACCATCACAAATTAAATAAATAATGTCTTAATAAAACAATTAAGGTGTTGAGATTTCCAGTTGGACTGTCAGATATTTGTGAATTTATGAGTAACTGAGTTACTCTTATAACAAATATATATATATATATATATATTCTAAGCTGTACCATTTCAAGTTGTTCTGTTTGTTTGAATATCAAGTTCTTCCTACACTTTCTTTATTGGCGGCTAATTAGTATTGAGTGCTACTTGACGTTATCCAGTCTGCAATAGAATTTTTGTTATATATATATATATATATATATATATATATATATATATATATATATATGCAGTAGCGGAAACGTGGCCTTCAAGTACGCAGAAGATTAGTAAACTAAAAGTATTCGTAACCAAGAAAAGAAAGCCAAAAGTCATGAGGAAAACTAAGTTCAACGAAGAGCACACATGGTAACCGTTGCTAGCGAGACTTCAACAATCATAACAAAAATTGGATAATACTCTAAACGTCTTAATAATAAGATACATAAGTATATTATGTAACTCAGCAATCTTATTCAACTGAAACAATCAGTGAAAATTAATGTGACATCAATGGAAAAGTTGTAAGTAAGCTCCATTCGGCATAAAACATTAACATGAACAAATGTAATTAACACTATGAATAGAGAAAGAGCTGAAATAATAGAGCAGTAATCATCACGAAAGACTAAGCACTGAGAACATGATTTGAATAAAAAAACAGGACAAATGTATATTGTGGAGGAGTATTGGAATTGTAGATCTGATTTATCGTAAAGAGCGAATGAATCTTTGCCATTGTGATTGATTCTGAGCGATGTCCTAGTGTTTGTTGATAACACATGGATTACAGTAACATCTTGGTGGTTTATTTACTAAACTGTTATCCGAACCAACTGTATGATGTAGCAATATTTCTAAGACATCTGTGGTCAAATACTAGTAACTTACGAGTATCTTCTACTCTTAATGGCCATGTTTCGCAGCCGTAAAGTAGAGCAGAGTGAACTGCTGTGCAGTATACTCGTCGTTTAATTGATGGACTGATATCTCGTCTTCGCCATGGGTGACGTAGGTTGGCAAAAGTCAAACGAGCTTTTTGAATCTGTGCTGAGATTTCGTCGGACACCAACCCATTAGGGCTGATCAGACTACCAAGATAAGTGAAGTTGTCGGCTTGTTCGACTACTTCATTCTCTATCCTTAGTTCAGGTGTTGACGTAGACTCTAATGAAGCATTCAATTTAATTAAACTAGGCAATAACAGCAAATTTCCTGAAGAAAACTTACCATGCTTCGTTGTTGTTAATTCATGATAAGTATTATTCAGTGTTGGGATAACATGAGATGACTCAATTTGATTGATATGAAATGATGGAGCTGGTATCGGTGATGGTGATGAACTATTGTACATATACTGTTGGTATAGACACTGTTGTAAATGTATTGTACGCGTATTGGCAGGTGATATACGTCGATTAACATCGCCAACAAGTAATGGACCAGCGACATTGATCCACATATCTTTCAGAGAGTTTGAAGCATCCACTTGGTTAGCTAGATGAAAAAAATATACAAGACAAGTATTTATATCAAACTTTCATCTACTTTTTTCATAATATCATAACAATAATATGTCATCTATAATGAGTAGTGGTACGTTTGCTACTGTGATGTTTATTACTAATTTCCTAGCCATTTCTTATAACCCCAAGTTAAATCCACACTTTAACTAGAATCATAGGGCAAAGATTAAAGGCTTCATTTTAAGGCTGATTATGTACAGAAATACGAGTGTATATTATAAACCTCATGTGATCCTTAACTTCTAGATTTTTCTAGAAACATACTAAATCTAGCAATGGAAGAAGCAATTATCCAGTCACGTCATTCTTCATTTTTCTAGATGTTTTTGAGTAACTTCTTTTCGGTGCCGAGTGGATAAAACATTTCTTCGTATTTTTTGTAATTCTAGAGACTTTAAGGAAGGATATTTTGTGACTCCTTGACAAATAATTTAAGAAACTATCATCTTAAAACTTTGATTGTAACCTTTTGAAATATCGATACTGATTTCACAAAGCACTGTCAACTGAAAGAGGGCTTTTAGTACATAAGCTCTAGAGGATCTTGTAGCTGTAAATAAATCCCAAATATCAATAGCTCTGTAAGCGTTCGACATTGGATGATGACCACATTAGTTTTAGTAGACTAATTTAGTTGAAGGCGCTCAGTCATGCACCCGTACCAGATTACGTTTTGGAACGGCGTGGGTAACATCTCCTGCAATCACTAGCCATATTAGATCAGTCACTTCTCGATACATTGATAATCCATCAAATATATCTTCCAACCTCCTCACTTCTGACCTTTGATTTTCCTCGGTGGGCGCGATTAGATTATAGAAGGTGTTACTGGTAAAATGTTGTCAAGGTACAATCCCTATGGTATCTTCAATCTCATATACCTGTGTGTTTGTTGCCTATTTATCGCCTTGAAATGACGAGTATCTCTATAAAAAATGAGAGAAAGAAAGCGGACATCAGGTGATTACCTCCTCCTGGATACCCAGGACGGTATTAAAACTTTCATATTAGTGACTACTATCATGAAATAAACGAAAATCCTGTATCACTCTCCTCACATGTAAACTTTTACCAGTTATGAAATCTACAATCTACAGTTCTGGATTCTACATCTTGAGGAATTTTGCAAAACAGGAATACGTAGTTCAAGGAACTAAAAAAAATAAACTAGAATATGAGAATATAATACATTGTCACTAACATACTACTTATTGTGAATTAGTTAGAATTCAAAAGCAACAAGTAGTGAAGGGTATTTACACTTAAACAATCTATCTTGAGTTGTATCAGCTAATATTTTGAAGAATGAAGTATCAACAAGTTAAAACAGTCAGTCATCTACAACGTAGAACAAGGCACATTTATGCATCGGTCCAAGTTGCCATAACTCGTTAACACAACAAGATCAACACCGGATTCATAGAAATAGTTAATTTAATGGTGGTAATATATAAAATAAAGGTTGTATATAAGGATATACATATAACAGGAAAAAAGTTATGAAGTAATTTCAATCTCAAGGTTTCAGGGAAGATAAAGAGTGTATACACCTGCAACATTGTGGTCGATTCTGAGACATGTCACCCACAGTCCCCAACCATTGGTTACGATAGTCACGCGGACCCCAACCAAGTAGTCTGTATCTACCAACATGGCTCAGACTAGAAGTTAGTGACTTTGTGGGCTGATGCCATGTTTTGGTTTGGCCGTCCCTAACTTTCTTCCAACCATCCCCTACATTAGTCAGCATTGTGCATAGGGATAATAGAGGTTTGAGCATACGTAGCACGTGACCCAACCATCTCAGTCGATGAAGATTCATGACCTCATCAACTGATTTACCGTCATCATTCATTAATACCTTGCGTTTAACCTCAGTAATACAGCAGATGCGAGCATTCTTTTTAAGACATCTGTAGTCAAATACTAGTAACTTACGAGTATCTTCTACTCTTAATGGCCAAACAAGTTAAAACAACAACGCTTCACACCTGATTGAACATTATTTCTTAAATTGATTGTTTTCGATATACGCCTAACTCTTGAGCAACTTTATTTCGAGTCTTGATACACAATCGAATGGCTAAACAAGTTGACAATCATATCAGCAAGCACACACACATAGTGTCACACACTTTCTCCATAATATTACAAATATTTGAACTGAATAGTGTTTGTCTTATAGAGTTCTCATGAATTGCTAATAACAAACAACGCCCCCAAATGCCCTGGTAGGCCGAGAGTGGGAAGAGTCCACTCTCCCTCTCCAAATGCTATCACATGGCCACGCGAATATATAGCCTCTATCAGGGAAAACCTACTCACTGCCTCCTCTTAATCAGGGAGTTGTTTACGAAATTGAAAGGACGAAAAGTGAGTGTCCGATGCTTTAACCGGGTAGGTAAACACAGCGAGTCCACCTAAGGGAGTTGGAAAACCCTGATTTTAAACCAATGGTGCACATGGGTTGGCTCCAGTATCCTGAAGGAACAAATGGAACAAAATGAATCAATCATTGGTCACCGGCTACTATGAGACTGCATCTCCTCACAATGCCCCACTGCCTTGCAGATCAGACCTCTAGATCAAAGTCTCGGAGATTGGCCCCCTAAGAAAACCACTTGCTTCGGTTTGGGCACCTGGGCAGTATTCCAACCCTCACACAAATCAAATGAGATTTGTGAGGCGCATATGTGTCTGGTACCTCCTTGTACCAATATTCATGTGTTTAAATAATAATAATAATAACGAAGATAATAAACTTTAATTTATCAAATAAAGTCAAAATTTAACATTCCAAAACTTGAAATACTGTTAATTGTCTTACCTGAGGAATGATATTCACGTTCATAATTATTTGACAAGACACTATTTAAAGCATTATTAACCTGTGGAAATTGTCTAATTAATTGATGATTACCATTACTATTCATATTATAATTGTCAAAAGAATGATAATTCATATTAAACAATGTACCATTCATTGGATTTGTAAGATATACAGAATCTGATAGTTTATGTGTATTAGTAAATGGGATATTATCAATAGATTGATTATATGTTGAATCAGTATTATTATTCATTCCTATACATGATGATTTAGACCATGAAACACGTGAAATACGTTCACTTTGTGGTGGAATAGGATAATAGTAATTTTTTTGTTGAACATGATAACCACCATGTTGATTAGTTAAATTTGAACTTGTAAAACAATTTGAGGTAGTTGCACGTCTTCCTGTTTGTGGAGTTGGATTTGTAGATAAACTTGGAATAAGAGAACGCCAATCTAACAAAGATCGATTCATATTGATACGATTGATAAAATCTGATGTAGATCTATTTCATGATAAAATGGTACAATTTGATTTGAAGATTATTATTGAATTAATAAATTAATTAAACACTTATAAAAACAAGCTACAGTGATCAATAGGCGGCCCTGTCGTAGGAACAACGGTTTTCAGAATTCGAAAAACATTGATAGATAACTATTATGTAACTGTAGTGAATGAGAGCACAGATGAGGACAACCAACTACATATTTAGCACAAATTACAACGTTGCTTGATAAAATACAAAAACCATACACTGATACTCTATTAGCAAAATGTTCTTTAATTGTCTCAGGCTTCATTGTTCCCGGATTTCCACACCAATTGCTTTTTATTTCTGTTCTTCTCTTCTTGATCTCCTCAATCTTCTGCTGTCAGATATTCTGTTCCTTACTCACAATATATACTACTTATGTCGATATAAGTAGCCCACACCACATAACCACTGGCCATGTGAAAGTATTACTTGAATTCAAACTACCAAGAAGAAGAAAATCAGCTAATGGGATTGAGAATAACTAGCTAGGGTTAAATAATTTTTGCAGCTACTGACCTTTTCAATTATCCAATCAATCATTTCAATTGTAGATAGTGAGTGAATAATCAAATGACGCAGTACAGATTTGTGTATAAAGTTCTAATATCTGTTAAGAATAGAAATGCATTGGTCAGATGCACCGATTAGAGGACAGCATATTGACGCGACTATTATTATCGTGTTTGCGTAAATCTAGTGCAATAGTAAATTAAACGAAATGCAAGGATAAGCGAAGTGTAATTGATGAGAACGAAGTGAAAAGTATATGCTCTATTGGTGACTTTATAGAGAACCAAGTATTAAACTATAAATCATGGATTGTTACGAAGCTAACAATACTACCAATTTTCTAGCGAGAAGCTGTGATCAGTGAGGATAATCCTTATAGGATGTGTCTCAGTTACCCACCATAGACAATTGAAGATGATTGAGCAGTATATCGTGGCTTGATTAGCGTTGGACATTAACACTGTTGAATAGCAACTCAGTGATCTGGAATTTAAGTTTTTGCGCGCGAGGCTGAAAGTCCTAGGTTTGATTTCTACGTTCATGAACCTGAATGTCCACTGCTGAAGAGTCCCATGATAGGACAATTGGTTTTATATATTATATTTTTATTGTACCATTATCAAATACTTGGACTGTTGCATTTTCATATTCTTGTATTTGAATCGTAAACTGTTGCCATAAGTTCCACTGTTCCAGAATTATCATTGATTAATTACTCCCCCACACTACTTCTCTTTGCACCATTTTTGAATCAGTTGTCTACACAAATTGATTTCCTACGTGTAGTACTGTGTGATCAAGTATTGAGGGTATATTATCATAAGAGTCTTTGAGTTATATTGATAATAAACAATAGACATAGAATCTGTTTCCCAAAATCATTTAATCAGACATACTGGGTTACAAGTAGCGTGTTGGCCAACAGATGTTAACATTATGGTCATTTTTTCATAATAAGCAACTCATTGTTCTGGAGTAGGTCATTGATTTGATAAGCATAAAGCGAACAAGCACAACACATCAACACTAAAATACAAATGTTCTTATGCTAAATCTACTCGATTAAAGGGGTCTCAACAATGAATATTGAACAGAACAATGATTTTCGATAACTTCTTCATCGGGTTCTCTACAGTAGGATATGTGAAAGAAGAAGCCCTTGAAAACGATCGTCTATTCTAACACTTTTTAAAATCTTTATTCCCTTAAGGATTTTTCAGCAATATCATGTTTTCATAACACTTACCTATTGAAAAAGTTCAATGCATTATGAACAACTGAAACTTTGGGCTGTGCATTAGCATCTTCATTGTCTTCGTCGTTGTCTTCAACATCATCATCATCATCATCACCATCAATATTATTATCTACAAGTGAAGCTGTCAAATTTGAATTACCATTAGAAGTAGCAACAGCAATGGGAGTAGTGGTCGAAGTAGTAGTCATAATATCATGATGATGTGCTGATTGTCTCATAATATTAACTGACGAAGAATTATCATCAAATGATTGTCTAGATGATTTTGAAAATAACAAATGTTTACTATCTCGAGTTATATCTATACTACTATGATGTGAATAAGGATTACAACCATACGATGACGGAGTATGAGTAGTAGTAGTAGTAGTAACAGGTGAAGTATTATAATGTTGAAGGAATGGACGTTTGATTTTTGACAGTGCTGATGATAATAAATTATATCCGTAAGGAATGTGTTCATTTTCAGAATGTTCGTCATCATCTGCGCATGAATCATCATCACTGAGATTGGTACCATTACTACTGCTACTATCATTGTTATGATCATTAATAACGTCAGCTGAGGCTGATGATGACTTAGCAGTGTCAGGAGTATTGATATGATTCCCTTCTTTAGATGGAGTATTTTCCCTTACGTTTTTCACATTATTATCATAATTACCAATAACTGTAGTTGGATCTGATTGTTCAACAGTACTCAATCTTGATGTTTGATGATCATTTATACTGGAAGAAGGTATAAATTGGCTGATAGTATTTGAACTATAACCTGTTAAAGATGATCAAATACCAGATAAAATATATATTTATATCTATATATTTGGGTAGGAAGATAGCAAGAAAGCAAGGAGTCCCGTCATTAGTTCACATAAGTCAATTTTTAGTTTAAAAATAATTCATTTATTAGTTAGGATTTTAAACTTCCAGCAAGCTGCATGACATTGACTTAGTTATATAAACACATAAACACATTAAGATAACTGTCTCAAGAAATATTTGACAGTGAATATATAATATACCACTTCTAAATGAATCTTAGCGTGAAATCTTATTCATTCCCTGTTAGATCGGCTTACAATAAACTCTATCAGAGTCTCCAGAGAGGCTCATAAAGAGACCAGCCAATCAGCGATTAGTTAGAAGCTATGCTACTAAAATAACAAGGTCCTGATTGGCTGTTAACATACTGTTACTATGGGATCTCAAGGTCTTTTAGCTACTATAAAACCCCTGTTTTTTCTGTACATAATTGAACCTTGTAGTAAAGTGCTTCTCTGATACTCGTGTCTTCTCTCTGGTCTTCCAAGTCGCTGAGTAGTGCTAGCCTGGGGTTATCCGAATAGCTAGGATCCGAATAAAACGTTCAACTTACGAGTCATAACATTCCCAAAATTTTTAGTAAGCTATTTTGTTCCAAACAGTTTAAATATGCCAAAGGGCAAGGAGAATCCAATCTCTTTATCGAAATACTCTTGAAGCCCTGTGCATGTTTAGTCTCTGACGGGAAAGTGCAACTAACTAATTTCACTCGTCGAGAGGTGTTACGTATGAAAGTGAGAAGATGAAGAAGCTGACGTCTGAAGTGCAAACTGAACGAGTAGATAAGGTGGATTTATCTATGAGAGTTAGGAAATACTGATACTAAGTAATTGATACACATGGTCTCTATGATTCCGAGAGAACGACTAGTGCATGAACATATTCTTGGTCATTGGTATTCATAGAACTATATCACTTTACGTTGTTCCGTCGCTAGTGGACTAAACCTTTAGGGTTAAAAGTTCGGTGTGTGGCTCCCTAAGGAAATCATCTGCTTTGGTTTAAGACCCCGGAAAACATCCTTATATGTTACACACACTATTTCTGATCCCCAGGTGTATCAGATCCTATATCAATTAGACAAATAAAATGATCAACAGTACACTTTGATAGAATAAATCACCTAAATAATACATTAGTATACTAAAAAAAACACCGTACTAGTTAAGTGTTCTTTTGATTGTGAACTGTGATGACATAAAGTGTCATCACCGCTACCAATAACAGACGAAGCTTGATGGCATTCTGCTAATTCTTGAATTTGTTGATGTTGTTCCATTGGAATTCGATGATTATCATCGGTTGAAACATTGTTGATATTTGTAGATTGGTCAACAACAGGTGACCAATCTTGATCTGAACTTGTCTTATCCTCATGTATATTCAACGTTGAATATCCTTGATCAGTAAGATCATCGGATGAATTAAATGGTTGCGGTACTATGATACCAGCTACATTCAATATAAAAACAAACAAAACATACTTTATAGTATGATATAAAATAAATTATTACGATTGAAGATGTGGTCAATGTGGATTCTACAAACGTAACGTTTATAAATCTTTGCCCAAATTTGGGGCAGGGCTGAGAGTAACCTTAAAAAGACTCAAGGAGTTTTATTATTAGTTACCTGAAGAGAAATGAAAGCGTTTCAAAATTGCGGATAGTTAGTATATATATATATATGCACAGGATGCACATATATAACAAAGAGTGGTCCAAATTTAACCTTAATTATTGACAACGGGATAACTCAGTTCAATTTTAATGAATATAAACATTATACGAATTGGACACGTTAGTAGCTATCTGAACTCAGTAGCTCAGTTGATAACGCATTAGGTATTTGAAGTGAAAAGTACTTGTTCCACGTTTACACGCAAGTATCATACTAGGATAGAGGTATATACAAGTCCGGAATTGGACGAAACAAACAGGATAAATTCTATTGCAAACAACAATCTACCTATTTAAGTTTATTAATACCACAACAATCAGAAACAACCTGCAAAAAGAGTGGTTTTTTATGTATGTATAAACGTACTTGTATTTTCAGAACTATTAATTTGTGTAGATGGTTTCAGTTCAGTATCGGCAGAAGCTGAACGACGATGATTATGATGTTTAGATGTGGACATCAAACGTTCGTTTTCCAATCTTTTGTGTTCTCTCGATTCTTTCTCAAATGCTTTGTAAATCTAAAAAGATATTAAAACATTGAATTACTAACTATGATAAGAGAGAGCATAGTTTAAAAACACTGGACGCTCGTTTCGTCCTAGTATGGGACTCTTCAGTAGTGTTCAGAAACGACCCTCAACGCGGACACCGAGCTCAAGCGTGAAACGTTCAAACTATAGACTAATGAGTTGGAATCCAACGGTGTTAATATCTAACACTAATCAATTCACAACACTGTGCAACCACCTTCGATTATCTGCGGTAGGTAACTGAGTCACCTGCTATACGGATTAGCTTCATTGGTAAAAAATTCTTACTAGTATTCTGGAAATTTCCTCCTGAAGCTAGTCATTAGTGAAATGATCGTTCAACTTTTTCAGGTGTTCAAAGAGGATGTAACTTAGATTAGCTAACGGTTACAATGAATTACGAATTCATCTACTGATATTCAAACTGAGTAGTGTATGATAAAGTGTCCAAAATGATTACATAGAGGATATTCGAACATAAACAGTCCAGTAGAAAACAACAAAGGACGAAACGACTGCTACAACACTGGCACTAGTAGTCTCTGTCAAACTATTAGTTATCAAGCAAACTGATAGATGCTATCATATTTATGGAAAAAGGAACAAAGCTTACATGATTCGCAATTCCCGATGACGATGATGACCAATCCATTGAATTAATAAACTTCAGTAAATCGAAGTCTTCGATACGATTTTGATACAATAACACTAGTAATATACGTAAAGCAACCTGAAACAATCAAAAAATGATGCTGTAGATAAAATACTACTATACTAAAAAAAAACAGTTTCACTGTTGTTATTACTATTAGCTTGATTTAATTTTATATTTTTGGTACAATACAGAATTCTCAGTACAAACTATTTCAACAAGTTTCCATTTCTTATTTCTTGGTCGATCCTGACGATGAATGTTAAGTGATCGCCAGTTAGAAGTTAGCAGTCCAGTCAATCGATTTCTGAAAAATGCACATTCCTCTCGCTGCATATTGCTAGCAACCATGAGATCTCTGATTGGGCATTTTGTAACCTTTACAGCGAAAGGTTATACAATTTACAGAAACACACTTATATAGGTCATAGGATAAATAACCATAATGATGTATTAAAACAAACGAAATTATATAACTTGTTGAAATATCTAAATGACAGGAATAAGTAGCCCAGATGTTTTAAGCAGGCCGCCAATTATGTTTCATTAATATAAATAATATATTCGTTGATATCCGAATGAGTAGGAAAAAAATTTTCCTGACCTTTCGAGGCTCAGTGTAAGCCACTTCTTCAGAGAATAAGTAAACAAATGAAATCAACCCAAGGTTAAATAGTACAAAGAAACGAAGCAAAAATATTTGACACGACTAATCAAAAAACAAGTCCGGTTAAGTCAATGTCATATCACTCCGGTCAAGGTGATTTATATGCGACAAGTTTGTGTATTTGTGTGTGTGCGTATGTGTTAGTGGATGACAATTGTGATGTTTATAATGTGAAAGGATTGAGCTGAACTTGCATGTATGATATTAGTATGAGATATGGATAGAATCATACATAGTAGCTCTAACAGATGTTCCAAGTCGGATGGATAGTAAGGCCTTCTTTTCTATTGAAGGCAGAAGGATTTAGCAATATATGCAAGGCTTCAGTTCTTTGTCATTCTAATTAGTTAGAAAAGCCTTTTCGTATTATTTCAAAAACATTTAGGGGTAGTATTGAAACATACTATAAAACAACTAACACCTTTCAAAATCTTTTACTTCGTATAAAGGAGAAAATCCTCTTTACGTCGGCACACAATTGTGTGTACAGATTAAGATGTTTTGATTGTGGTGTCTTTTATATTGTAGAGTAACTTCGTGAAATTTTGAATCAAGCCAAAAACCATCTAAGGTATACAAAAAACCACTTAATAATTTTGTAGAATCTGAAAGAATTCAAATTAGATCGGCAATAGTCTGTGCGTGCTATCTTCGATAATTAACAAGTTGATACTAAAAATATAAAGATTATACAAAAAGGCCTTTCCAAATGCATAGAAAGACGAATGACTGAAGCATTCCATATATCGCTAGGTCCTTCTGCCTTACAATCCATCTGACTTGGAACATCTATTAGAGCTACTATGTATGATTCTATCCATATCTCATACTAATATCATACATACAAGTTCAGCTCAATCCTTTCACATTATAAACGCCACAATTTTTATCCACTAACACATACTCACGCACACAAGTAGACAGACTTGTCACTTAATATTCACTCAGTCAGTTGGCTGCAAAGTAGAACCTGACACTTACATGCATCGGTTCAAGATTCCGCACCACATACGAACAGCGAAGTAAAATATTGAAAGTAGTAACTGTAACAATAGTAGTAAAAAATATTAATAGTAGAAGCCAGAAGAAAATGCACAAGGAGACTTCGGGACTAAGGCCCTAATAGAACGCAAGGAGTGTGTGCATCTGAGCCATTGCAGATGATTTTGAGTTATGATATCGAAATTCGATAACTATTGAGTTACGATAATCACGTGAATCCCAACTAAGAACTCTGCATTTACCCATATGATTTATTCCAATACTCAGTGTTATCAGAGACTGATGTCGTATCTCGATTCGGTCACCATTAGATTCCTTCCAATTTATTTCTACACTAGCAGTCATCGCGTGTCGAGTTAGTTAGTGGGTTGGCATACATAACACATATCATAACCCTCTCAGTCAATAAATATTCATTATAAATTATACGAATATTCGTCAAGGTTAGAACGAATAGTTTGACAATAATTGGGCGCCGAGTATAGAGAATTCATTATATGTGAAAAAATTATATTTGAAATAGTCTCAGCGATTGAAATATAAATAATTCCAACGTTTCGTCCAGCTAACTTGTCTGAAATTCTTCAGGGAAATAATCAAAATCAAAATCATCAAAGAAATATACGTAGTGTTTTTTAACAATCATATCATCAAAATCTCTACTACTTTTTAATCCAATCATATTTGGATGTCGAAGTTTTTGTAAACAGGATAATATGAGACAGTTGAATGAGAATCAAGTGAAAAGTTCAACGATGTGAATTAAAGGAGACTGCATAAATTGTGTGTATGTATGTATGTATAAGATGAATTATTAATGATGAATGATATACAGTGTTGATATGTTTCTATGTGAAGTAAAAATAAGAATAAAAGTGCAAAAATGAAGGTTGAAAAGTTTTTTTTTCTGAATCATAGAAATTGCAAATAAAATGAGAATCATCATCAAGTACATAATTATGTAATGCTAAACATAACTCATATTGATTTCAGTCATAATAACGATTCATGTGAAGTAAACAGGTTGAATAAAAGAAGAAAAGGTCAAATTACTTGTTGATGAATATTTGCCAAATGGTAGCTAGCTGAATACCATCCTTTCTGTTTAGGCTGTCTTATTCGCCCATATATATAGCGCTTCTGCTGTCAATCTTTCTTTATGAGTGTTGAAACCTTTCTGAAGTATTTTGGCCCCTTCAAAATTAATCATGTGTCCCGTTTCCAACGCATGTAACGCTATTGCAGATTTATTCTCAAGTTTCCTTAAGTCAACTGAAGTTTTGGGAACATTTTTTAAACATTGTTTGTGTTCCTTCAACCTTACCTTCAATTGTCTGGATGTTTCTCCAATATAAGCCGCATTACAATCATGACAATTGATCTCATAGATAATATTTTGATGTTCTTCCTTTGGTAACCTATCCTTAACCTTCACCAATAACGATCTTATAGTGTCACATGTTCTAAAACACACTCTTATATCATGCTTGTTTAAAATCCGTTTGATTTCTTCCGATGTTTCACTACGGTATGGTATGATTACAGTAGACTTCCAATCTTTCTGTACACATTGTAGTTTAGCTTTTCTTTCCTTTCTAACAATCTTCTTTAAAAACTCTTTAGGGTAGTTGTTATCCTTAAGTGTAGATAAAATCCTATTCAATTCATATTGTTGGTCTTCCTTATCTGTAGTCAGTCAGTCAGCTACAACGTAGGACCAGGCACATTTATGCATCGGTCCAAGTTGCCATACCTCGTTAGCACAACAAGATGAACACCGGATTCATAGAAGTAATTAATTTAGTGGTGGTAGTACATAAGGAAAGGTTGTATATAAGGATATAGTACAGGAAGGAAGAGAGATATGAAGCAATTTTAATCTCAAGGTTTAAGGAAAGATAAAGAGTGTATACACCTACGCCATTGTGATCGATTCTGAGCCATGTCACCTAGAGTCTCCAACCACTTATTACGATAGTCACGCGGACCCCAACCAGGTAGTCTGCATCTGCCAACATGGCTCAGGCTAGAAGTTAGTGACTTCAAACACTGATGCCATGTTTTGGTTTGGCCGCCCCTAACTCTCTTCCAACCGTTCCCAATACTAGTCATCATAGCGCGTCGTGGTAATCGGTGTTCAGGCATACGTAACACATGGCCCAACCATCTCAGTCGATGAAGATTTATCACCTCATCAACTGATTTACCATCGTTACCTAATACCCTGCGTTTAACCTCACTATTACTTACTCGGTGATCCCAGCAGATGCGAGCAATATTTCTAAGGCATCTGTGGTCAAATACTAGTAACCTACGAGTATCTTCTACTCTTAATGGCCATGTTTCACAGCCGTAAAGTAGAACAGAGCGAACTGATGCGCAGTATACTCGTCCCTTAATTGATAGACGGATATCTCGTCTTCGCCATAGGTGACGTAAGTTGGCAAAAGCCAAACGAGCTTTTTGAATCCGTGCTGAGATTTCGTCAGACACCAACCCATTAGGGCTGATCAGACTTCCAAGATAAGTGAAGTTGTCGACGCGTTCGACTACTTCACTCCCTATCCTTAGTTCAGGTGTTGACGCAGGCCAGTCCTGGAGTAACAATTTACATTTGGATGGGGAGAAACGCATCCCAAACATCCTGGCATTATTACTCAGTTCCAACAGAAGACTCTGCATTTTGTCAGCGTCTTCACCAAACAGGACTATGTCATCTGCGTATTCTAAGTCGCTTAGTGGTCCCCCTGGTAGGAGATCAATTCCTGTAAACTCAGTCGACGAGAGTGTCATTTGCAGCAATAGGTCTATAATGAAGTTAAACAAAAAGGGGGATAGTGGACAGCCTTGACGGACACCACTTGAGGTTGTAAAATCATATGACAGTTCGCCATAAGCTCTCACTCGACTGATAGTGTTCGAGTAAAGAGCCTTCACAAGGTTTATGTACTTCTCAGGTACACCTTTTAATGACAGACACTGCCACAGAACCTCTCGGTCTACAGAGTCAAATGCTGCTTTCAAGTCAAGAAAAACTATCATTGTCGGACGCCGATAAGCATGTCTGTGCTCTAAAACTTGACGAATGGTGAATATGTGGTCGATACAGCCACGACCAGGTCTGAAGCCAGCCTGATTTTCTCGTGTTTGCAGTTCACAAGTCTTAGTTAGGCGCCCGATAATTATTGAGGCTAGTATTTTAGATACTATGTTAGTCAGACTAATCCCTCTATGGTTATCGCAGGATGATTTTGACCCCTTTTTATATATTGGGACAATCAGTGATTGTGACCAGTCGGATGGGATTACATCCGTCTCCCAGATTTTAGCCAGAATATTAGTCAACCTAATCGCTAAAATTGGACCACCATATTTAAAGACCTCTGGAGCCAATCCATCAGGACCAGCTGCTCTTCCTCGTTTCAGATTACCTATAGCCTTTTGAACTTCAAGTAGGGTCGGGGGGCCTACTTCAATGTTCCATTCAGGTTTTTTAGGAATAGTGGGTAGTTGTGCAGTAGCTGAAGGCCAGCTAAACTGCTCCTTAAAATGTTCCGCCCATCGTTCTAAACGTTTGGGTAGAGAGCAGATAAGGGTTCCATCTTTTTCCGAGATCGTCTCACTTACACTTGACTTATTAATTCCAGTTTCTTTTATTAGTCTGAATAGTTGCCTGGTGTTGCCTATAGCCGCTGCCTTTTCCATCTCTTTTGCTTTCGTTGCCCACCACTGCTCACGATCGTTCCTTAGACTTTTAGTTAACCTAGATCTAATTTGTTTACGCTCTTCGTCATGTTCAGAGCCTGATGGGATGAGTTTACGCGAAACCATCAGTGAAATAGACTTAGAAGAAATCCACTGGTTTTTTGGAGCCCTATGGTTTAAATGACTAATAGATGTTACTGCTGTTTCCACAGCTGTTCGTATGCCTTTCCAAGCAGCATCTGGGTCAGTCTCGTTTACAGAACTGCCTAGATGTGAACTCAGTTGTCTCTGGAATTCGCATTTGGCTTTCTCGTCCTCCAGTTCAATCCTAACGGGTCTTCTTAGTTTACTTTTCCTGCGTCCATTGAGGCGCAGACAAATGCGTGCTCGTATTAAAGCGTGATCAGAGTCTAAACAAGTATTCCAATACGAGCGACAATCTTCTATTGAGCCTCTCCAACGATGACTGATGACAATATGGTCTATTTGAGTCCATCGTTGGTTTGGTGCAGGTGGTCGCCATGTTAGACGATGTCTCTCCTTATGTTTAAAATTAGTGCTTGCCAAAAATAAACGATTGTCTGAGCATAGTTGCAACAGACGATCACCATTATCGGTTCGTTGAGCCGGAATACTAAAACACCCACCTAGATGTCTTTCTGTTTGATTTAAGCTGCCTACCTGGGCATTAAAGTCACCCGCTACGACTACTATGTCTGAGCGCTTAGCTTTCTGAAGAAGCTCAGAGAGCTTTCTGTAAAAGTCATCTTTCACCTCATCATGGCTGCAGTCAGTGGGAGCGTAGGCAGAAACGACGAAAAGGCAACGACGTGTGTCCCTATCCTTCCGAGTTCTTACGGAGCCATTTAGCCGGGCAGCACACAGGCGACTGTTAACGGGGATCCATTCTAATAGTGCCTGTTCTGCCCTTGTACTTAGTGCTATACCTACACCTGCAAGTCCACGAGAACTAGCCAACGGGTCGCCAGATACACGGAGGGTGTATTTCGTTGGCTGTCCATTTTGGCGAGGTGAGGTCAAGTGAATTACCACACTAGGATCTTGTATGCGTGTTTCGGAGACACAGCATACATCAATGGTACGCGACTCTAAGGTTTTAGCTAAGGAGGCCTGTTGTCCGATTTGACTTAAAGTACGTACGTTGAAGGCTCCAATGTGTAGTTTGGAGCGAGGTTTTAGTAGACCTGGGACAGCGTTTCGCGCACTAGAATCGTTGGCCATGGTGACACTTGAGGAGGAAACCGAGAGAGGAAGTTTAGTGTTGAAAGTCAAGGTAGTAGGAATTGAAGAAGGAGATTGATTATGAATACAGTGGTCTTGAGTGTTGTTAGAGGTATGAGGGCAGTTATCACTTCCCGGTTGCCCACACCGTGGAAGGATTCTTCTAGAGGTACCTGAAAAGGAAATTGGGTTAGAAGTGGTCTTAATGACCTGAGAGCGTGACCGCAGTGCCCAAGGGACAACTGCTTGAGGTCGGTCACACACGACCTTTTTGTGGGTTGTTTTTGTGTTAGCTCCGTTCTTTAAAAAAAACCTTACCGCCGGAGACGGATATCCGTGGGATAAGGCGAGGTGTGCATTTTTAGGGTCGACCTTTTCTAACCCCACCCCTCCTTGTGGGAAGGCAGCATCGCTGTCATGCTGGTTGTCTGAAGGAAACACCTTACTGCTTTCACACCTCTGTACAGTCAGCAGTACGACTTCGCCTTCGGACCTTGGGTTTGCTGCTTTTAGTCTTACCGCTCTTCAACCGACCTGCCTGGCATGGTAAGATCTTGAGGAACGATTGTTCCAGCCAGCATAGCTCGATTGGATCATCACAATAGGCAAACCCGACCACCACGTCAAGGTAGCAGCAACGGTCGGGCCCTTATCTGTAACAAGCTTAAGACTTCTGTTAATTAAATTTCACTATAATTGACCAGTTTCTTTTAGCATATCCTGAGCACGTTGCCTAGATATTGCCATTAATCACAAGACTTAGACTGTCTGTCACACACACACACACATGTACAAAGAATAAGTTAAAAGGTTGATCAATGAAATTGTACATCGATTAAGAATACAAAATCTAACCTGATCAGGAACTTCGAGTTCATAGTCGTGTATTCTATTGTACACACCAAGTGATTGTATAATAATTTGTTTAATTATATTCATCACTTCAAAATAAGTACTATTAGTATTATTATTATTATCATTATTGTTGCTACCAATAAGGGGATTGGATAATTTATTCACACAATGATTCATATTGTCCATTTCATCTGTATAGTATTTATATACAGATGATAGATAACCTGGTAATAACATAAACCAAATTGAATAAGCAGATCCTGCTAAATATTTGACTTTAGAATATTCATCATTTTGTGCAAAGTTAATACCTAAATGAGTGAAAATGTAAAAAGAAAAAAACATAATTATATAATGGGGAGAAGTATAACTTTTAGGGCTATCATATAGAAAGACTGCTAACTATATTTTTATTGTGTAAATAGTAAACCCTTAGATTAGTCCATGTTGAAATTGTTCTTTTTCTAAACTTTCGTTTGATAAATGAATCGTTGTTATATTTTATTAGTAGAGATTTATCATTACTTACTTACTTACTTACACCTGTTACTCCAAATGGAGCATAGGCCGCCGACCAGCATTCTTCAACCCACTCTGTCCTGGGTCTTATTTTCTAGTTCTATCCAGTTCTTGTTCATTCTTCTCATGTCTGTCTCTATTTCTCGGCGTAATGTGTTCTTTGGTCTTCCTCTTCTCCGTTGACCTTCAGGATACATTATACAAAGTTATTTTCCCAGGACTTACCAGTCTCGCGAGGCGGGACTACTGAGGAGTCCCATAATAGGATGAAACGGCCGTCTAGTGCTTCCAGGTTTTCCATGGTGGTCTAGCTTCAATTGACTTATGATCTCAACTATATAAAATTACTAAAATTTCCCCCTTCTGATATTGAAATGTTTATTTATTACTTCGATTTCTTATTAGTTATAACTAAGTTATGTACACATTGTAATTCCTAAATTGTAATTCTGTATGGTCAGCTATTTAAGGAATATTACTGTGTAAGTTTAGAGCCATGATTGAATTGACCACAAGTGAAAGTTGATTTACTTTCTGTCTTGATTTTTTGATTGGCTACTGAGTTAGAAAGGGTTTGAAAACCGATAAACATCAACATCTGGGTTGTTATTTATTAGTTGATGTGTCAATTAGTGAATAGGTCACAGGTCCCTACTAGGAGTCGAATTGAACTAATCAATAATGGGACAGAACAGAGAGACCATAAAATTATTTTACTATCTTTACGATCCGATCATAGGGGACACAATACGACCTAACCAAAAGAAAACGACCTCCTGTGTTCTCCTGAAGTGACCAGGTGCTGAACAGTTCATCGAGCGAATGTGGTACGGATCAATAGCTTGCCAACTGAAGACATATAAAGTCGTTGATGTCAAGTCAGTAGCCCAAAGTTCGATAGTTTGTCACGAGTACTGAAGGTCTTGAATGCTATTCTCAATGGAAGTGTACCGATAAGATTCAATACTAAGATGTGGTTGTTGTTGAATATTTCTACGTTATTAATGATTTTCTAACTAAGAAAAGTTCAAGACAGAAACTATAGAACTCAAGAAACTTTGAACCACTAAACTAATCAAGTAATTTAGCCTTCAACAAGTTGTATCAGGAAAAATGTTTATTTTTTAGTAATACCATGATCCTTTATTAGGTGAATATCAACTAACCTACTGAGATTGTCTCGAGTAACTAATAGAAAGTCAGTTTAAACTCAGTGGGTTTTTTATAACCTATCCGTCTCCTCTAGAAAAGGTGTAAAAAGTATTATTAAAACTGATTACATGGAAAGAAACTTTTTTTCTATTCAACTTACAATAATTTAGCGTATATCGTAATTCTTGCGATGTACGCTTTAAAATAGTTGCATTATTCACTGGTAAACAATATTTTGTATTCAAACCAATTAAACTTGTATTCTCTGGACGATTTGAACGAATAATTAGTGGAGATGGACTGTTGACTAACATTAATGAACCAAATCGTTGAGGAGTATTAAGTTGTAATTTTTTCATCATAAATATTGACATTCTAGTAGTTGTTCGAGAATCTGGATTATGGTCTGCTATATCGGTGTTTACTGGGGATTTCGACCAACAGTTGATAGGAGTTGGTGATAAAAGCATATCAGTACAGGTGGTAGAATTAGAAGGCATCCAATTCTCTTTATTTTTAACTTCTCCTGGTACTGATGTTATCAATGTCGTAATTAGGTTGGAACTATCAGGGTTATCATTGCCACTAAACATTGGTGTGATTATAGAATTATTTGACAAAGTAGCTTTTAAAAGAAATGCTCTTGAAGCTAATAAGTCTAATAATTCAGAATTAATGTTAGTTGGAAAGAAACCGAGTGAATATTCTCTTGTCCATAATAAGTGTTGCAGTTGAGGTGTGTCAACAAATTCAGGAACTGGCCAACATGGAGGACTAATAACCGTTATACTCAGACTAAAAAAAATGGATAAGAAAAGAATAAAAACAAACTGATTGAAATTATTTACAACGAAAATAACTAGTTCACTAAAAAAATTGAATTCATCTAAAGATAGATCGACTATATTGTGATTCGTTGATGAGAGATCATTTTGTGTCATCAGATCATTGTCATTTTGTCGGATTAACGAATGGATAAATATAGTTATGAATTGTACTAAAGCATTCAATGGTATTTTTGTACTAAAATCCTAGACCAAATACACAAACATCATGACTATTTGACCTTGTTTTTTATTCCCATGTATCTAACAAGTGACGATAATTTTCACATGCCAATTAGCTGACGAAGACAATTGGTTGTCTTCCAAAACACATGAGAGCAACTAAGCAACCAAAAGCATATAGAAATGTGATCAATTCGATTCGCGACTTTAGTCGTAGAGGAAGCGTGCCAGATAACGCATATTGGGGATAGATGTGCTAGAAGTTGTTGATGATGAGAAACAGATAGTGACATGCACAAACTAAGAGAAAGCAATATGTTTGATTTAAACTTCAACAACTAAGTTTCTATTGGCCATCTAAACGATACTCTACTATTTCTAGACCTTACACATGTATATTTCAACCATTAGCTAACACTACAATATACGTGAAACCCAATTTATTGCTTAAGGGAACCCTGCTATCGAGATCGGTAAGTTGGTCATTCCATCTTTGTTTTCTAAATATGGATCTTTTTAAGGAACCGTTACTCCTTCTCATCAAAAATCTTATTCACTTTCCATGTTACTGAATACACCGGATAAGTAGTAAACTAGGGCTTGACCCTTTATGGATGAGGAGACTCAAACTTAACCTTCTCTTCTTTTTCAAAATACTTAACAAACTCTCCTTCACATCCAGTCAGGCGATTCAATATGCTAAGGCCTTACATTACGACATTTGTAACTCCTTGTCTTTAGCCAAACAAACATATTCTAGTTCTTCTCTCTATATGAATTACTTTACCTGTAAGTTTTCTAGACTCTGGAATAATTTACCCCAAACTATGTTAAACTCTCTCCCATTGTTTGTTCGCTCAATTAATGCTTTTTGCTCCTCTGAAAATGCATTAAATGCTCTAGCGCCTGCAAGTGTATCTTACTCCACAAGTGAGATTATAGGAACTTTAAATGTTTTACCTCTTACTTGCTATCATTGTTTCGTTGTTCCGTGCTCTTTGCTTTAATTTTACTTTCTCTAGTTGTAGATAATTAATAATAAATCGCTCTGGCACTGATAATAACCTTACAGAACAATGTTGATCAATCATCGGGCTATCCACTTAATAAAAAAATGACAAGTTCCCTGGTGTTGCATTGGCTTGCCATATATAAACTGTTTATCAATTACTAAACCAGCAAACATAAAACTTTCTTATATTTCATGTTTGCTCTCTACATTAAATGTTGATTTTTATAACAATCTGATCATGCCTGTAAACTGGTGTGAATTCTGTAAATATTATTTTCAGAATATATTATTATTATTATTATTATTATTATTATTATTATTATTATAAGTTGGATGGAATGCATTGACGAACTCGCATTCCAAAGGAAAACTCTGATGAAAAGTGGCTATCAATACCAATTCATGGATAAGAGTATGTAAAGAAGTAGTTATGACAATGAATCCCGTTGTTCCATTCCGAAGAGAAACCTTTACATAAATTCATTCAGTATTGTTTGTTTGAATCTTCCCATCGATTTGTTAGGACTGCAATTGGTCAGTCTCTAATTAGCATATGTGCATACTGTGCGTATTGCCTCGATATAGCCTTAATTCACAAGCATGGTAAGCAGAGATGGATAGTGGCTAGCAGTGGAATCCAGGATGCGCATTTCATCCTATTCAGGTCTCGTCAGCTGGACGTATCTGCATCTCAGAGTTGATGTTCATTCTGGAACTTGAACCCAGTACCCTCGCTTCAAACGGCATAGCGTTATCCATTCGGCCACCGAGTCCTGATGGCGTCTGAAGAGAGGGTACTGGGTTCGAGTTCCAGAGTGAACATCAACTCTGAGATGGAGGTACATCCAGCTGACGAGTCCCAAATAGGAAGAAACGCGCGTCCTGGATTCCACTGCTAGCCACTATCCATCTCTGCTTAACCTTTACATAAGTTTGGAATGTAAAAGTGATTAAACATCTGATGTAATCAAAAGTCGTTTAACGATAGCAATAAAAAGAACATTCTATGCGGCAAAACTTTGAATAACGTTCATTAGCACGAACTCGTTTTCTGTATCCATAAAAGATAAGCTTCTCCGTCTGGTCGCCTACATGTGCATCTATCAGTTCACCTGCTCTTTTGGATCAATGTACATTGGCCGTAGGCCACATTAACATAGAGAAAGAACTGTCGATTCAAATCCCTTAGTGGTAGAAGTAGTAAGAGAATAAGCAGTAATCCGAAAGATTAAGGTTTGAAGATGTTATTCAAAGAGTATAATCGAGTGAGATAAATTTGGAAAGAGAAAAAAGAAAAAGACATGAGGAATTCAGAAGATTAGGATTTGGTAGAACACACACCAGACCACAAGGGCTCCCAAAATAAATGAAGCGGTCAACACACTCAACTACTTCACTCCCAATCATTAGTTCAGATGTCGATGCAACCTAATCCTGAAGTAACTATTTGCACTTAGAGGGGGAGAACTGCATCCCAAACATGCCTGCATTGTTGCTTATAGTGGTTAGAAGACTGTGCATTTCGTCACCGTCATCACCAAATAGAACCATGTCATCGGCGTTTTCTAAGTCAAGAAGTGAGTATCCCGGTGAAAGTTCAACTTCTCGAAATTTAGATGATGAAAGTGCCAAGGAAAAATAACGGGGCGGATTTGCATGCATATAGCAAACAATTCTTTTTGAACTCAGCACACAACAATGCCGTCATGTACTGTCCCATCGCCCTTGGCAGATCAGGCAACCCAAAAGTCACGAGAACACCATCAGGGCATACGACAGGTTAGGTACCTCATAGTGTTTTTAAAGTGCATATCCTCTTATGATATTATCTTCATTCATTTATTTATTATGTTGTTATTTTTTTCGTTGCTTGCCCTGCATTTTCTTCGCAACGTTATTTCCTTTTGTAAGGCATATACTATTTCCCGATTGTATTAGATTTTATGCAAATCAAATAACTGAATAAAAAAAAAAGAATTCAAAATGAGAAAATCGCTTACTTGTTATTATTAGGCAGAAGCCCTAAATCACCTGAAACCTGTGAATCTGTCGATTCATCCGATCTATCTTTAATCGATGCGTTACTTGACACTGATCGATCTTCTGAATGATTATTATGTTCCACATAGCTGAGATGATTATTACTACTACTATTACTATTATGATTATTTGTACTGCTCAGTTGTTCATGAGACGATGATGCTGATCGTTTAATTGTAAATATATTACCCATAGTTGTTAAGCTAATATTATTACGAGAACGATGAAGATGTTGATGTGGTCGAGATTTCGATTCACTTTCTGATAATAATTCAATACGATTATCGAAATAATCTAATTCTTCATCACGTGATGAAGCGTAAATTCGATCACGTACAAAATTATTCCATTGTTGTGTTTCAAATAAAGCACGATAAAATGGTATTGTATGCTTATCCGCACATTCTCGTAAGAAATCTGATTGAAAAATAAATGAAAGGAGATAGGATTAAAGTATAATAACTATAAAAAAACACTTCAGAGGATATATATATATATATATATATATATATATATATATATATATCAAGGAAATGTATGCGCCACATAAATCTCATTTGATTTGTGTGAAGGTTGTGATACTGACCAGGTGCCTAAACTGAAGCAGGTGGTTTTCTTAATGGGCCACATCCAGAGCCTTTGATCAAAAGGTCTGATCTACAAGGCAGTGGCGCATCGTGAGGAGATGCAGTCCCATGGTAGCCGATGACTAACGATTGATTCATACCTCATTTGTTCCCTCAGGATACTGGGGCCCATATGCACCATTGGTTTGGAATGAGGTTTTCCAACTCCCCTAGGTGGACACGATGTGTCCATCTGCTCGGTTAAAGCGCAAGACATTCGGTTTTCGTCCTCTCAATTTCGTAAACAACACCCCGATTGACAGAAGGCAGTGAGTAGGACTTCTTTGGTAGAGGCTATGTACGCGTAGCACTGAGAGCATTTCGAGAGGGAGAGCGAACTCTTCCCACTCTCAGCCGTACCAGGGTATTTAGGAGCAACAAGAAGATATAAAGGGAAAATAATAATCTATCCTATGAGACATAATTACCGTTAATTTTTAATGTGTAAACAGTTCTACTCTGAAACTATTGTAATTAAATAATGAGTTGTGTATGCTCATTTTTGAGAAGTATTGAATTTTTCAATTTATTGTATATTGTGGTTTAGTTTCCTATGAATTCAATTGTGCATCTTTTAAAGTTAGTGGAATATTCTGATACAAATGTTTAAAGTTTTATATTCTTCTAATTTTCTCCTTATCGATTCAAGCAAACGGAAGTGTCTGTAGCAGCAGATCAACGCGTCAGTATACTAAGTCAATTAATCAAACTATCAGGATAAAACGTTCAATAATATGTGGTCGCTGATATTTTACCTGATGAATTGTCATATCAGGGTTATCATAAGTGGTCTAGTGTATCAAAGATATCAATACATCACACATCTAATGTCAGGGACTAGTGGAAGCAACAGGTCATTCAAATAACTAATCAAAGTAACAATAAATTAAGACAGAAACTATAATAATTCAGGAAAGTTTATTTAAAATTAGTTAATTTCAGCAATAATGCCAACATTCTAATGCTATTGATTGGAAAATTGAAGCAGTCCTTACAAGAAATGCGATACACATTTTGAAATTGTACAATATATTATAACAATTTGGAAAAGATATAGAAAGCCTTCAGATATTGAATGTGAGACACAGATATCCAGATCTCAGAATAAAAACTATCAATCATATATTATGAAGAAATTGAAAAACCCAGACAGTCAAACGAAATATGGGACCTGGAACACATATGCATCCGTTCAAGTTTCTGCGTATAATAACACAACAACACTAAGCTGTCAAGACAAAACCCAAAGTTTCTAACTATTGCTTACGGTAGTGGTGCGGGCCACAACCAGATAGTTTGTAACTATCTACATGGCCCACCTCACTAGTTAGTGACTGACTCCATGGGCTGATCCTACATACTTGTTTAGGCGCAACTACCTTCTTTTCTAAATACTGCTATAACAGCCATCATCAAGCACCGAGGTAGGAATGTGAAGTAAATAGACATGGATAAAAAATAACGGAGATCAGTAAATATCAGTTTTTCAACAAGATCCGTACAATAACAAAATGGACAGCTGTCTATCTGAAGTAAACAGTGTAAATTTGAGGAAAGACAAGTAGGTATTCTGATTGTTTACAATAAGTTTATCAGACGAAACAAAATGAAGCATTTATTTGAATGGATTGTGAGGAGTAATTCAATTTAAAGATGATTTTCACAATGAGCCGAAAATCCGTTATTCATAATAATCGACATGGACAATAACCTAGGTGAGAGAATAAATGATGACATGTATTTTTATCGACTATAGTTGTTTGCATATTTTTCCAACAATGATATCTACTTATACTATGATTTAACTTTGAATGAATTGAGGTTTACCACTGATTAATCAGCAAACTTAGAAACAGTCGTCAGGTCTAAAATGTTACGACCACACAATCTACTACTTATTAAAGGAATCAAGTTTCTTTAATTCCAATAAATATAGCTTTTTGACTCGTTTTCGAAGCTTTAAATCATAAACTGATCTTGATTAAACCACTGCTGAAAAACAGTAAGCAATAGATAGCTGTTGCATCCTGGTATGAGACTATTCACCTGCAGAGAGATTCCACGACTCTTTCACAAGGAGTAGAACCCAAGATTTTTTGGTCTTGCACGATAACACAACCTGTAGACAATTAAACCAGGACCCAATAAAATAAATATCTAACTACAATCAACCCAAGAAATATCGAGATCAGTGGAGTTCAGTCATGTCGAATATAAAACAGTAATCCACCTCAGGCCATGGAAGATGTTAGCGCAATATCGTGAGCTGTTAGAAATTAAACGTGCAAAAGATTTGAAATACCCTAGGAGGTCCACAGATGAAACGTCATTGTTCGAGGCTAAAGATCCTGAACACTATGCCTTGTAGTGGGGCTGTGAATGTGCACTGTTAATCAGTCTCATTAAAGAACGAAACAGCTGTCTAGTGGCTCCTGGTTTACAATGGCAGTTAAAGCTGAGATTATTTCATCGTTCGAAACCTTGGATGTTCTACAATCTTCACAAAAACCGCATACCAATAAATAATCGGAAACTTTCACCGTATTCTTCAGAACTTGTGATTACAAGAGTATAGGACCATTAGAAAATATAATTGTTTAATTTGTTAAATGCTTAGTATTTATTTATTTATTTAAATATTGGTACAAAGGGGCACCAGATATATATGCACCGCACAAGTCTCATTTCATTTGAGTGAGGGCTGTGATACTGCCCAGGTGCCCAAAGGGAAGCAGGTTTATTTTATTAAAGGAGGCGGTCTTCACGCGCCAACCGGGCTGTCACATGGACACTATTCACAGGCGCTATTCCGCTACCGCACCACGCGGGGACTTTTGCCTGCTGGGTTTCCCCCCTGGTCCGGTCCGGCCCTCCTTAGACGACCTGGACAGCCCATCCATATCGGCGCCGTGCTTAGCGTGGACGCCCGATCAACATGAGCACCCATATGCCAGAACTCCCGGTCCCACGAAATCACGCACCCTGGCCTCCAAGTAGCTAGATTACAGGCGCACGCCACCACGCCCAGCCGTTACTTTATCCCAAGATGAACCATTCTTAATACGAATCAGGTATCAAAATTTGCTTCTCAACAGAGAAAGTTTGAATGTTTCTATGATAACATGAATTTCAAGATGTAAGTATGTAATCAGTCCCATATAATTATCAACATTCACGACTATTAATACTTTAATACCTCTTTAAGTTTCCTGATCAACTCATAGTTTCCAAACATCAATACCTCAGTAGAAGGAAAATGTTACAAATACAAATCCATGTTTATTAGATGTTAAAACTATGAAATTTTACTTACGTTCAATATTGAACATAACATCCGTTTGAGAATTACGAACAGATTCAAGACATATACGATAATCTTTCAATAAATGTACCATAAATTGTAGAAATGCTTCTTTAATACATGAACCAATTTGTGTCTAGATTTAGTGAACCAAAGAAAAAATTTTAAAAAAAAAAAAGATTTCAAATAAAAAATAAAAAGTGCACAACAAAATAAGATAAGGTACTACTAATTTATTGTATAAGTAGTCATATATCGTAATCACCAAGAAATAGACAAATTATGAAGAATGCCCGTAAGAAGTCAGGAAAAAGAAAATAAAAAGGGAAACTATGATACGTAGATAAAAACAAATCGTTTCAATAATCAAGAAAATGTAACAACTAGCCAAGCAACTAACTGGCTACGAATGACAGAAGGAATGAGCATGCAGACAACTTTCATAATAATTTTAAAAATAAAAAAATAATAATTACAGTAGGTATGGACATAAATATAGATTCTCAAAAACAGAGAAATAGACGACACCCGCAACTATTGTCCAAGAAAATGAAGAATGAATCTTATCATTAAATAACATAGTTTGAATGAAGAAATATCTATATCAAGGCTTGAGAATGAAGTACAAAGAAAATGATCATCTGATTTATCTATAATGCTAATTAAAATGAAAAAAAAAGTATTGATCTAATCAATGAATGAAAATCATACTATTTCTCTATGTAGTTCATTCAACTCAATTTAATAACTGACTTGTATCATATTCATTTACTAGCTATATTTTTTCTTGATTAAGTGAATTATTACTATGGTAATATAGAAACGAAAAATTGTATATAAGGATATAGTACAGGAAGAAAGACAGATATGAAGCAATTTTAATCTCAAGGTTTAAGGTAACAAAAAGAATGTATACACCTGTACCATTTTGATCGATTCTGAGTCATGTCACACAGAGTCTCCAACAATTGGACACGATAGTCGCGCTGACCTCAACCAGCTAGTCTGCATCTCCCTACATGTATCAGACAAGAAGTTAGTGATGTTAAGCCGGCTTACAGTAAACTCTATCAGAGCCTCCAGAGGCTCATAAAGAGCCCAACCAATCAGCGATTAGTTAGAAGCTATGCTACTAAAATAACGAGGTCCTGATTGGCTGTTTAACATACTGCTACTATGGAATCTCAAGGTCTTTTAATTACTATAAAACCCCCGTTTTTCTGTGCATAAATGAATCTTGTAGTAAAGTGCTTCTCTGATACTCGTGTCTTTTCTCTGGTCTTCAAGTTGCTGCATGGTTCTAGCTCGTGGATCCGAAACTAGCTCAGGGAAGCAAACATAACGTTCACAAACGGCAGACGTAACAAGTGACTTCAAGCACTGATGCCACATTTTGATTTCTCCCCCTCTAGCTTCCTTCCAACCATCCCCTACACTAGTCAGTATAGCGCGTCGTGGTAATCAGTATTCAGGCATACGTAACACGTGGCCCAACCATCTCATGCGATGAAGATTCATTACCTCATCAACTGATTTACCATCATTCCCTAATACCCTTTGTCTAACCTCACTATTACTTATCCGGTGATCCCAGCAGATGCGAGCAATATTTCTAAGGCATCTGTGATCAAATACTAGTAATTTACGAGTATCCTTTAAAAGCTACTTAGGGCTTGTTCATGAATACCTGTAATTTTTTCCATTTTATGGTGTGGTTTGATATAGTATTTCTGTTTATAAACCACGTCCGTTTAAAATATAAAGTAGAGGCTGGTTGCTACTTCTAAACTCGAGGCAGAGTGTAGAGAGTAGCTAGCAAAATATAATTCTATAACAAGATAATGAACAAGATTTAAATGAACATTGAGATCAGTAAAGCCGGTTTACAAAGTCAAATATTTAAGATTTTTTTTTGAAGTTTTTAAACAAGCGCAAAATAGATCGAATAGGAAGACCTTATGGCAATTAATTCAAGACATAGTAATGAACCATGTTATTTATTAAAGTTTGAACACTTTTAGGTTGGAGATTTCATTCGCTATCCAATAAATGTTTGTACAGTAAGAAGTAGGGTGATTAAACTACTATGTTGTAGGTTATCACTGTACATTCCGACCGTTGCTGCTACCCTGACATGGTGGTCGGGCTTGCCTATCGTGATAATCCAATCGAGCTATACTGACTGGAACAATCGTTCCTCAAGGTCTTACCATGCCAGGCAGGTCTGTTGAAGAGCGGTAAGACTAAAAGCAGCAAACCCAAGGTCCGAAGGCGAAGTCGTACTACTGAATGTAGAGAGGTGTGGCAGTAGTAAGGTGTTTCCTTCAGACAACCAGCATAACAGCGATGCTGCCTTCTCACAAGGAGGTTTGGGGTTAGAAAAGTTCGACCCTAAAAATGCACACCTCGCCTTATCCCATGGATATCCGTCTCCGGTGGTAAGGTCCTTCAAAGAACGGAGCTAACACAAAAACTACCCACAAAAAGGTTGTGTGTGACCGAACACAAGCAGTTGTCTCTTGGGCACTGCGGTCAAACTCTCAGATCACTAAGACCACTTCTAATCCAATTCGCTTCTCAGGTACCTCTTGAAGAATCCTTCCACGGTGTGGTCAACCGGGAAGTGATAACGGCCCTCATACCTCTAACAGCACTCAAGACTGACTATCAGTGTACATTCAAATCATTAAGAGATTACACATTATTAAGAAGCTATTTTATTCTAGTTGTAATAATCCATCTAACTATATAAACTGACAAAAAAAAACACCCTTTCAAGTAACTAACATTACTAAACAATTCTTGATAATCATCGTATATTACTGACCATAACTATCGACACATACATTTTATAGTCTGCAATAAACACAAAAAAGTTATGGAATCTAGTGAATAATTTTAATAGCTGGTTCAAAATGCGGTAAAAACAGATCATATAGAAAATTAATGATAGTGTTTAAAACAAAGGTCACTATAGTAACGAATTAATAATACGCTATAAAATGAATACTAGTACATTTAACCTTGACTATTCACATTTCATATATAGATTGTGTCAGACATTAACATCACATGAAACATAATTCGTAATGTACAAATACACATGAGGACTATACATTCCATAAAGACAAAGGAATAAACGTATTTTAAATGTAACTAGCGTATTAAGTAAGATATACTAGTATTTTATTTATTTATTTAAACACACAAATATTGGTACGAAGGGGGTATCAAATATATATGCGCCACACAAATCTCATTTGATTTGTGTGAGGATTGTGATACTGACCAGGTGCCCAAACTGAAGCAGGTGGTTTTCTTAATGGGCCACACCCAGAGCCTTTGACCTAAAGATCTGATCCACAAGGCAGTGGAGCATCGTGAGGCGATGCAGTCCCATGGTAGCCGATGACCGACGATTGATTCATACGTCATTTGTAGCCCCAGAATACCGGGGCCCATATGCACCATTGGTTTGGAATGAGGTTTTTCCAACTCCCCTAGGTGAACTTTCGGTATCCACCAATTCGGTTAAAGCGCTAGACATTCGGTTTTCGTCCTCTCAATTTCGTAAACAAATAAAATATCATATCTGTAAAGCGATTGATATTCAATCAATTTGAATTGAGGCGAGGAGGAAACTAGGGATAGAACAGGAGCTGAGAACAGATTCGATATTGTTATATAAGAGTTAATATTTTACAACCTGATTTCTCTGATTCAAAGAAATAAAAATGATTGAGTTCAGAGATAAACATAACGGTGATTATGTATGTTGTTCAAAACCAAGGAATTTTTAAGCGAAAAAATATCCTAAATAAAAAGCTCTACAGTCATAAAGTGTATCACAGATAGGCAAAAAAGACATGCATCTAGTGATATCGTCCTATTATTATTGGTATTGAACAATTTAACAATAAAGTTAGAATAAGTCAACATTTCATGGTATTGTGGTATGGAATGAACATGTCAGTCCATTATGAGTCTCTGGTCAAGATCCCGGAAATGGTGCAAAACAGTGGCTTGAGATGTTATTCGATATGTATCAGAATACAAGTCAACAACGATAAAGTTGTACATTCTTCATAAGATAAGTATTCCTTCCTTATATTGCAAACTGAACATCATCTGCTATAAAATACCAAGCTTCTCTTTACGATTATACCTTTCCCATCTTGGCGACGTTGATCTAAGATTGATGTAAGTAACCGAGTTAATAATACCGCCAGATTGGATACTCAAAGGGTACACTATAGAAAGACCAGATCATGTTGTATTATATACACGGTTAACAACGAGGAATCAAGAACCAGAATAACACCGATGTAAATTCGTGATCAAAACTATTAACTTCTGATCCGAACACTAACTAGCAACAATATGAAAACTATGGTTTAAACGCTTAAATTTCAAACATAAGATCATCGGTTTGAAACTTGTTGCACGCGAACTGAGTGAGGATTATTAGGTCACTCTAGAACAACAGCCAGTTTGAGTACAGCTCAGCTGATAGTTTAGTTATTAAATGACCTGGTCTGTAAGACAACATTGAAGTAAACTGAATAGTTTTGTCAGAGAACTCTTCATGTGTAAAACGATGATTAGATAAATAAATAGAGTTAATTTGATTATTTCAAAATAAAGATAATGGCCAGACACTATCAGCAACAAGTTACTGTGGGAGATAACAAACCAGATTCTAGCGGAGGAAGAAATCAGGAAGAAGCGATGGAAATGGATTAGGCACACTTTGAGGAAATCACCCAATTGTGTCACAACACAAGCCCTCACATGAAATCCTGAGGGTCAAATGAGAAGAGAAAGACCAAAGAACACATTACGCTGAGAAATAGAGACAGACATGAGAAGAATGAACAAAAAAATGGATAGAACTAGAAAAGAAGGCCCAGGACAGAGTGGGTTGGAGAATGCTGGTCGGCGGCCTATGCTCCATTTGGAGTAACAGGTGTAAGTAAGTAAGTAAGTAAAATAAAGATGATGTTCTTCGTCAAACATTGTATTAGCAGTTGAAACAAAAGAACATTTTTCTCATCATACAGGGTCATGAAAATGCATATACCAAGAAAAATTGAAAGCTTTTAAATTGAGTGATCCAGTGGAGGGGAAGTTTCAGTGTAATGGTAGTAGTAGCACTAATGCTACTTACTTGACATGCACAAGTACATGAATGGAAACCACATGAAAAATAAATCATATCACAGATAAAATATAACAAAAAATAATACTGAATACGTCTTGCAAAACGAAAAAAAATAAATTTCGATTGTATACACATAAATTGTACTACAAAAAGGCACACAGCCAATTCATAAGTGCAACACACAGTACATACATAACACACCAGTAATGAACACAATCATATAACAACAACTAGGATATCATAAAATAATTAAAAAGAAAGACACAGATGAACGAACACATAGATGCACATTTATACATGCTATCATTATCATTAAAAACAACTCATATTGTTTGTTTGAGTAAAACTACACTATACCGACGACTCAATCAGATTTAAGTTGTTAACTTCTGAATATCCTATAGGAATGACTCAACACACCATAACGAATAGTTGATGACTTATTCAGAGCTCGATACAATTTGCCTATATATCGACAGATGCATCTGTTGTACAACCTGCAGAGTGAATAATGATAGGCTGAGAAATTTGAATAACAGAACAAGGCCTACTACTAATAAACACTATATATAAAAAGATTAATTATTACAGGTTGAGCATACTTGGTGAGATTCGGGGTATAGTAAAGAATGATTGTGTTGTAGTCTTTCAAGGTCCCTTTGTACATGAACACTATAGCATAATCTATGAAATGTTCAAAGTATCTTCAAAGTTTGTAGATTTGAATCCAGAGTTTTTTTACATAAGTCTCCTTTCACAAGTCTGAAATGTTAATCTCAAGTCCTAATTCTACACTGATTCATAATTGTTAATTCTAACCTTGATTCGGTTACTACGATAAATAATTCTACTACTACCTAGAATAGTATAATTTTACTAATATGAATATGAGAAGGGGTTTTTTGGGGATTTTAGTGGTTGAGATCATGGGTCAATTGAAGCTAGACCACCATGGAAAACCTGGATACATTGGATGGCCGTTTCGTCCTATTGTGGCACTCCTCAGCAGTGCGCGTCCACAAATACGCCTCACGATATTCGAACCCAGGACCTACCAGTCTCGCGCCAGAGCACTTAACCTCCAGATCACTGAGCCGGCATCCAACGATCCAACTTAAATAAATCCAATATAAATATGCTTTGAAAACAAACAAATTCATGTTCTTCACAAGAGGGAAATCACAATGATAATGAATATGACAACGTTGATAACAGTAAGAAAAAAAAGAAAAAAAACACCGCAACGCATGCTTGCATAAAATAGAAACAAACATTGAAATAGATGAAATAAAATAATCAATAATATTTGTGTATGTGTGTGTGTGAAAAACAAACCATTTCATTGAGTTCTTGTAACCACTGACGCCCAATGGATATAAAAAGAGGAAAGGAAGGAATAGTCAAGAAATCAAAATATATATGGGTTAATTTTTTGAACAATAGTAAGATATACTATAACTGACCTGTAAAAATGCACACAGATTATTGAGAATAGGATATGATGACAATGAGATAAGTCAAAGATAATTAATTAAGATTTGAAAATATGAGGTTATTAGATTAGATTGATGTTAGTTGGCGCATGATCAAATGATTGATTTCGGCTAAATGATTAACAAGTTAAGTGATTACCATGAAACATAAACACCCATAATTTGATTTCCCCTGTGGAAATGAGGTTATGGATTCACACTGCCAATGAAAGGTCATATTATTAGGATGAAATAGCTATTCAGTGCTTATTATCAGAAGAGGGTTTTTATGGAGATTTAGTATTTTCATAGTTGAAAGCGTGAGTCCATTGAAGCTAGACCACCAGGACGTAACCACAATAGGATGAAACGGCCGTCCAGTGCTGCCAGGTTTTACCTGGTGGTCTAGCTTCAATTGACTCACGATTTCAACTATTCAGTGTTTGTTGATTTTTATATATAGATGATGAAAACTATGAAATTCGAATCATGCATCGAACCTCAATGCCTGATGCACACAACTCAATAAAAAAATACGAATGAATTTGATACAAATATTTCTAATTTATCATAGTTTATGGTTTCATCAACCACTTGGACAAGTGTTAGTCAATAGTATTACTGAACGATTTGAATCGTCAAAACTTATATCAGCGGAAATTATTGCAATTTAGTCATCAAAGAGAGTTTACAGGTTCAACACTAAACACTGTACATATGGTTTTACAAGCTGAAATGAGTGAAATAGAATAAACATGTGACTAAATGGTAAGACAACCGATGATTATACTACTGAGCGCGAGATTACCAGAGACTCATATTATGTAGAGATACTCTTCTTTTCAATTGCATGTTTTTTTAAACAATAAACAATATTATCTCAAATTTAAGGCAAATTATTAAACTAACATCAACGTATAGGGTAGTGGAGATTGTTGAGTTTTACTGAGATCATGAACCGACCAATGTTCGACCACCGTCGAAGACCTGAAAGCACTAGACAGCCGTTTTGTTCACAACCTTGTATTGATAATGATTATGTGCTGACTAAAGATTAGCTTAGAGAGATAATTCTTGGAGTTTTAGTGAAAAGCCGTGACAAGTGCAGCTAATCTGTGTTGGATCTGAGGTAGTTACCCACCGAAAACAATGAATGATGGTCGTGCAATATCATGGACTGGTTTAAGTCAGGCATTAGCACAGTTGGATGCCGGCCTAGTGGTCTAGAAATTAGGCGTTCGCAATTGCGGGATCGTAGGAGCTCAATGCTGAGGAGCCCGTATTAGAAGGAAACGGCCGTCCTCCGGTGCTTTCAGGTTTGCAATAGTTATCTAACATTGATCCGTTCACGATCTTTATGTAAGATCAAGGTGTATGTTTACCATGAACTTTATCTCACAAAACAAAACGACTGTAAATGAGGCTTATTCAATAAGCTAAACAAACTGACGATCTTAGTTACGCTTGTCCTGGTGTTGTCATCAGTTTAGTTGGCAATCATCCCTACAATTACATTTCTATATCAAATCTTAGACACTTTTATAATACGAGAATAAAGAAAAAATATAACATGCAACAAATGATTGGAACAGCACTGAGAATGTAACAATCGATGTTGTTACATATCTACGTGATTTATCCTAACCATTGGACAGATGAATTATTCTAATCTTTCCAGTTATTCTATCATTTATATATGTTGTGATGTTCAGTATGAGTATGTGACATTATGTGTGTATTTCTATACTTGATCGTATGCATCTTCATGCTTATAGAAACTTGGTCATATTCACAATTAATTGATCACTGGGTGTTGATCAATGTTATGTGTGTAAAGTCTTTCTTAGTGCAGATCGAATGCTATAGATTTGTTGAGTTAGTGTGTATAACCGAACTCTAATTCTTGATACTATTCTCTGGATTAACTGTTCAATATTAGCATAGATATCCTAAATACAACTTGTAATCGACTTCTTGGAAATATATTATTGTTCTAAACGTGGAATATGCAATTCATGAACATTATTAAAGATTCGAATACATTGAAGCTAGACAACAAAGATCATTAACTAAAGCAGTATAAGGGGGTTTTGTGGAGATTTTAGTGATTTTATATAGTTGAGATCATGAGTCAATTGAAGCTAGACCACCATGGAAAACTTGGCAGCATTGGACGGTCGTTTCATCCTAATGTGGGACTCCTCGTGGATGCGCACTGCTGAGGAGTCCCAGGTTTTCCATAGTGGTCTAGCTTCAATTGACTCATGATTTCAACTATATAAAAAAGTATAAGTTAGTAGCTGATATGAAAAACAAACGAGAAAATGTTTTTAATCAACTTACACGTTTACGAACTTTAATTAATTCCTCTTGAGCTAATTCTGAATTCGATGTTGAAAACATACAATCTAACATCATATTTCTAGGCATCGTTTTAGATGATGCTATACGAGTATTTTTCATTTGAAATATTTTCTCTTTTAATTCTAGTAATCTTGTTTTCAGTTGCTTCAGTGGTTTCTAAAATATAAGAACAACATATATATGTACATCAAACTAGTCTGATATAAGCAGAGATGGATAGTGGCTAGCAGTGGAATCCAGGACAGACCAGTTGCAGTCCTAACACATCGATGGGAAGATTCAAACAAGTAATACAGAGTGAATTTAGTCTGATATAAATTTAAAAACGTTGGTTGATTACTCAGGCGGTTAGGACTTGTGTTAAGTATGTACCCATCTACCACCTAACTCAACGAGTGATGTTGTATAGCGTAAGAGTAGTTTGAAAGAAATCTAGAGCCATCCAAACCAAGAAGTGGAACAGAATAGGATCTTCGATGCCTGATCTTTTCCATCACCACTAATATTGTAATTATCTCTACTACTCTAATATCGGCCTGATGATTTCATCTCGCTGTGCTAATGGGTTATGACAACTTGGACGGATGTACATATGGACTAAGTCCTATGTTGCGATTGGTTGACTGATTGACAAACGTCATGTTTATTTGATTTTTTTTAGTGCCGATGAAATTTCATAGATCAATTTGAAATTAATTTACCACAGTTCTCAGTCAGTTATATGTAATATGGAACATGTATACATCGGTTCAAGTCGTCAAACCCGATTAACAAACTGAGGTGAAAATTTCGCGCGAATCGCAGTGTAGTTAATATAGTCACAGTATTAGTGGTAACATAAAAGATTAGGTATCCGAGATACAACTCAAGAAAATACGGTTTTGTGAAATAAAAGATAATTATAGGCAATTATGAAACTTGGGATCTAAGGGAAGACATCTAACAATCATTTAACAGTACCACTCCATCGATTAAACACCAAGAATTTGCATACAATACTGATTAAATTCAAAAAACATGGTGTTTAGATGGGAATGTATCGCATATCTTCAAAATATACACATATATATCCAAGATAAACACAAGAAAAGCAAATTTTACTCTTCAATATCAACAATAATAATAATAATAACTCTTACTTTGGGGAGAACTTTTGAATCAAATACTGGTTGACCAGGTGCGAATGGTGGCTTGAAATTATTTGTATCCAAGTCAAGATAGGCAATGCCACCATTAGGTGGTAAACGGAAAAAATCAAAAAATCTTGAATCCATTCCAATTAAATATGGTGAAGGTGATTGAATCACATGAATACAGCCCATATATATGTATGGAATATATACAACAGTCCATTTCAATGGGAATATCATCTGTAAAAAATTAACGAGAAAAATTATGATTAAAAACAATTATCGATTGTATTTTTATGGTCTACATGATGGACTGTTGATCTAAGTTACAGCGACTATTGAGAAACAGAAAAACTAGTCAAATGTTTCATTCCAGTATGAAACTCCTGAATGGCAGAAAGAGGAGATTGAACGAAAGAACTTCCATTCTAAAGGCGAGCTCCTAAGACAAGGCATAGAATGGTCAACATGTATAACTTCAATCAATTCATAATATTTTAGGACTATTGTTTTGTATGATAACTGATAACTATCGATTATATTCGATATGAGAAAAGTATTTACTTATCTAAACATATAAACATTGGTACAAGGGAACACTATATATATATATATATATATATATATATATATATATATATATATATATATATATGGAATCTGAAACTTCCACCTCCCTTAGGTGTGTCCTCGATACCCACCAATCGGTTTGAGCACCGGACATTAGCTTTTCGTCTTCTCAATTTGGTAAACACCGCCTCTGCAAGAAGGCAGTGAGTAGGACTTCTCTGGTAGTGGCTGTATACTCATGATCATGTGGAAGCGTTTCGAAAAAAGAGAACTGGCCCTCCTCACCCTCGACCGTTCCAACATATTTGGAATTAATAATCTTACTCTAAGAAACAAATTGTTACAGCTAATAACAATTAAACTATTTTCGAAAAAGTATAAATAAAGAAGTCGATTATACAACATTTGGTTCAAGTCTAATTAGAAGGACAAACCAATCAGCATGAAGAATGTGACTATTTTAGGATTTTGTACAAAATGCAAACGAATATTAGAAAAATACCTTTGCATACTACATACTGTCTGATTGACAATCATACAATGAAAACAGTAGTGTTAAATGTATTAAATCCCTTATTCTCTCTCTCAGGATTGTTTACAATAGGTAAACTGATATTATCCTGAAATCTTAACCACAAAACCTCAACTTAGTGGTTACTACATTTTATGAACAGACTAATTAGATAAAATCTCTGACAGTTCTGACCGAAATTCATTCAATCACATGGCTACAGAGTAATTTGACATTAGAACTGATGTGAGTTAGTGGTTAAGACTATTAACTCTTAATCCGAACACTAACTAACAACAATATGGAAACTCTTCAAAATATATTTGAATTCTTTCAAGGGTTCAATAATATGAACTATGTACATCCATTACGAATAGTTTATATGTTGTTTCTTCGATTTACATGCACAGTAACCTGTAGTAGACAACAATAGATACATTAATTGTGTAATATCTATATACACTCTGTAGTATCATTCTTTTCTATAAACTATCTATTTATAAAGGCTACTTTACGACCGGTGAGAAACATACATTGTTTTATGCGAATTATTCTAGCTTCTGGACAATTAGGCATTCTATACATTAGATATTTAGCCCTGTTGATGATTCACTTTAAACGTTTGTCATTCATTTGTATATGATGGAACGTACCTATCTACTTATGTGTGTTTTACACGTGGTTCATTTTCATCTATATACATAAAAAATGATTCAAACTTAAATAGCTTAAGTAAGTAGTAGTTATGTATTCACTGACATTCTTCTATCTGGGTATTAATGGATTTTTGAAACATGTTGTATTCTTCAGCCGGTTGATCATAACTGTTATTATTCACTTTATGGTATGATGCAGTCTACTCTTCTTGTATATAAACTGAAATATACGATTCATACACTGGAGGCTGAAATTGTGTTCTGAACTGAATGGGCAGGGCTAGACATACTACTTATATCTGTCAACATAGGTAGCATACACGATATATTCAAGCATTTCTTTATCACCTATAATGAGTTCGAGAGAAGTTGGAAGCCAGTCACTACCACTTGTTACATATTCAAGCACATGGGTTCATATACAAACATACTGGACCACAATCAAACCATGAAATGAAAAACCACAATGTTATATGAACAAGCCAAAAGTGGCTATGAATACCTCAAGCTATAAGTAATTGATTGACAACAAATTAGGAAAAGTGAGTCGTGTAACAGTAATAATTATGTTAAATGAAAGCTTATTATAAATAGATTACATAAACATAGTAATCCAGTTTCTGTGTAATCATAGAACACAAATATAATTAATAATAAATCGAAGAAACCACTTCCAACTTTTACAATATTCATTATATAGACGTATGAACCGAGAAATTTAAAACCTTATAACATCCTTTATTAAAACAAGACAACTCGTTAAGATACATACCATAAATAATCATGATTCTTATCTATGATACTATTATTATTATTATCCAATCATATTTGATTGAATGATTGGTCGTATGATTAGATGTATTGATTCTACCACCTCCGCCATTATAAACAAACCATGTACAACGTAATTAACCATTATATCATATAATCGATAAATGGAGTACAACAGGCATGTGTAACGCAATATTTATACTATAAAATGATTAAAGAAATTACATAATATGTAAAATTCGAGACATTTTGGTATTGTGAATGATACATCGTTATTATTTGGACTTTTGAGGGACGAACTATATAATACTGACTACTTTGTATTCATACATACAAAATATATAGACAATTCATCAAACAAAGATGGTTATTCAGATGGACATTATCTACAAAACAGAAAATATGTACTTTTATGAATTAGGGCTTGATTGATTCGTTGAACAAAGTCGTATGGCTTACTGTACAGGGACAGGATGACAGTAAGGTGGTCTCCGTTAGAAAGCAAGAACCATTAGAGACGTTAGCGTTTTACAGTGAAAAGAGGGGGCCAAGTAATGTTGGTCATAGAAAAAGTACACCTTAGTTTACTTTCGGTGATAAAGCATTTTAAATTATGGAGCTAACACATTACAAACTTTTCACAGAAGGACCATGTGACTCTAGGGAGTTATTCTTTTGGCTCTGTGGTTAAATTTCTAGATCCCCACAATCACTACTGATTCAGTTTTATTTTCAGATCTCTAAGAAAGAAGTATTCTTTCACGGTATGATAAACTGGAAAGTGACTATTCCTCCAATACATCACTAACAGTAACTGAAATAATCTGAGAGTTGGTTACTCACGAGACCGAATGAATTGAAATCAAAGACAAGATCTTTAACAAGAAAAACAGGGTATTTTTTATTGAATAAAATGATATGCGTATATTATAAAATATTAACACAACAATGTCATGGATGAATTCACTTAGTGTTACTTGTTTGAATCTTCCCATTGATGTGCTAGGACTGCAACTGGTCAGTCTCTAATTGGCATATATGCATACTATGCGTATTGCCTCAATATAGCCTTATTTCACAAGCATTGTAAGCAAAGATGGATAGTAAATAGCAGTGGTATCCAGGAAGCACGTTTCGTTCTATTTGGGACTCGTCAGCGGGATGTACCTGAAGCGAAAGGTACTGGGTGAGTGAATATCAACTCCGAGATGCAGGTACATCCAGCTGACGAGTCCCAAATCGGACGAAACGTGCATCCTGGATTCCGCTGCTAGCCACTATCCATCTTTGCTTACAATATCATGGATTATTTTAGGAGATCAGTTTCCTGATCACACACACACATACTATCTAATCAATTAAAACCTGACTGTTATAGATCTAATTCATTTGTGTGATATCACTTACCTACCTATCTACCTAACTACCTACCTACGAATTCTATTATCAATAAAATAAACTGAAATAATCTGTACTATTGTAAAAAATATTAAAAGTTTCGAATGGCTAGCTAGAGTAAAACATTTACGTTCATGTTTCATTGAACTAATTATGTACTAATAAATCATGTATAATTAAAAAAGTTATGTATCGTTTTTCTAGTTGTTACTAATAACATTGTGAAATACTTAATGCATAACGGATACAAACTGTTTAATCTTTAACCCTAGTTGTTTTAAAAACAATATTGATTGATTTAATAGTGGATTATTATTGAAAGTGAAAATGTTCAACCTTAAAAAGATACTTCATAATGAAATATTAACGATTTACTTATAAATCAAGCGATCAAGATACATGTTATTTTTTATTTAAACATTTAAATATTGGTACAAAGGGGCACCAGATACATATGCGCCACACAAATCAAATGAGATTTGTGTGAGGGCTATGATACTGCCCACGCGCCCGAACCGAAGAGATTGGTTTTCTTAGGGGGGGGACACCCGGAGACTTCGATCTAAAACCTGGAAACACTGGACGCCCCCCCCCCAAATGCCCTGATACGGCCAAGAGTGGGGAAAGTCACCTCTCCCTTTCGAAATACTCTCATATGGCCAGCGAATATATAGCCTCTGACAGGGAAGTCCTACTCACTGCCTTCTCGTGGCGGGGGTGTTGTTTACGAAAGTGAGAGGACGAAAAGCAAATGTCCGGCGCTTTAACCGGGTTAGTGGACACGGAGGGTCCACCTAGGGGAGTTGGAAAACCCTGATTCCAAACCAATGGTGCACATGGGCTCCAGTATCCTGATGGAACGAATGACGGACGAACCTGTCATTGGTCAACGGCTACCATGGGACTGCATCTCCTTACAATGCTCCACTGCCTTGCGGATCAGACATTCAGGTCAAAGGCTCCGGATGTGGCCCCCTAAGAAAACCACCTGCTTCAGTCTGGGCACCTGGGAAGTATCACAGCCCTCACACAAATCGAATGAGATTTGTGAGGCGCGTATTTATCTGGTGCTTCATTGTACCAATTTTTATGTGTTTAAATAAAATAAATAAATAGAACTATTCCTAATACAAAACTTCAAATAACATTTATGTGTACAGTTTCCTCAAATCAGATTAATTACTGATTGAAATGAAAATATTAAAAACCGTGAATTTTCTACACTGAATATAATAACTCCACTCATTCAAACTATTAAACTCCAAATCGAATGACAATGTTAAAAAGGTAGATGTTATAAATTAATGAATTAATTCGTCATTAATTATTTTAGTCAATCATGAACAATGGAGGAGATGTTTGACACAAATTTGCCTTAGGACGACAAGATAAACAGTAAAGTAATTGAAATAATTCACTTAGTATTGTTTGTTTGAATCTTCCCATTGATGTTTAGGACTCTTATTGGTATATGTGCGTACTGTGCATACTGCCTCGATATAGCCTTAATTCACAAGCGAAAGGTACCGGGTTCGATTCCCAGAGTGAACATCAACACTGAGATGCAGGTGCATCCAGCTGACGAGTCCCAAATAGGACGAAACGCGCGTCCTGGATTCCACTGCTAGCCACTATCCATCTTTGCTTACAACTGAAATAATGTTGTAAGCATAATAGTGAGAAAGACTGACGACTGAGAATATATCTTGAAAAGACAAAATTAAATTATAAACAATTTGTTCAAAGAAACAATGAAGCTGAATATCTAGAGTATGATAAACAGTAAATGCATAGGCTTTATAGTTACTAATTTCTGGCCTATTTCATTCAGTCTCCAATCACTTATTGCAGATATTGTGCAGACCTTAGCCAGATAGTCTGTATTTCCCTAAAATAGTATTTACTGGCACACATTTGAGCAAAATTATACATATATTGATATTGAAAACCAAAACACATGGAAAAACTTATAGTCTAATAATAATAATAATAATAATAATAATAATAATAATAATAATAATAATAATCAGAATGGGTTTTGTGGAGATTTCAGTATTTTCATAGTTAAGTGCTCTCACGCGAGACTGTTGGGTGCTGGGTTCGAATCTCGCGAGTGCGGGTTCATGGGTGCGCACTGCTGAGGAGTCCCATAATAGGGCGAAACGGCCGTCTGGTGCTTCCAGGTTTTCCACGGTGGTCTAGTTTCAATTGACTCATGATTTCAACTTTGAAAATAATAATAATAATAATAAACTTACATATATCAAAGCTTCACCAATATCACTCAATACTGAATGTCGTACAGATGACATAAGAATTTTTTGTTCAGTAAGTAGTTGAACTAATAACTGAATAATTAAATCCACACTTAAATTATCCAAAAGACGAAAGAAGGATTCACAACTATTGAAGGAGAATAAAAATAGATGAACATAGTGTATCTGTGATGATAATAATAATAATAAAATCTTAACCAGTTATCCATAAAAATTGATTGGTATAATGATTAGCTATAGCAAAATGAACAGTTAGAATGTGGTATATATGACAACAGATTTGTCTGACATGGGACAATCCTATAAAGTGAGTGTCCCAGATATTAGTTGTTTACGCACAACACTATACTAGTTCAATATTTAGATATTTTTTATCAACCGAACTAATCAGTAATTTATTTCGTTTACACTAAGACCATCATAATTGTAAAGCAAACAAAGCTGATGACTAGCGCTATGAAACTATGGAAAATATAAATTTTCACAACCATGATTTACAGCTAAAATGTACTGATTACATCTCAGCAAAAGGAACAACTCATGATGTTGGTAGGTCATAGATTAAATTAAGGCATGCTGGAGAACGATGACTGGCTTATTTTGAACCAATCAGCACCAAAGGATAGGCGAGTCCAGAACCTTCCAGTATTACTTACTTACTTACGCCTGTTACCCCTTGTGGAGGAGCATAGGCCGCTCACCAGCATTCTCCATCCAGCTCTATCCTGAGCCTTCCTTTCCAGTTCTTTCCAGTTGCTATTCATCCTTTTCATATCGGCTTCTATTTCTCGGCGTAGTGTGTTCTTTGGCCTTCCTCTTTTCCGCTTCCCTTCCGGATTCCAAGTTAGGGATTGAGTCGTGATGCACATTGGTGATTTCCTTAATGTATGTCCGATCCACTTCCAACGTCTTTTCCTAATTTCCTCTTCAGATGGAAGCTGGTTTGTCCTCTCCCATAAAACGCTGTTGCTGATAGTATCCGGCCAATGGATGTTGAGTATTTTGCGTAGACAACTGTTTATAAATACTTGTACCTTCCTGATGATGGCCGTAGTAGTTCTCCACGTTTCAGCTGCATACAGTAGGACTGCCTTGACGTTCGTATTGAAGATTCTGACCTTGAAATTGGTTGAGAGTTGTTTTGAGTTTCATATGTTCTTCAATTGTAGAAATGTGGTCCTTGCTTTGCCAATCCTCGCCTTTACATCTGCATCCGATCCTCCTTGTTTATCAACGATGCTCCCCAGGTACTTGAATGTTTCCACCTCTTCCAGAGTTTCGCCGTCAAGTGTGATTGGGTTGGTGTTCTCCGTGTTGCATTTGAGAATCTTGCTTTTTCCTTTGTGTATGTGGATACCTATCGATGCGGAGGCTGCTGCTACATTTGCTGTCTTCATCTGTATTTGGTCGTGTGTATGAGAGAGGAGGGCTAGGTCATCTGCGAAGTCCAAATCATCTAATTGATTCTGAGAGGTCCATTGTATTCCGTATTTCCCTTCAGATGTCGAATTCTTCATAATCCAGTCAATCACTAGAAGGAAGAGGAATGGGGAGAGTAGACAGCCTTGTCTGACTCCGGTCCTTACTGGAAATGCATCTGTCAGCTGTCCTCCATGCACCACTTTGCACTGTAATCCATCGTATGAGTTCCGGATAATGTTGACGATCTTTTCAGGAACTCCATAGTGTCGAAGAAGTTTCCATAATGTTCTCCTGTCCACGCTGTCAAACGCCTTCTCATAGTCAATAAAGTTGACGTATAGTGATGAGTTCCACTCAACTGATTGTTCAACGATGATCCGTAGTGTCGCAATCTGGTCTGTGCACGACCGATCCTTACGGAATCCAGCCTGATGATCCCTTAGTTCGGCGTCTACTGCGTCTTTCATCCGATTCAGCAGCACTCTGTTGAAAACTTTTCCTGGTACTGATAACAAACTGATACCTCTGTAGTTCTCGCATTTGCTCAGATCTCCTTTCTTTGGTATCTTGATGAGATATCCTTCTTTCCAGTCCATTGGCACTTGTTCCTCTTCCCAAATCTTCTTGAATAGAAGGTGAAGCATATTTGCAGTTATTTCAATGTCTGACTTCAGTGCTTCTGCTGGTATATTGTCAGGTCCTGCCGCCTTCCCACTTTTGATTTGTCTGATGGCCATCTTGACTTCTTCGATCGTTGGTGGAGTGACATCTATTGGAAGGTCAGTGTGTGCTGCTTCGATGTTCGGTGGATTCAATGGGGCTGGTCTATTCAGCAGTTCCTCGAAGTATTCTGCCCATCTTTTCCTCTGTTCTTGAATCTCAGTGATTGTTTTTCCTTCTTTGTCTTTGACTGGTCTCCCTGGTTTGCTATATCTCCCTGCCAATTTCTTCGTTGTATCATATAGTTGTTTCATATTTCCTTCCCTTGCAGATTTTTCCGCCGTCGTTGCTAGTTCTCCCATGTATTTCTGCTTGTCGGCTTTAATGCTTTTCTTTACTTCCCTGTTTGCTACTGCGTAGTCTGCTTGTGCTTTGACTTTCTCTGCTCGTGTACGGCTGCTGTTAATTGCTAGTTTCTTGTTCTTCCTTTCTTGAATTTTGTCCAGGGTTCCCATAGAGATCCATTCCTTGTGATGATGCTTCTTAGGACCAAGAACCTCCTGACACGTTGAAGTTAGTGCTTCTTTTATCCCTTTCCAGTTGTCCTCCAAAGTAGTTTCTTGTTCATTCAGTAGATCCTGTAGAGCTTGGAACCTGTTGTTGAGAGTTATCTTGAATTCATGGAGCTTGTCAGTATCTCGAAGGAAGGCTGTATTAAACCTTTGTAGTGCTGTTTGTCCAGTTGTCCAGTCTTTCTTAAGCTTCAGTCTCATCTTGGCCACAACCAGGTGGTGATCTGAAGCTATGTCAGCTCCTCTCCGGGTTCTCACATCTTCCATTGATCTTCGGAATTTTTTGTTGATACAGATGTGATCAATCTGATTCTCTGTGGTGTGGTCCGGTGAAATCCATGTAGCTTTGTGTATGCGTTTGTGTGGGAATATTGTGCCGCCTATAACCAATTTGTTGAAAGCACATAGGTTTGCAAGTCTCTCCCCATTTTCATTTCTCTCTCCTAGTCCATGTCGTCCAATTATATCTTCATATCCTGTGTTGTCCACTCCAACTTTAGCATTTAGATCTCCCATAAGGATGGTGAGGTCCTTTCGTGAGCACTTTGCTATAATTGATTGCAGCCTTTCATAGAACTGATCTTTATCATCGTCGTTGCTATCATTGGTGGGTGCATAACATTGGATAACGTTCATTGTGATCCCCTCCTTCTTTGTTCTAAATGATGCTTTGATTATCCTGGGTCCATGAGATTCCCATCCCACAAGTGTATTTTGTGCTTCTTTGGACAGCATTAGAGCAACTCCCTGAGTGTGTGGAGCATTTTCCTCTTCGTGACCGGAGTACAGCAGCATCTCTCCTGTACCTAGCCTTTGTTGTCCAGCTTGTGTCCAATGGGTTTCGCTGATTCCGAGTACTGCCAATTTGTATCTCCTCATTTCCATTGCTATTTGGCTGGTCTTTCCTGTCTCCCACATTGTCCGGACGTTCCATGTACCTATAAAGAGTGTTGCTCTGGTTGTTAGAAGGTGCATCGGCCTCGTGACTTCCGAAGAATTTCGGCTTTCATCATGAGACGTCATTATTCCTTCAACTCCCAGGGCAGAGTTTAAATGGTTTGAATTATTTTTTCTGGTTAGCGTTTTTTTAGCGAGTTAGCTTTTCTACGGGATGGGGTCGCTAACCCCATGCCCAACCCTCCTCCTTTACCCGGGCTTGGGACCGGCAGTAACTCTAGAAGAGCTACAGGCGGAGTAGATTACTAAATAAATATACATTATCTTAACTTCAAATCCAATTTCGTTAATTCGTTTTTTTTTTTCATTTTGGCATATAGTACTTTACTGTTTAAACGTTGTTTTGGTTTTAGAGACTAATCTAGTGAGGTAAAGTTCCCTAAGAATACTAAATCATACATATAACTGAGATGGATAAGAAGACGTTTAATATTGTTCAGATTTACTCCCAGTATGAGAAAAGAGAACAACGCACATCATCATTACTATAACTGTGATCGATACAGAAAGCGGGAAAACATATCAGTATTTGATATTGATCACCAAGACAATTACATTTTAGTCCTTTTTCTCAATAATAAAAGTGCAATTTAGTGCGTACATACGCCCACATACACACAGATTATGTATGTATGTGATTATGTAGATAATTAATTATAAAAAAGAATTATAATTATATGGAAATTATAATAAAGATAATGCCAAAAGCATTTGGTTAATAGAAGAGGAACACTTACACACACACACACACACACATAAGTAGTACAGAATAACGTTTCTCTTATTTGTAATATTAATCAATGTGTAGTATGAGTATAAGAATAATAAAAGATGAATATGTATTTCTTGAGTTAATCTGTCTATTTATCTACATATAGATCGGCATATTCTTTTTTATTTCATAAAAAGGTAATGGATAATGTGGTGGTGGTGGTAGTAGTAAAAATATGACGAACTCAACAATACCATGAATATACTCATACAAATATGCGATTATTAAAAGTGAAGTCTACATGGTATGTGGATGAACACCTTTTCACAATTGATTGGTCACTGAGTGGTGATCAATGTCATGAGTGTCAAGTCCTTCTTAGTGCTGATCGAATGCTATCGATCAAGTTGCAATGTGGCTACTAGTCTAGGTGGCTCGACACTGTGTGCAGGGTCTAGGGTTTCCTGTTGACCACCTCCAACCACCTTGAACGCCTTTTGTTAGTTAATCAATTATAAAGAACGTAGAACTTTGAATATTATGTTTATTGATTCAAGTTGGCACACCCCAACATCAGTGCAGCGAGATGAAATTGTCAGAGCGAATCTCAGTAAATGTATCAATGGTAGTAGGACAGCTTAGGTCTAGACGACATGGTTCGGGATGGATTAATGGAATAAAATACAGTGTGAAGTGGAAATGTACCATTACAACCGATTCTGAGCCACATCATCTAACATATTTAACCATTAATAATGATAATAGCGTGGATCCCAATCAGGTAATGTAAACTTATCAACACACAGCGATCTAACAGTAAATAACCTCATGGACTGTTATAACACGTCTAGGTTTGGCTACCCCTAGCTTTCTTTTAGTCTACTTCTAAATCAGTTAGTATTGTCTTTTGTAGTGTAGCGTAATGATGAGAAATAAATGTTTCTTATTCTCTACTTCATTCAAAACTAAGAACAGAATTAACTACTTAAAAGGTAAACATATTCAAAAATGAATCATACTAAATAATCCAAGGTTTATGTATATCAATTATGTTCTTCGGATTGGATTCAATTAACAGTGTACGATAATTAACGCTTCGTTAACCAGCTTACATACAGTAAGACCACTAAGAGTTAATAAGAAAGGGTACCTCTTAACGTAATATACACAATATTATGTGTCAGTCAGTCAGCTACAACGTAGGACCAGGCACATTTATGCATCCGTCCAAGTTGCCATAACTCGTTAGCACAACAAGATCAACACCGGATTTATAGAAGTAGTTAATTTAATGGTGGTAATATATAAAATAAAGGTTGTATATAAGGATATAGTATAAGAAAGGAGAAAGTTATGGAGCAATTTTAATCTCAAGGCTTAAAGGAAGATAAAGAGTGTATACACCTACGCCATTGTGATCGATTCTGAGAAATGTCTCCAACCATTGGTTACGATAATCACGTGGACCCCAACCTAGTAGTCTGCATCTACCAACATGGCTCAGACTAGAAGTTAGTGACTTTGTGGGCTGATGCCATGTTTTGGTTTGGTCGCCCCTAACTCTCCTCCAACGATCCCCTACACTAGTCAGCATTGCACGTCGTGGTAATCAGTGTTCAGGCATACGTAACACGTGGCCCAACCATCTCAGTCGATGAAGATTCATGGCCTCATCAACTGATTTACCATCGTTCCCTAATACCCTGCGTCTAACCTCACTATTACTTACCCGGTTATACCAGCAGATGCGAGCAATATTTCTAAGACATCTGTGGTCAAATACTAGTAACCTACGAGTATATTCTACTCTTAACGGTCATGTTTCGCGGTCGTAAAGTAGAACAGAACGAACTGCTGCGCAGTATACCCGTCCCTTAATTGATAGACGGATATCTCGTCTTTGCCATAGGTGACGTAAGTTGGCGAAAGCCAAACGAGCTTTTAGAATCCGTGCTGAGATTTCGTCAGACACCAACCCATTAGGGCTGATCAGACTTCCAAGATAAGTGAAGTTGTTCACGCGTTCGACTACTTTACTCCCTATCCTTAGTTCAGGTGTTGACGCAGGCCAGTCCTGGAGTAAAAATTTACATTTGGATAGGGAGAATCGCATCCCAAACATCCTGGCATTATTACTGAGTTCCAACAGAAGACTCTGCATTTTGCCAGCGTCTTCACCAAACAGGACTATGTCATCTGCGTATTCTAAGTCGCTTAGTGGTCCCCTGGTAGATCAGTTCCTGAAAATTCAATCGACGAGAGTGTTATTTCCAGCAACAGGTCTATAATGAAGTTAAACAAAAATGGGGATAGTGGACAGCTTTGTCGGACACCATTTGAGGTTGTAAAATCATATGACAGTTCGCCATAAGCTCTCACTCGACTGGTAGTGTTCGGGTAAAAGCCTTCACAAGGTTTATGTACTTCTCAGGTACACCTTTCAATGACAGACACTGCCACAGAACCTCTCGGTCTACAGAGCCAAATGCTGCTTTTAAGTCAAGAAAAACTATCATTGTCGGACGCCGATAAGCAAGTCTGTGCTCTAAAACTTGACGAATTGTGAATATGTGGTCGATACAGCCACGACCAGATCTGAAGCCAGCCTGATTTTCTCGTGTTTGCAGTTCACGAGTCTTAGTAAGGCGCCCGATAATTATTGAGGCTAGTATTTTAGATGCTATGTTAGTCAGACTAATCCCTCTATGGTTATCATAGGATGATTTTGGCCCCTTCTTATATATTGGGACAATCAGTGATTGTGACCAGTCAGATGGGATTAAGTTCGTCTCCCAGATTTTAGCCAGAATATTAGTCAACCTAATCACTAAAATTGGAACACCATATTTAAAGACCTCTGGAGCCAGTCCATCAGGACCAGCTGCTCTTCCTCGTCCCAGATTAGTTATAGCTTTTTGAACTTCAAGTAGGGTCGGGGGGCCTACTTCAATGTTCCATTCAGGTTTTCTGGGAATAGTGGGTAGTTGTGCAGTAGCTGAAGGCCAGGCCAATATTATGTGTACAACTGGACTGATTCACAAAATAATACGAAGGCGTGGACCTTGGTTAAGTGAATAACTAAAAATGATCACCTTACAATTGCATAATTCAAAGCATAAAGTGATCTGCTTAGTACATATTTTTTATCTTTCAGTTCAAAGTGTCAAAGTTGTAGATAGCAAATATATTTATCAAACCTTACTAAAGTAAAAATGAATTCTGATTTCAATGTCCAGATAGTTGAATTGTATTGTTAACAAACGAAATTTAGATGATAATAATTCACATTAAGCTATGTAGAAGTTAAAAGGCTTAACAGTTCTCCTACACATGCATTGGTTCTTCAACTATCTCTTTTTAGTGTGCACTTATCAAATTGATTTAATGAAGCATTAAACTGAAAAGAATAAATAAAAACTACATTAGGTCCATCAGGGTGCTTGGTACCTGTGTGGTTGCGCCACAGGATTGAGCTGTACTGTTCGGATTGTAGCGTTGATGCATGTATAATGTCTGGTTCTCCTACGGGGCGGGATTAAGCTGTACTGCTTGGGTTAAGCCTGGGCAGTGCCTAGCTCTCTTGTTAAACGGGATTGAGCTGTACTGTATGGGTTGCCGCGTGAAAGTTAAGATGATGTCTGGTTCTCCTGAAAACCAGTGTAAGATTACCCTGGCCCATGATGGTATATTATATAAATGTACCTGCTTCAGTTTGAGCACCTGAGCAGCATCATAGCCCTCAAACAAATCAAATGAGATTTGTGCGGTGCATATATATCTGGTGCCCCCTTGTACCAATATTTGTGTGTTTAAATAATAATAATAATAACACTAAATATTTCTTCAGAAAATAAAGGCAATTAACAAATTAGCAAACACATCTTAAGAAACGTGACTAAGACAAAAGCATGAAGAGTATGCCTACCTTGAAGAAGATGCATTAGTGTCATCTGGACGTTGAATTAGAATAGGAGCAGCACATAGCTAGAAGTTTTTAGGAAAGGTAAAAGTTGTACAGTATGTTCATAATTCAACAAAAAAGATTATTTAATAAAAAATACAGTCAAAAAGATTTCCTCTAGGCGAGAAGGCTTATGTCACATAGAAGAATGTAGTAGAAAATTACAACAAGATTACAATGGCTTCTCTTTTGAGCCATGGTTTGATAAAGTATCAACCACATCAGTTGTACCAGTACTGAAACGCTAACCAAAGAGACGTAGTGGACCGACGAATGCTAGTAATATACGGCTAGTTTCTACGGCTCAACGCCATGGACTAACCATTTCTAATTTCATCCAGTTCCACAATCTCGAAATAATTGAAGCCAAAAAAGACTAACGCCTCAAGATGGTGATACTAATTGAACTATCATTACTATGCACGAACAAACACCGAGAGCTTGAGACTATCCGCAGGATGTTGCTGCTGAATATGGACAATCCTTCTTAGACAATGGTGATCGAACAGTCTCTGAGTAAACTAATCTTCAGGATGACGGATCATAAATATTTGATCTTCAATAGACAGACTAACGATGTGAAGATATCAAAGATGACCTACATTGGCGGAAGTCGCTCTGGCCTTCATTATAGATCGATTAATTTGGACTGCTACCTCTTAAACACAACTAACACAACCACCCAGAGACGAATTGAATATTTTCAACAGTTTTCCACAAAGTATAGCAGTAATTTGGGTATACTTCGGTGTCATCACACAACAAAGCATCACCCACATACTGAAGGACAAATAGTCTTTTTCTATGTGATGAATCCACATCATCACTGTCACATATCTTCCTCAAGGCTGTTCCCAGAATGTCATCCGTGGTGAAATTGGAGAGATTGAGTATACAAGCGTAATCCCATTGCTGGACTGGAACGGTAGAGAAAGATGATTGTATATCCTCATTCTGAGAGGTGTTTGTGTACGGATCGCTCAAATATGTTGATAAAAATCTTATACACAATCACCTTCAACAGATAATATTAAAGCAAAATCCTGACTAAGGGATTGATCGTTTAATGAAGAAAATAACACAAACTGTATCGAATAAAAACCTACAGGTTTTACAGTATTCTGTCTACCGTTTCACATTGTCTAAACATTTAATGCAATTAGAAAGACAACATTACCTAGCTAAAGAAAAACAAGACTTACATCAACAGATATACTTGGTATTGCTCGATCAGGAAAAGGAATTTCAAACAAGAAATAACCTAAATACCTAGATACGAAAGATTTTTAATACAAAAGTCAAATGAAAACAAATATCGATGACTACTGGGAAAAAGTACCATTCTTAATCAAAATTACAAACAAGCGAACTGATTAATTAAAAAAATAATAATTTAATTTAATTGATATCATAAACCGACTTAGGGTGGACATCTACTGAAAACCATGAAGTACTCAGCAGCTGCTTCATCTTAGTAGGGGGATCGTCAGTAGTGCATGTTCATAAACCCACCATAAGAAGTCGACTCCAATGCTCTCAGTTTCGCACACGAACATCTGACAACTATAAACCACTGCAAGCCGGCATTCAATAGAGTACACGTTTAACGTTAATCAATCTGCAATACTGCAATACCATGTGTTATAACCCGTACGAAAATAAATGAATGGTAACTGTCAGGATCTATTTATAGACTAGTATTATACGGATATTCTTATTGTATGACTACTAAATGACTATATTAAACTTATATTCATACTCCTTGCATAATAAACTTTCATTTGACCTATTGAATATCATAGAATTTACTATTCTTAAGATATTCCCATTTTATTAGTAACAGTTTCTTACAGTCACATCCACTTTCGGCTTGATTTTGTAGTACAAATGTTATTTTCTATTTTATGGTGTGATATGGTTTGATTTGTTTGTACTTAAACCAAGTATGTTTGAAATATATTATTAATATCGTGGAGGCTGGGATTGGTGTTTTGGACTTAAAAGGCAGGGGGCTAGGCGGAAAAATGACCTATAGGAACTCTAGGTCGCTCGTATTGGTTTACGCGTCACTAGTTCGGGCGTATTAGTCAGTGAATCTAAATTTGACAATCGTATTTAGTAATGTCGTATAGTTAAGAATATGACAGTATGTCATCTAAATCATATGTAAATGAAGAGCTGATTTGAATGAACTTGGTGTAGAACCACACAATGGGCAGAAGGAATGAATATTTGTTGTGAGAGATTACAAAGTGTTTGCACAATACGTATACACAGCCTTCGATCATCCATTAACCACTTGTGGTGTGTTCTGCGGTCTGAACTATCTTCTCGTCTGGCCTTCTAGTGTTCCGTCTATGACTTGCTTTTAGTATACTAATCATCTACTCTCCGTTTAATGACTGACAGGATCGAAATCGTGTTCCGCTACATACCTACAAGCAGTCTTGTGAGTAGCAGCCTCTGTCAGGGAAGTCCTACTCACTACATTCTCGTGACATGACTTTTGTTTACGAAATTGAGAGGACGAAAATAGAAGGTTCGGCGCTTTAACCGGGTTGGTGGACACGGAAAGTCCATCTAGGGGAGTTGGAAAACCCTCATTCCAAACCAATGGTGCACATGGGCTGACTCCAGTATCCTAAGGGAACAAATGGCATACGAACCAATCGTTGGTCATCGGCTACCATGGAACTACATCTCCTCACGATACTCCACTACCTTGTAGATCAGACCTTTAGGTCGAAGGTTCCGGTTATGCCCCCCTAAGAAAACCACCTGTTTCGGTTCGGGCTCCTGGGCAGTAACATAGCCCTCACACAAATCAAATGAGATTTATGCAGCGCATATGTATCTGGTGCCCCTTCGTACTAATATTTCTGTGTTTAAATAAAATAAATAAATGATTGATCAGTTATACAAGTGTATTTCGATATGTATGATAAATATTAGGCTTCCGATTAAAAAGAAATATATACGGAAATAATTCTTACCGTTCAAATGGTATATTGTCTAAATTATTTGATAATAAACATCGACTGTACAGAAATCCCAAAAAATTAGAAAATGGTAAAGTAAATGACCAACGAGAAAGTATACAAAGAGTTTTTGTCACACCAAGAATACGATCACCAACACGTGATGATAAAAAATGACGTTGTCGTTTAGCTATTGCTTCTTCATTAGCATCATATTCATCATTTACTAAATCTGTACCAGATTTGGAATTAATTAATTCTGGATCAACTCCTAAACAGTAGCATTTATGTAAATCTAATTGTTCAACATAGGGTTCATAGAAAGTAAGCGCAACACCATAAAGCTAAGGGATACACACATAGAAAAAAGTAAATAAAGGAATGTTATTATCAGATTTATATAATGATATCACATCTATGAAGTTTTTATGACGTAAATTAATCAAACACAATAATGAACTTATTAGTCAGCATCAGAATTAATCAATTATAATCACTATTTTGAGATTGATGCATTGCAATTAATTAATCCCTGAGTAGTAGCCAATATTATATTTGTCTACTCATTTAATGATTGACGATCAAATCCCATTGCTCGAGCTGCAGTCCCAATATCTCGATGGTAACGTTTCAGACTGTGAAGCTGGGTAACGTGAGTTCAGATCTTACAGAGAGCATCGGTTCCCTGAAGATTGTCGATACGACTTGTCGAGGAGTGCTAACTAGCATGGAGTATGAGTCAAGCAGGGATTCCTGTAGACTGTCTCCGATCCCTTAAAATTGATGTGTTATTTTTTTTATACAGGCGATAGAAACGATGTCCTAAACGTCAATTCTGTAGTAAAAACTGAATCGAATTTTAATATTTATAAAAACTGTTCAAATACAAGTCTATACAGAATAGGATAACACATGTGGTAAAAGGTATTTGAATAGACAAAAATAGAATGAGATTATGAACGGACAAACAAATAGAGTTGTTGATGGTCATAAGAATCAAGGTTTCATCATGTTCAGAGCGACCAAAAGATAAATAACCATGTAGCTAAAAGGAAATATAATTGTAGAAGAACTTTCTAGCGACATTTATTGAATTTACTAACGATTATTAACGTCATCATTTATTATTCATTGTTCCTTTTTTTGCAAAGATTTCTTGCCCGAACAAACAATGGATAGTTATGACAAACTAGTAAGTGATGAAGAGCTTGCTTTTTACTCAGTTCACACAAAATCTGGCACAACTGGGGACCGAAAATAGTATGCATCACACAAAAAATTTGTATGTATGGCCTTGGATACTGCTCGGGAGTCCAAACCAGAAAGGAATGATTCTCTGAGGGAGCCATCCTACAGGCCTTTGATTTAGAGGTTTAAACCGAAAGGCAATAGAAAAACATTGAGATGTAGTCCCGTGGGTACCGATAACTAAGAACAGATTTGTCCGTTAATCAATATTTCAGAATCTTAGAAGACAGGTCAACCAATGGCCTAGAATTAGGATTTCCTAGATATTCTAATTGGATCTTCAGTATCAACCAGCTCAGTTTTAGCGTTAGACACTCGCTTTTTATTCCTCTTACTTTCCGTAAACAATTCGCAATTTCGCATTGCTACCTTTCATTATCTTAGGTGGGCACATTCTTCAGACCTGACACGGTTAAACTTCACCAGTCACGGCTTCTCACTGGAATGCCAGAAATTTCCAGAAGATAGTTGCTAGTAAGCGCATAACAAATATCAGAATAGGGGGTGGATGCGTGATGCTGATATTCCTATAATATATCAAAACGACAGTCCAGTCCTTCCAGGTTTAGCATAGTTGTCTGACTTAGGTCGGTACATAATCTTGATAACTTGTTATATATAATATCATTTGGTTTAGTCAAATAAACTTTTCCTACTCTTCTTTTCTCTCGAGTAGCTGGGCTCGTGTATAGGAAGAATGTGCATCAGTATCGACCACCGGACACTGCACGTTGCAATAATCAGGATAAAGAAAACACAAAACCAATCTAATTATTCTCCAGAGAATTTTTATGCAGATTTCAAAGGATTACACATTAGAAAGTTCAGTTATGCAATGAAAAAGTAACGATCAGTTAGCTCTGCAAATGGGCAACTCAGTTTTGCATCCAAACAGCATCATTCGCTCACTTTCTGAGGTTTTTATGCACTATGACCATATAATTTACTCAAATAATTTTTGATTTACTAGTTAAACTAATTAAAAGTCCTTATGAATACACATTCTGAGTTCTGTTGTTCTAATTAGAGGTTTTAAAAAGTAAAAGTTACTGATACATATCGATCGAATGAAAAATGAAACAATAACAACAGAATTGTGGGATTTACTATCAGTAAGGACATATGTCATAACAGGGAAAGCGTTTGAATTTGTAGTACGATAAATTTAAAACGTTTAAACAAGTGAGATCACTTAAAAGCGTAATCAATCTACTCAACGAAAAGAATATGAGTTTTGGGTCATAGTATGTTATATATATATATATATATATATATATATATATATATATTGCTGGAAAAAATCATACTAACCTTTTGGTAAGCTTCATTTGTAAGCATAAATGTGAAAGAATTAACTTCAGGTGGATCTTGATTTACAGACCATGATTCAATTGATGCACCCCATGGAAGACAGAAATTGGCTACTTGGAATATATCCGGATCTAATGGAGCAACTTGAGATTCTTTATTTTCATTAAATAAATAAAATTAAAAGAGGCAGTTTAGTTTAAATTCTAGAGTTTATTTATTTATTTGAACACATAAATATTGGTACAAAGGGGAACCAGATACATATGCGCCGCACAAATATCGTTCGATATGTGTGGGAGTTGTAGTACTGCCCAGGTGCCCAAACTGAAGCAGGTGGTTTTCTTAGGGGGCCACAACGCCCACCTTTGGCCCAAGGATCGGATCCACAAGGCAGTAGAGCATTGTAAGGAGATGCATTCCCATGGTAGCCGGTGACCAACGATTGATTCATACGCCATTTGTTCCCTCAGGATACTGGAGTCAGCCCATGTGCACCAGTGGTTGGGAATCAGGGTTTTCCAACTCCCCTAGGTGGACGAGCCGTATCCACCAACCCAGTTAAGGCGCCGGGCATTCGCTTTTTGTCCTCTCAATTTCACAAGCAACACCAGTTTTGCGAGAAGGCAGTGAGCAGGACTTCCCTGGCAGAGGCTATATACGCGTGGCCATGTGAGAGCATTTCGAGAGGGAGAGCGGACTCTCCCCGCTCTTGAACGTACCAGGGTATTTGGGGGCAAATTCTAGAGTAGAAAGTAGCAAACAATTTTACGCCTCTGATGGTTGCTTTTAACGAAGAATGAGATAAGATGACCTTCGATAACCAAATAAGACTAACGATGTACAATGTTAACGAAACAGACAAAGTAATTGCTTAATATTGTGCCTATTTTATAGTGATTCACTGACTGACATCGATTTCTATGAAGCATTTTTAACGTGATGAAAATTTTATGGAAATTCATAGGTATTTTCGGTCTTACTTAAAACCACCCCTTGTGTCATTTTTAGACGAATCAACCAGAAAACCCTGACTGTTCTGTTAAATAATGTTTATCAATGTAAAATTAAAATGTGCTGTGACTAGGAGATTAATATTTTCAAGAACATGTAAGCCATCAAACTTGAAAGGTAGATCAACTGAGGTCTCTCCTCACAAACAGTTATGCGTAGTTTAACTTTTTGATATTTATTGCTTCGGTCGAGAAAACAGGCTGTGATTCATTGATTCAGAAACTTCCATTTTAACCAGTTGGTAGTAGGGCTCTGACCCAACTTTTCTTACATAGAACAAGACAACCAGAGGAAATCTTTCACAAAGAAAACTATAGACAAGATAATAAAAGAGTACACGAATCTTCAAACGAATACGTTAAAACCATAGTAACCTGTTATGAAGACTAACAATTACTATTAGGACAGATTCGTTTGAAGTTTGAAAATACATTATTTTATTAGTATCTCAATTCCTAATGAACAGTGCTAATAATAAACGATTTATACTTCAATGATTTGTACCTTTTGTATTTCAAAACGGACAAAATATAAAACCATCTGTTTACAATAAACGATTCATGTCATTTATTCATAGCGTTGTTTATCACACCATAAAGCGATTATTGAAGTAAGGGACTTGACATCTTGATGAACTTTTTCCGATATTTAATAACATTCTATATGGTTTTTCGCATTATCAATTATGAGATAAGATATTAAATTTCAACAGTCAAATACCAAAGCGGTGGGTTAACATTGATATAAACAACTTACGGTTTTACTTACAACCTGAGAAAACTTTGTTCGACTAAATTAACATACCTGGTGAAAAATCCGAACAGGTTTTGTCATCCATTCCTTTGTTGAGTTGGTCACACATTTCAGGAGGGTCGCTCGATGGATTATTGAGAACAACCGAGGAATACTTAGAAGTTTCATTATTTATACTGGGATTTGAACAATTGTAATCAACGCTTGGAACTCTATACCAATATAATACCTCAGGTTTATAGGAAATTATACATTGTTTCACAAGTGACTTGCGATAACAAATATAAGCTTTTAATCTGAACTAGAGATAGCAATAAAACAGATAAAAGGGAATTAATTATATGAAAAATTGTAATAAAAAGAAATCCCTAGATTTTGTACCGAAATATATATAGAAGTATCAGTTTAACGAGATTTACTACGAGTAATTTACAACTCAATAATTACAAATCTACACAATATTAGGCTACAGGTTTAAACCCACTACATATAAAACAAATTTGGACGCAACCGAGAAATCCTCTATATTATGTGGTATTTTAATCGAACATTCGCTTACAGTGGCGAATAAATCGTACTCGACATAACAATTTCAAGAACATAGTACAGAACCCAAGAAATGCCAACTAATAGCGGCCTTATGGATAATGTAAATAGATAAACTGGATTATAGGTATCCTTGTGACTAGTGATGAAGAACTGATTGACATAAATGGCGCAAAAACAGTATAACCGTGTTGTGAGTGCAGTACTGAATATTAAAAAAATTTGAAATTATGTTATTATCTTCGTTATTACGTGCGAGTGACGCAGAGAGGATCGTTAAAATAAATTAGTAATCTGAAAAAAGGGAAACGAATAAGCTTAATTAGGAATTTATCTGCAATCATGAACCAAGTGAAGTCAGTCCACTACTGAAAACCTGGAAGCACTGGACCGCTGTTTCGTCTTAGTATGGGAATCTCAGCAGTGCACATCCACGAACCCGCACGCGAGAGTCGAACTCGGAACATTCGGTCTCACGCACGAACACTTAACCTCTGGACCACAGAGTCGACATTCAACAGTGTTAATCTCTAACTCCAATCAATTCACGACGTTGCGCGTTTATCTTCCATAGTCTTCGGTGGGTAACTACCTCAGATACAATACAGATTAATTCCACTGGTCACGGCTTATCACTAGAATTCCAGAAATTAACCTTTGAAGCTACTCATTAGTGAGCAAATGACAAATGGCAGTAAGGAATTGTGGAGATTGTTGAATATGATTGAGAATTGCGTGAATAATTTATTTCTTTAATTGTAGTACGACTTTCTGGAATGTGGGATAGACGTCTTTGAGAAGGCTATCTTTTGAAGAGGTTTCAAACCAAATGTCCCTCGAACTCTAGCTACAGGGATACTCTATATGAAGTCAACTTTGGACTATGCTTCAAGGAATTCCATCTACGAACCCACAGAAATATTACAATTAAATTATGTAAAAGTAGAACTCACTGAACTTATGCATATAGGTTCTGTGACTTGTCGGTAAGCTGGAGGACAAGACTCTTGTTTTTCCGGGATGATAATACATAGATCAGTTACTGCTAGGCAGTCAATGCTGCTCTCGACAGTACCTCGTAGATATGATAAAAACAGACGGTTCGTTAAAGAACTGGGTAAGTCTGCAGCACGACCTCCAATAGTCCTTGATAAAACTACCGCGTTAGTTTTAGGGCATTGTTTCTCTCCCAAAGTGCTGTTGATTTCAGAAATAAAAATCATTGGGATTTTTCAAGTGACAATTAAATCGTAATAATTGGAGAAAAATAACTAGACAAAACAGGAAATTACCAAACTTAAATTACAAATGATCATAATTCAAATTATTTGAAGGTACTTTACCTTAAAACAACAATACAAAACTTTAGTTCGAGAAAATCGGGAGTTCAAAGACATCATTCAGCAACTTAAATTTAAGCTGCCAAATAAATTTTCATCATCATTTCATTATCCAACTTTGTGGTCATCTAACTTCCAGTGTAATTATCAAGAAACATGAGAAGCAGTTTTCTCAGATACCTTCTTGTACTCTTCAAACTATCAAAACCTTTTGCATTACGTCTGAAGTATGAAGATTATATCACATTAAGCTATGAAACATCAAAAACATAATTTTCTATTGATTAAGACATCACAAAGATATATTTATTATTGAAGTATGACGCTGACAATGATCTTTTTTATCCTTCAGAAATACATAGATTTGTCAGTCTCCAATGTCTTTAAAGTGCACCAGAATACAATTTTTTGAAAATGAGTCTTCCTTGAACATGTGATACCTAGGCACACTAGGGCACAGTCCTATAATATATTATAGCATCCTGTGACTTCAGATGCGATTATGAAGGGAAGAAAAAGTTGCTTATATGGGGTAGCACTCGAATCTATAGTACTAGACGGTCAGTTTTCGTATATTGAAGTAGAACAAAACGGATTCACTTGTATCAAATATATCGGTGGGCTGAGATTGGTGTGGACATAAGCTACAGCCAAGAAACTGGTCGTACTTATTCGAAAAAAACGAACGTTGAATATGTAGCAATCACCAATTGAATCCTCGTAGAGTATTTATTTTCTAACTCGTGTTACGACTTTGCTATGTCATTTCTTATTCCTAAAATCCAGAAGTAATGCCCACGAGTAGTTCAGGTGAAATGTTTGCTCAGATATTTAGTTGAGGAGAATAACTTTGCAGAGGATTTTAACTGGTTTAAGGATAAAAGGTGTCGCAACGAATCTACAGCTTTACACCATCCTCAGTCAAATGATCTGAAGGAAACCTTAGAGTGCCAATGCATCAGTGAATCCGAGAACTTCATGAGCTAATATTGTGGTTAGACTGTTTTCTAATCCCAAGCCAAACAAACAAGATGGAGACTTTTTGTTTGTGCGAAATCCCGCAAAAAAAAACTAGAAAATGTCCCAACTCTGTAGAGGATGTCTTTATTTAAAGACTAAGTCGCTTACAACTGAAGATAAAAAGCCTTACGTGGCAACGTAACGTGAAAGCAAAATAAAATTAAACGATCGCTTCTAATGGGGACTTTATACGAAGCATAGCTTCATAAGAATTCGTAGCCTAGTTAGAGTATACTGCTAAATAAATTGTATAATTGTTAATTACAAGCACTTTTGTAGTGTATATGTTAGGAAACTTCAATGACATACAACACTGGTCCTAGATAGCTGAATTACAATAGAACTTTGCCTACCGAAACACAAATATCATGGAACTACGACATGATTTAGTAAAGCATGAATGACTTGTAAAAGAACTTAGGGATATACTGAACCTTTTTAAAAGCTTGTTTGCAAAAATACTTTTTTAGGATAGTGATGATAATAATCAACTTTAGAAGTTGGAGTCACAATATTTACGATTCATTTTGCGAGTAGTAAAGCATTTAACAAACAGCCTTTCAACAACCATTTTCAGGAACTGGTTGAATTTCCCGAAGACTCCAAAGGTAAAAAATCCTGGTCTTCAGAAGATCTTGTCTTACAAAGCAACCAAAAGCAAATAAATTCAGTTGGTTGTGACACAAAAGCAAGATCAACCAGAAAATGCTAATTCGGAAAGTTCGGCGAATAGCCTATTCTTTAACTAAGCATAACTAGATTCAGTGTTTAAAGAATATCTAAGTAGACATAGTTGCATTATGTGTCAAAACGTTGAGAGTTGTAAGCTACTGAACAGAAGTATATACGAGAGATATAGAATATGCACGTAAAATGTTGTATAGATAATAGCCAATAAACGTACTCGATATCTTTTATAAACGGTTGGTCTCGTCCTCTACGGTAACATATACAGGCCTCCTCTCCAAAATTCAAAAGGATGTTGGCCTTATGTTTTCCAGAGACACTGTATTTAATGCATGTATACCCTTCCGGTATTTCTTCCTTCTCTCTTAAGCTCACAATCTAAAAGAACGTATTGAACAGTCGAAACGATTTACCCTACCTTAATATCGACAATAGGCTCAGGGAATCGCGTGAAGTCAATCGAAGTATTGGGAGCAATTATTTCCTCAGCATGTGTAAGGATCTTGAATAAGTAATGATTAAAATTGATTATGCTAACCTTGGAAACGTCATATGTACTTGGATTTTTGGGCAAGCCACAAATCACAAAATATTCTGCAAGACGTTCCGGAAGACTCTGAGTTTTCATGACAATTAAATATATTATTGGTCTTCACAAGTCATGGATTCCCATCATATCGTGTGAATAAGTTAATAATCCAGGTTAACTAGACCGACCAACTTCAATGACCCGCCTGTAAACGTTAAAGAATCCAACATTCAAATGGTTCAAATGGTTGAGGACGGAATAGAAGAAGCTTTCGCTTAACGGGCTTCCGTGTCTGTTAGCGGTGGATCACCAATACCTCCAGGCAAGAACCTAGGTATATGAACGATAATAGAGGGAAAAAAAGAATTTGGTAAATCATAATAATATGTTATCCCTAGTCCTTAAGAATAAGTCAAGTTTTCTCTTAAAGGACTCCTTGGAGGTCGCTTTGACTAGCTCAGTCGGCAGCGAATTCCAGCACTTGACAACTCTAACGGAGTAGAAGTTGTGTCTGCAGTCTGTTATGCTATGTAGGGTCTCCAATTTCTGGGTGTTACCTCTGAGGTTAGTGTTATGACTAAGCTTAAGAAGTTGGTTAAGGGGATGACCAGAAGTATTAAGGATACTATAAGTCATAAGAAGATCACCTCTAAGACGCCTATACTCTAACGGGTAAAGGTTAAGTGATTTGAGGCGCTCTTCATAAGGTTTGAATTTGAGACCCCGAAATGATTTCGTGGCTCGACGTTGTATACGTTCCAGAGTGACCTTATCCTTCTGGAGGGAGGGAGGAAATACTATGTTTCCGTACTCTAAGTGGGGACGAATAAAACTGTTGAAGATTATGTGGAAGGTTCTACCGTCAAATTGGCCAAAAATGCGCTTCAATGTTACCAGTGCAAGGTTTACTTGAGAGGCGTTTTTGTCACAGTTAGCATACGATTTCAGGTCGTAGGGTACCAACACTCCTAAATCTTTTTCAACTTGGGAAACTTCTAGAGGTGAGTTACCTAAGTTATAACTATAGTCTGCAACATGTCTCAGATGGACTACCTTGCACTTTGAAGTGTTGAAGGTAAGTCCGTTGTCGTCTGCCCAACTTTGAAGTCGAGTCAGATCCTCCTGAAGAACTAGTATATCATTGTGATTACATATCTCTCTCCAAAGTTTCACATCATCAGCAAAAAGCAATAAATCAGATGAAACTTGTTGAGGAAGATCGTTAATATAAATCAAGAAGAGAAGAGGTCCTAGTATTGAACCCTGGGGGACCCCACTGGGACATTCCATAGCCTGAGAGAGAGTGAAGTTAACCCTGACCTTAAAATGTCGGTTTTCTAGGTATGAAGTGATCCAGTCAATTAAAGGGGGTTTTATACCCAATCGTCCGAGCTTCTTGATAAGACATGCATGGTTGACCCTACCAAAAGCTTTTGAAAAGTCCAGGTAGATGACGTCAACCTTCCCCTTGCGACCAAGGATGGTTGTCCATCTATCCACCGCAGTCATCAGGTTGGTCATACAAGAATGACCTTTTCTGAAACCATGCTGTTGAGGCGAGAAGAACTTTGAGGATGATAAGTGTTCTAGTATGCCGTCGAATACTAGGGATTCCATAATTTTGGAAGGTATGGAGAGAAGGGCCACTGGTCGGTAGCTTGAGGGTTCACCGCGTCGACCTCCTTTGAAAATTGGTGTGATGTGGGCCAGCTTCCATATTTCCGGTAGTTTGCCTCTGCTTAGCGAGTGTGCAAACATCACGCTAAGTGATGTCGCCAGGATTGAAGCTGCTTCCCTCAATACAGCGGAATGAACCATGTCTGGACCAGGAGAAGTGTCTTTTTTTAGATTCTGCAGTTTACGGAGCACCAAGTCAGCACTCAGGTCCACTTCGGAAAGTCCTGTACAGGTGCAGGTGAAGCTTTCGTCAGTATGGTTGATGTGGGTCAGCTGGAATGTCCGGGAGTAATGTTCAGCCAAAAGGTTAGCGGCATCACTGTCGTTGTTGGTCGGGCCATTAGGACCAAGCAGTTGGGAAACTCCAGTTTTGCCTTGTCGAAGAGAAGCTACATAACTGAACAAGCTTTTCGGATTGGAGACGAATTTATCGATAAGCTTGGTCTGGAACTGAAGCCTGTCTTCTCTTATTGCCTTTGTGCATATGTTCCTTATATGTTTGTGTTGCCTGTACGCGCCGCTGTTATCAGTTCGTTTATATTCAGCCCAACAGTGCCTTTTGCGGCTTAGCAAACGACGAGTGCGGTTCTTGATGATTGCAGGTTGCTTGTAGATTTTGGGGACCATTTTAGGAACTGAATGCTCAGTAGCACATAAGATCGTGTGCAGTAAAAAATCCCAATGAGCATGCACTTCAATGTGAGGGCGAACATCCCAATCCACCTGTTGAAGATAGTCCTGTAAAGCTAACACATTCAACCGTTTGAAGTTCCAGCGCTTGTTGCTAGTAGGATATCGTAGCTCCGTCTTGCTGACAAAGCTGAATGATAAGACGGCGTGATCACTTTTCCCCAGGGGAGCCAGGATTGAGAGGTCGTCAACTGGGAATTCTTCGTTTGTGAATACCCAGTCTAAGCGTGACGGCGTCTGACTGTTTCTCCAACGGGTTGCCGACTTCACATTTTCAAATAATCCCAGGTCGCCGATAAGGTTGAAGAACAGAGCTTCAGTAGAGTTGGCACCACCAATGTATGTATGTTCCACGAAGTTGATTCTAGGGAGATTGAAATCCCCTAGAATCAGGATATGAGAGAATCTGAGACGCGTAGAGCGAGTTAATCCTTCCAGCAGACGTTTGTCATATTCGATGTCGGCAGTGGGCTTCCTGTAAGCGACCCCAACTAGGCACCTCGAGGTGGTAGATAATCTTACTGAGCACCATACTGACACGTCAAGATTGTGAAACTCTTGGTTGTGAAGTTGGTGCGCATCCAGGCATCTAGGAGAAGTACCCAACTTCTTTCATATCAATTATTTTAGACTTGTTCCCTTCTACTAGCTCTTAGGTTGAAAATAGTTGCACAGTAAACGTGATACCATACGCAGTTATTTTGTTCGTTTTGTGACAGTAATTATAGAGAATTTATTGCGTACTTATGGTTACCAAATGTATGTTTCAGAAAGCGGCTGATAACTCGTTTTCATGGTCTGATGCATGCACCGTTGAATTGCATTTCGTCATTTTTATTTTTACATTCTTAATAATGAACTCATTGGTCAACCCACTGTGTCGTATGCGTGTCGATCCATTGGCGCGTGTTCTTGTGAAATAAACTATTGAGGCGGACTCGTATTCCCTCCTTGATATTATACACCGTTAGGAATGAAAATAATATACACCAGGTCGATTGATTTATGAGGCTTAAGGATATATTCGAATATATCTCGCAACATAGTAACCGACTGAGTTTTCTCTCACTTTACAGAAAAGACCAGATAGGGAATGGGTCTTTCCTACCCATTTGAAAGCTCCTTAGGTACTAATGAGTGTTGAAATAAGTTACTACTAAGTGGAAGAAATGTGGCATTTGTACTTGATAATGGTTCCTTTGTATTTGGTTGGGTGCTTTTTATCAATGCCAAACAGTACATACATTTGTGCTCATTTAGTTCTTTCTGTCATGAGATAATCACAGCAAGCGGTGCTGCAAAGGTTGGAGCTGTTTTACTCAGTATTGCAGAGTGAACCATTTCTTAGCTAGAAGCGTCCTTGTTTAGATGCTACAGTTTTCGATACCTCAATCCACAACTTGGGTTTACCTCTCGGACTCCTCTTAGGTCACAGGTGAAGCTCTTTTCAGTGCAAGTTGTGTGCAATGATAGAAATGTTTGGAAATACCGTCCCGTCAGGAGCTCTAAAGCATCATAGCCGTTAATTGCTAGGCCACTAAAATCTGTGGGGAGTAGTGTAATGTCGTGTACTATATTACACCTACATAGCTTATTCTAGTTTCTTGACAAGCCAATTCACCTATACATTATGAGTCATACTTTGATCTTGTTAATTATTCGCTTATTAACCTTAACTACCTTTTTATATGAGCGCATGTGTATGCACACTTAGTATCTTACTCATCATATGTCTGTCATTCATTTTTGCCTGGTTATAAATATTGAGTAATCCTTGCTCGCAGCGAGTTGGTTTACCAACAATCTCCCATGCATGTCATTTTTACTTCGCTCACTAACATTTGCTCATGTCCTCACTGCCTTCCAGCCTGTTATTTGTCAATAAAAATGTAGTTGCCGCTTCCCTTTGTCTTCTGATATTATACACCGTTCAGATTGATATAATAACGGTTATCGAGACGATCGATTAACGAAGCATGCCACTACAAATCTAACAATTATGTAACTCTGGTTTCGGTTTGTCAGAGAGATGGTGCACGATGGAATAAGTTAATCATTTTTGAGACAAGTTTATCAATCGTCTGTATTCCGCTAAATGGTACATTTTGAGTCTCAATATTTGAAGAGTGCAACTAATTTTGACTGTCGTTTGTTTATAATTTTCGAATGCAGTTTCCAGGACTGACTATTTTGTATCATGTAAGATAGTGTTTAGTAATAGATCTTAGTGAGCACCTATCATTCCACTTGCTGTAAACTGCTTTTTAAAGCTGAAAGTGTTATGCCTAAGATCAGCAAGACTTTTTAGTTCAGTTGAGCCAAAAAAATTAAACACTCTGATGACTCGACCACTTTTCACACGAGACAGTCAGAATTTAGAATTTATCAACTAGTAATCTTTTGTTTGTAGAAATCTAGTGTTTTTATTCATCGAGTTACTGACTCCACGTCTTCACACAATCTCAATTCTTCAATGAGGTTGAAAAAACAAGCCTTAGTACAGCTATCAACTCTATCGTACATGTATCAGAGAAGTTTACCTTGAAGTGAATGATGCGCCCTAAATTTTGGATGGAGTTTTGTCGGAGACGAATCGGATTTGATAATACCCTCAACATATTATTATCCTGCAGATGATACTAACTAAACCTTATGGTTCTAGACAATCTCACTGAGCATAATACAGAATAATCAAGACTCCTTAGATATTGAGTATAAACATGATGTGCGCAGCTGTTTCGCGTCGACTCCTGTTTTTTTGTCGTCGCCAAACAAAGATATGTCGATTATAACCAACTTCTGATCTGTCATTTGATATGCCCACGTTTCAGATATTCCTATCAGATAAG